GGCAAAAGCCCCAACTTTTATGGTGAAATTTGATCGAATTACGAGTGAAAATGAAAAGGGAGATTGATATCAACCCCAGATGCTCAACCCTTTCCTCTCCACCCCAAAACACTCGCTTGCTTTTGCCATACTGACGTAGGCAAGACGAGGAGACGACACTGCTTAATTTATCAAATCACTTCCGTATTTGATTATGCTTATGTGAACGACAATTATTATGGCAATATTTTCCGCCCACGCCCTCAAGGGGTGGCCTTTTAGCAAGGCGAGACGAGCCTCCTAACTTAATCATCGTATCCTCTCTCGTCGCTGCGTTACATAAATTATGAATTTGTTGCCGTACAACATTGCCTTGTGCACGTCAATATTATATTTTAATCTATTTTAGGCATTTTCCTCAGTGAGTGGCGCAAGGACAAAAGAAAAGGTGGAAGAGCGCGGTGAGAGAGAAAGAGCTTTCAAGATCTCCTCGCGCGCCCAGAGCAATTCACGAAGGCGCGCTTGCGAAGTTTTTCTCAAAATCAAATCAAATTAATTTTATAATATTCATACACTCCTCTTCATTACAATGTTACTCCACTGCCTAATTAATCTGGCCATGAGATGATGGAACACCTTTGTGAATTTCCACCGCCCAGAAGGAACTTCCCCACTTCCCACCCTCGCGCCCCCTAATCTGTGAGATGCCGACTTACAGTGAGATTAAACTTGTTTGAATTGTAATGTTTGGCCGTTGGGGAGGACAGGAAAGAAGTGCGCGTATTATAAATTCAACGGTGAGATACTAATTCCGTTTTTGTTTCTTTTTATTCTCACCGACACCCTCGTGGGTGGGCGCAAATGAGGAAAATCCCTCCCATTATTGTTGTCTCACCCTCCCCTAGAGGAGACTTTCAACGTCACCCCCCCCCGCCCTCGGGGTGGCTCTCAGTCAAAAGAGATACGAAGACTTTTAAGTCTCGAGACTCCTTAAGACGGATGATAGAAGACAGGATCATTTTTCTTTGGTCTCCTCGTTGGCGATTGACATAGAGCGCTCCATTCATTCGCACAAGGGCTGCTGATGAGTTTACCGTCTTGGTAAGTCCCTTTCGCCACGGATACTGGTGATTACCCAGGCGGAGCCCCTCTTCTTCTGGAGCATGAAAAATGCAAAACAGATTCAAATTTGATGACAGAAATCATCCTCAAGCGCCACAGATCCTCCCTTTGTCTCACGATGCGAGCCCCGGATTAAGTCCTGTGTGTGCGAGTGCAGAAAAAGGAGTCAAAGAACCCAGCCAAGACCCTTTGCTCCAGGGGAAAACCTAATTGAATTTGAAGGGCAATTTACCGTGCATCACCCTGTGAGATTGCAAAGATCATCAAATCGCCCTGTGACGCAGTCAATCGAATAAATTGGAACAATGTACACAGAATTGCTGATGACGGAGACTTTCCCACAGCATCTCCACCCACACCTTCGCGTCACCCATGGCAATGTTAGGGGCTTGGTTAGGGGTGGCGTTCTGCCTAGAGAGAGAGACGTGTTCACCACAAGAGGATTATCAGCACCGTGAATGTTTAAACGGGACACATATGCAAGGATCTCCATTGTAATCTGGTGAGGTGAATATAGGCAAGGCGGCGATGGGTTCTTGGGCGGAAATTTTAAGAAAGTAACCCCAGTGCAGACTGCAATCTTCCCACAATTCACTTAGACTTACACTCGCACATTCCTCCTAATTTATGAACAGCTCCCGCCATCGAGAGTTGTAAGAGTTTCGCCATATCAGAAAACTTGTAATTTACGATATGATACAAAATGCAGCAGATACACCCATGGTGAGAATATTCAAATTATCTCCAAGTTTTCTTCCCTCCCGGCAACAATAGTTCCGCACAGCCAACAGCGGCGCATTACGTCTCTCACTCACTGGCGGGGTTGTGTGGTCTCAATGTAAAGAGCCCCCGCCTGTACTTTCCCATTGTGTTCATTAATATTTTTAATTTAAAATAAATCCTTTTTCAAATATGAATAGCAAAAATCCTCATCGTGCCGGCGAAAGCATATAATTCTACTCCACCAGTGAAAAACCATTTATATTCTCCTCTCTCTCGTCGCTGGTGGTGTGAGAAAAGAAAAGAAAAATCTGGCCAAAGCACCGCATTTGATGCTAATGCCGAAGAAGGAGGTTTTTCCACCCGTGAAACAATGCTTGGGGAATCTTTCCTCAATGCAAGGACCCGAACTCATTGTTCACTCACAGACTGTCGCCATGGCTGAGGTCCGGTCTTATGGAAAATGCGCTCTCAAGTGCATATGTAGCGTCACCCAGGCGATATTCACCTCCGCAAGCATTGAATAAGCAAGGGGGAGATAATGTGGTCAGAAGTAGTGTACAGCCAAGTTAAGTGCTTCTTTTCCTTCGATTTTCGCGCAGAAACAATCATAAAAATCTTTTTTCTAGGTTATGTAACGAATCAAGAATAGATTTAGTAAATAATTCGCATTCTAACACTTCAATTCTTATGGTAAACTTGACAAGATCGCCAACAATTAACAAAATTAAGCTCTTACAGCCAGGAAGCCTTGCTATTTTAACATTTGCAGCTAAGAAACACTGTAAGTTGTGTTAAAATCAAAGATAATAATAATAATATTTATTTTATTTTACACTAACGATCAAAACAAATAACGATCATAAACTCAAAAATAGTCATTTAAAGCGGTTTAAAGTGGATTCTTGTAGAAATAACAGATGAAAACTAAAATGTTAAGAAGTGGTGTACGGATTTAAGGAATATTATCTCTCCCTTGTGAATAAATATGCTTGAAATATGAAAACACTTTACATTCCATTCCCACTTCAGGTTCGATTTATACATTTTGCTATTCAATCGTTCGCATGTTCGCTATGAATTTTCCAAATCCTATTTTTATGAAAGTATTCCAGAATATAATTCCACTGCTTACTTCGCATCTCCTTCGAGACCCTCAAGAGCAGCACTCGCCAAAAGGGTCGCGACGAAATCCAAGCGCAAGAAGACAAAGGTCATAAAAAGCAGTGTGAAATCACCAAATAATCCCTGGATATTAATGGTAAATTGTGTCTTAACCTCCGCAGAATGTCTTCTCCATTCGCCCGCTGAATTGTCCCTTGGCTGCGGGTATTTTCAAGGATAATTAATCACGCCGCTTAATATTTATTTCAAATTACTTCTGCGGCATTCGCGCTCCACAACATGCCGTCTTCAATTTCGCGCATCGGACTTCTTTGCCATCTCTGTCTTTTTATCTGTTTATTTTTGACCAAAAAGGAAAAATTGTCTCTTTTGACAAAATTAATCATGCTCTTGTGCTTCCCTAAATATGCTTTGTCTATCTCTCTTTTCCACATCTGAAGATCTGAGGGAAAAATTAGTTGAGAGCTTTTCCTTCGATCACGAGTGCGGCAATAGGAAAAAAGGACACACTGTCATTTATAATATTTAATTTGCTCATTCAGTCGTCGATTGAGGGTCTGGAGTATTTTTTTGCCTCCGCTTTAATCTCCCTTTCGTCCCGCAATGTGGTGAACACATTCTATACGCCTTGGGCGGAGGGGGTGGGTTTTGACGATTGGGGGGGGGTGGGGAAACATTGGGAAGAAATAAACAAAATCCCACCATCAATTATCTGTAATTTCTTCTGATGACGAAAGAAGGAAATCCTCCTCTCATGTTTGTGCAAAAAGTTCTCTTTGCGGAGAAAAATCCCACTTTTCTTTGATCGCAAGCCAAGGCGCACGACATCTTCTGTGGAAAGACACTATATAGAATGGAAAATCTTTTTTGAATTGGTCCAAAAGCGCCACAAAGTATGCCAACCGGAGGACGAAAGCTTTCGTTTTTACACTCAGAGGAATCTCTCGTTTTGTGCAATAAAAGAGAAGAAAAAGCAACTGGAATCCATTAAGATTTTCCACCCTTCGTGCATCCATAAATTCTGCACAAAAGTGCACATTTGCAGAGCTTCGCGATATTTCCCTGCGATGTCTCAATAAATTAAAATCGCGCGGAAGATCATTTTCCCGGGCCAGAGAAAATATTTATATGCACTTGTGTATCGACTGGAAATATGCTTCCACACTCGCAACCAACCACTTCATTTGCATAACCCATTGAGCGAGGGAGGGAAGATAAGAATTCTTGGCTCGCGCGCCACCCCCGAAAAATATTATTGTGTCTCTCTCTCGTTTGTTTATTTTTGCCGACATTTCTGGGACACACACAAACACACACACGCGAGAACGTGCGCTCGGAATGGGCTCAGAAGAGGGCCTCGGAGGAAATTCTCGGGCATACAAATCTCTCCATTGCGAAAATGTGTGTTTGTGGTTTGGGGGAGAAAATGCGGGAAAGTCACAGAGAGATAATAAAAGTAAGTTTTCCTCAATACTCAAACAGATGATGCCAATCTAATAAAAATAAAAATTTGTTTATTGATTCCCAAACATTCTCGAGACCGCGAGAGCAGCAAGGGAAGTGCAAATAAAGGAAGAGTGAATGCTTAGGAGAAATTCATGAGGACATATTTTAGCAATTCTGAGAATTTTTCTCAACTCCTTGGCGATTATTTAAGAGCTTCAGTCCTGAAATAGGGATGGAGAATTCATGAAGAATTCAAGCACAAAGAGTGCATTTTCGTGGAGAGAACCGCCTAAATGCTTCCATTTCTTTAATTAACTTCTCATTTAATTCTCAATCTAAGTTTGCTGACAAAGAATCAAATATGATACATTTGACGTTGCAGAAAACGTGGCCAGTCGTGAAAGATTGCGTGAAAGAAGACTTGAAAGATTGCCTCGCGGGAGAAATGTGAGCTCGTGCTTCGCAATGTAAGAGATTACTTTAAGTGGATCTTCCAATCGTGGCGAATAAACAGCCATTATATACTTTAAAGGTTTAGACCATCTGATACACATAATATTTGATTAGTGACACTAATATTGCGGCGAGCACGAAGATCACTGCTGGACCTTATTCGCCTGTCCAGTCGTCAATTGCTGGTCCGACGGAGCGCTTCGTGGTGGCGAATTGTGGTGATCTTGGCTGCTTTTCCGCGCGCGCAGTTGACTTTCCGGGGGTTGATCTTCAAGCCTAGGAATCTAATTAGTGGAAGACCATGGAACAGGTTTAAGAAGCTGCCTTCATTTTCCCTCTCAGCGCGCGCGCGCCACACAATGTCAATTGCGTGGATCTGTCGCACACTTGCGCGATCATATTAAGTGATTGAGTGCCGTGATTTTTTCGCCAGTGCGCGCACTGCAAAGGCAGATTCAGGATTTGGGTTAAGAGCTGAATTGGCCAGACGCTCAGGGGGAGTCTGTGGATGGATTTTCTCTTGCTGGCGTCGCTGGGTGATTTTGGCGGGAAAAAATTCGCGCGCGCGCGCCAGAGAAAAGCCCAGCCAAAAATTCAGTTGAAGAATCCCACTTAAGTGGAGTGCCTTGGGTCTTTACACCATATTCACCATAAATCAAGACGGGTTGATGCAATTGTTCTCTTATCATGCCTCCGAGCAGTCTTTTTCTATTCATCCAAGCTCTCTACACATGCGTCTTGGGCAATTTGATAAGCACTGATGAATTTAAATCATATATAAATCGTGAATTTAGTCCTAACACCGTTTCATTTGCAGATCAGCCACAGTGAGAAAATGTTGATAGTGATCGTGAAGTTGTGCCTCTCGGACTATTGAAGTTTGACTTTTCCTGGAGTGATTTTCCTTCTTTTTCTTATCCCGTTGAGAGTGCCTGAGAGAGTCCGCAACGCGGGGGTGTAAATATGAGTGTAAATAATCACAATGGCAGGGACGTGGAGGGCGAGAGCAAGGGCGACGAGGAGCACCTGCTCAACCATCAGGAGAGGAACAATGTGAATTGCCATCAGGTGAACAGCGAGAAGAGCATCCTGAAAACCACCGAAGATCTCGAGGATCTCTACAACAACATGCCACTCACGGAGGAAACGACCTGCGGCTACTGGATATTCAAGGGACCCTTCTTCCAAAGGTGAGCCTGCAAACATTTCACAACAGTCTGTGATTATGCGAAAAGCTGCGCGCGTCACTCTTTGAGCTCTCTTCGAGATTTGAGGCACAATAAATTACTCGGAATTAAAATTGCCACAATATCTCCACGATCATTGTTGATTTAAGACTCTGTGGAAGCCAGAGCAAGATTGTTGATCATCCTCAGCGAGAGTCACGTTTGACGAAAGGCGCGCTGCGCGTCTGGGGCTTTGTTCTCTCCTGAGAAGCGTGGCGGTTGTTTTCGGGAAGGTCAAGAAGTTTTTTGGGGGTGTTTTCGGGCTGACAGACTTGACCCAAAAGTGTGGCTCAAGTTGATCTCCAAGACTTGACACTGGCCCCAAAATTGTCTATTCATCCAATTTCGAAGCAAATACAAAACCTAAGCATAGATAAGAATCATAAAAATAGGCTTTCTAGTATTTACCTTGGGATTTTCCCCCCGAATTAGATCTATAAATTCAATTATATCTCTTATTTTAATAGATGCTTCAGTTGAAACATTGGCAAATGAATGCATATTTGCAATTTGCGATAGTGAAGATAAACACAATGCAAAGTGCGCATTTGTAGGGATTGATAAGACAGTCTCAATTCAGAGGATTTTCCCTCGGACCTTCCACAATCTAGGCTGGAAAGATAGCGAACACTTGGCCAGAGAAAACTCCTCTCTGAGATGCAATTCAATTTCGAGATCAAACACCTTGACTCGCTCTTCTGGGGGGAAAGAGTAAAAGCAGAACTTAAACCCGTCAATATTTACAGAAGACTTGATGAGTGGATTAATAGAGTATCTGCACACGGATTTGTTTAACTTTTCTCTCTCTCTAATCGCGCGACAGGTTCGCCAACAAGAAGGCGTACGTGTTCCTGTACGGCGTGGTTGGATGCATCTTCAGCGCCACATACGCTTACTTCAACGGCACGATCACGACGCTGGAGAAGCGATACAAGATCCCAAGCAAGAACACCGGCATCCTGTCGGTGGGCAACGACATCAGCACCCTCTTCATCTCCGCCATTCTCAGCTACTACGGCGGCAAAGGACACCGTCCGCGGTGGATAGCATTCGGTGAGATGATCCTGATTGACTCTGTGCGACGCTCTGCCCGTTTATCTGTTTGACTGGGGCTTTCTCTCCCGTTTCAGGATTATTTACGATTGTGTTGTTCTGCGTGCTGACTGGGCTGCCGCACATTATTTATGGTCCTGGGGAGAATGCACTCTCCCTGACCACGGAGTATGGCGCCACATTTGACGAGAACACCACCCACGAGGTCATGGAGGCGCAGAAGATGAAGACCCTCTGCAAGGCCAACAGTGAGTTCTATCACTTCCACTGCTTAGGAGACGATCAAGTGAGATCATTCTGTACTTCCCAGGAACAATGCTCGATGATGAGTGCGAGACTGAAGAGGGCAATTTAATGCCCCAGATCATCCTCTTCCTCGCCCAACTCATCTCAGGCGTGGGCAGTTCGCTGTACTACACACTCGGCGTCTCCTACATGGATGACAATGTGAAGAAGTCCAAAACTCCCGCCCTCATCAGCCTGTCCTACTTCCTGCGCATGCTGGGCCCCGCCATCGGCTACGCTCTGGCCTCTGTCTGCCTCAAGATGTACATTTCGCCCTCCCTGACGCCCACAATCAACAACACAGATCCTCGGTGGCTGGGCGCCTGGTGGCTCGGATGGTTCATCCTGGCGGGAGTTCTCATCATGTTCTCATTCCTCATAGGTTGAACACGATCACGAGTTGGCGATTATGAGAGGAAATTGAGATTTCTCTCTCTCTCTTTCAGGTCTCTTCCCCAAAATCCTCCCTCGGGCGGCCGTGAGGAAGAGGATAGCCGTTGAGAAGGCCAGACTGGGCATGAAGATCGACGAGGAGATCCAGGCGGAATTGCCGGCATCCGTGAAGGACATGATCACGACTTTCAAGCGTCTCGTGTCCAACAACACTCTGATGCTCAACAATCTGGCGTCGATCTTCTACTTCTTCGGCTACATGCCCTACTGGATCTTCACGCCCAAGTACATCGAGACGCAGTACCGGCAGTCAGCGTCCGTGTCCAGTCTCGTCACCGGCACCGTCGCCCTAGTCTTCTCGGCCGTTGGCGTTCTGCTCTCGGGCATTGTGATCTCCAAGTTCAGACCCAGAGCGCGCTACATGGCGGCCTGGAATGTCCTCGTGGGCGCTCTGTCGGTCGTGGGGATGATCGGCTACGTGTTCCTGGGCTGTCCAGCCAATGACAACTCCATGGTCACCGAGTACACGCTGGCCAACACGAGACACGAGGCTGTGACGCACCTGCCGATGAACTTCACCACCTGCAACTCCAATTGCCACTGTGACTACGTCAAGTACTCGCCAGTGTGCGGCGCCGACGGGAAGACCTTCATCTCCGCCTGTCACGCGGGCTGCAAGCAGCAAATCCTCACTGAGTCCGGCAAAATTTTCACCGACTGCAGTTGTGTGAGCAGTCGAAATCAATCTCTGTCCTTTGGCAACTACAGCACAAGCTGGGAAGAGGATTTCCCCACGCAAGCCCCGGAAGTGCCAAGAGGCGGCTTCGCCACGCCCGGATCCTGCCCTGTGGATTGCTACAAGCAGTTCTATCTCTTCCTCATCGTCATGTGCTTCATCAAGTTCACAGGCGCCACGGGAAGAGCGTCCAACTTCCTCGTCTCCGTGCGATGCGTGGAGGAGAAGGACAAGCCCGTGGCCATGGGCTTCAGCCTCATGATCATGAGCCTCTTCTCCTTTATCCCCAGTCCAATCTTCTTCGGCGCCATCCTGGACAAAACCTGCCTCGTGTGGGGCAAGACGTGCACGGGCACCGGGAATTGCTGGCTCTACGACGGCGAATCTCTGAGGTGAGTCACGCCCAATCACGCCGCGAAGCCTCCGCCACTCACGCTTCCCCCCATTTTTCCCCTCCAGGTATCTCATGAACTTTACCGCCGCCGTGTTTGTGATCATTGGAACGCTGTTCGACTGTGGCGTGTGGTTCTACGTGAAGGATCTCAAGATCTTCGACGACGAGGCGAATGAAACGGAGCTGAAGGAGGTGAAGAAGGAGGAGAAGAAGCTTCCTGAGAAGCAGTAACGCACTTTCTTTGTTATAATCCCAATATAGATACTTTTTGTGTAAATAAATTTTGCCGCTAAACTCACGCCGGATGTGAAAAAACCACAACTTCCTCATAATTCGTGACAAGATTCTAAAATTTATTCAATTTTGCTCTCTCCATGAACTCTCAGCAAATGCATCCAAAGTCGAGCACTTTTCATCCATCAATTCAACTCCCGGAGAGTGTGTGTGAGGGAAAGTCTGTGATGCCTGAAGGGCGTGTGTGTTGAAGGAGCTACTGAAGATAAACAGACCTCTGCGCGCCTCTCGCCTACATCGTCAGCTCCATGATGGCATTCACGATGTCATTGTTGTTATTCTTCAGCGCCCTGATCGCCTTCCCGCGCGGCACGTTGGCTTGCGACATCACCAGATCAATGTCCTTCTCGTCCACGCCAGTCTCGTCCACCTCCTCCTCGTCCTCCTCAGCAATGGGCGCCACCGTGGCCGTGGTGCCGGCCGAGTCGCCCGGAGCGGAGGAGGTTTCGGGTGCCTTGAACTTCTCAGCCGCCGCCACTTGAGCCTGCTGCGACAGATCCTCAATCTTGGCCTCCCCGAAGATGATGTACGTGTCGCTGTGAGGGTTCTTGTACACATCAGGGTTGTTTATCACGAAGAGGATGTTCTTAGATTTGCGGATAGTCACGCGATTCACACCCTGAATTGGCTTCAGGCCGAGCTTCGACATGATCTTGCGCGCCTTCTTCTCGCCGCGTGACTGTTTCGCCTTCGAGACCATGTCGATGGGCAAGCCGGTGGCGCCGCCACCAAGCTGAGTGGCTGTAGTTCCTGCAAAGACACCCAAAACACCACCTCAGAAGCCTGCCGGAAGGCACATGTGGTCACACAATCATTACCCGCATCTTCCAACTCTGGAATTGTGTCCTCCGAGTCAGTGTCACTGCCAGCCTCCTCGTCAGGTCGGTTCTCCGTGTCTGGGGCGGAGGCTTCAGGTGTGTTTTTGATTTCCGTGAGTTCTGGCATTGCTGCTGGCGAGAGAAAACATCCGGAATAAGTGGAAAGTTTCACCCCAACATAACCTCAAAGCTCCAACACAAAGAAATCCCCCTAATCACCGCCTAAATTACCCGCTCTTGTTTATTTACCAAATCGCCTAGGCAATACATCATGCAAACTATCTCTCAGCACATCTATTTCACTAATTACTGAGCTTTTTTGGGAGCGGCCGTGCAAAAAATGCGAGGGCATTTGTCAGAATTTTCAGCATGCACTTTTCACACCAAATACCACGATTTCCCACAACTTTTCACAATATTTCCATAGCGCCGGTAACGAAGTGCAGGGAAAACTGTGCAAATTGATGAAAACTCACCTGTTTTCTGTGTTTCTGACTGAATTTTGGATTAATTAAAAAATGGAGAAATCACCACGCGATTTTCCGTGCAACAAGAGTACAGCGCCGCGCTATGTCTCGACTGAGAACCAAAGGCACGCGCGCACTGCGCCATCTATGAACGCACATTCATTTCCCCGTTCGAGACATTTAAAGATTAAAAGTCCGGCGAGCGATTAATGTATAGATATTTAATAGATATTTAATCATTGTGAAAGGATATAAAACTTTCCCATCAAACGTCCACGCTTTTATTGCTATTATTTTTCCTAGCGGAAAAATGATATGAATCCATTTGCGAAACAAAAATACCACCGCTGCGGTGTAAATTTTATAGTAATTTGATAATTTCCTCTCCAAGCAAATATTGAACATCTCAAGGCGTGATGATTGCACAGCATTCAAGTGTCTGGCGTCTTCCCGCCAACGCGACGCGGGAAGATGAAGGCTGGGCGCATTTTTAATAAAAGCCAGGAGGGACAATTGTGGGCCATGTCGGTGGCATTTTTTCCGTGTCACAATTAGACAATGATGAAGAGAGCACGACGTTGTTGTGCGATAAGGCGCGATGCGCAATATATGTTTGATGAACTAATTCATCGGCAGATGGTTCCCGCGAGACTCCGGATATTTGGATGCCGGATGGGAGAGAATGTCTGCGATTTGCGACATTTAATTGTCTTGCGAAATTTATCGGCGCAATTACACCGCCTTGACCGCTCGTGATTCATGCGTCAGGGGGCGAGGGCGTGAGAAAGGGTGGAAAGAGCCCCGTGTGCAGCCCACGGGAGCGCGCCAAGAAATGTGCGTCCCGCTCCTGCGCACGGCCGCACGCACGCCACGAGGGCAGAAGCGAAAGGAGCACCAGAGCCACAGACAATCCATTATAAAAGCCACCTCGGCGTGCCGCTGAGCTTAGTTCGCATTTATCGCTCCACAGGTGCTAAAGTCAGTGACCACACAGGCACGGGAAAACTCCTCAGGAGCATCAATTTGTGTCGATCCCACCGCGCCAGTGTCGTAAATCACCGAATTCCTCACTATCCGACCAGAAGGTGAGTGCTTTTCCCAATTTCCCCGGGAAACTCCATCAATTCCATTCGCATTCTGCGGCTTCTGGCGGGACGTGTGCGAGAAAGAAGAACGGAAGTGAGAGGAGAGTTTGTGAATGAAATTTCAATAATTCATACTTCCTGCGAAAATATGAGCGTGAAATTAATATTTTCCATCTTTTAATTTCCGAAAAGAACATGCATTTTTAATGTTCGCGATGGAAAAATCACGCCGACTGTTTTCTTTTAATCAAACACGATAAGAATTTCGCAAGAAAGGAAGCTTGGAACGGTTGAAGACTTTACATAGAATTGTGATTAACCTTCAGATTGAGATTTATTAAAATTCTTAAGTTTCTGCAAAAGTTTGTTGATCAATTGTGACTAATTTGCATGATTCTTTTGTAGTTAAATTAAAAATCTACTGAATTCTAACATTTTCACCTCAAATTTTAAGTGAAACAATACATTATAGTTTCAATTCATTGTTGTGTTTTCACTTAATAATTATTTTAATTTATACTCCTGTATAAATTTACCTCACAGAACGATAATTTTATCTTAGGGAATCCCGGGAAAATTTGCATCTTGTTAATAAGCGGAATTGCCTCTTAATTTGCATTGCAACCATTTCAAGGGCTCGCGAAATCCACTCAACTCAAGTTTCCACGGAAAATTTTTTTTCTTCGACTTCTGTCGTAGAAATCCTTCATTTTCCGCGCAATTGGAAGAATTGCGGAGCCTGAAAATGAATTATTCCTGCCTCCGCATCGACAGAGAACTATTTTAATCTCCCCTCATTTGAGGCACATGACTAACTCAATTAATCGATCAGCGCTCATCCCTTGGGAAGGTGATTTTAAATAGCATCCAATTGAGTCAGCTTCCCATCGTCTGCCGATGACTTATCAATCTCTGTGTCTTCACCCCGGAGCCACGGAGCTTTTTTCATTGAAATTCACAGCGTCAAGAGGCACTTTTTCCACGTCATTTTTTCCACATCTCACGTACGCATTCATTTATTTGCGACAAAGAGTCATTACCATTTGCACATATTTAATATGGTCTCGAGCGCTCTTTTTCTGCGCCCTTTGCGCGATATAAATTGATTAATTCACGCCTTATTTGAATATTCGATGCCTTTTCCCCGCTCACGTGGCGTCTTTTGTTGTTTTCTTTTCAAATTTCCCATCCTCCGTGATTGATTTTACACACCTTTGCCAGGACGTGTATGACAATTTCCGCGAGGACGCAGATTAAGCAGATTAGGACGCATGACTTGTGCGCAAATATTGTCCATAAAATGTCTTTGACTGTCTCTAATTTATTAGGATTTCCCTTAGGCAATATATAGTGACATTTCGGACGTTCCTTGACCTCACGAGTCACTTCATTACTACACACATTATAAAGTTTTAACAACCCTTTACTTGCCTATCTACAAATCCCCATTTTATTGCACTCAGTTTTCTGCCGGGAATGAAATCCGTCCGTTTTTCCCCACGGATAAAAATAATATGGAGAGAAGCATTTTCTGCGGTTTCCTGACTGAAAAATATTGCTTCTGGCGCGAGAATTACAAAAGCATCACAAAAAAATTCATCCCAAATGTCGATATTTCAATAACTCCCAAAAAACACATTTCTCGCATTTATTAATTAACTTGTTATTCTTTCAATCTCATCTCTGAACGTGGGCGAAGCGCAAATTGCTTTATGTTCTCGCGCTGGGATTATTCTAACGCAATAACGTGATAATGCAAAACCTTTCACTGCAAACCAATTAAAAATTCCCCTAACATCACTTCACATATAAATGCACACTGATTCTGAGTAACTTTTGAGTATTTCTCTTCGAGTGGGAAGAGTGACATTCTACACATTGCACGGTTTTTCGCGTTCTGAAGAAAGTTATCAAATACAAGGGGGAGATATTATGATCAGAAGTGGTGTACAGATCAGTAAAAGTATTTGTCAAAAGAAATTAACGCAATATATGGAGAAAAAGAATGGTTCTTTACAACTTTCTAGGTTATGTGATTAATTTAAGGCCAACTTTGCCACTAAATGACCTAAAAAATAATTTATTCTTGTACTTAAGCTGATAAATTCTGCATTTACTTGTCAGATAATAATGAAATCTGAGGAAGATCACAAAATTTCAACGTTAAATTGTATTAATTGCGCTAAGATAGATCATAACCTCAAAAATATTATTTCAGGATACAAAATTGTCTATTTTAAGATCTTTTAATTGATTTTATACTTTAAAATAGCAAATTTTCCTCAGTGTTGCCTTTAAAACGTTTCGAATAAGTTTCTATCAACGATTCCTTTCGATAATTCAAAGTAATTTTTTAGGTTATATGCCAAATAGCATCTAAAAGAGCGATTTAATATTGAATCACATCAAAATCCTGATTTGAGATTTCAAATATTTCTTAAATACCGTTTCTCTGTAAGTTTTCAGAGGCACAAAAGTAAAAATTGTGTCTTTTTAGATCTAAATTTGAAGTTATGATACTTTAGGCGATCGGAAAAATCAATAATGATCAGAAAAAGGAGAAGAAAATAAATAAAAACGCATGTTTTAAGCACTGCCAATGTTCAAGAAGTGTTTGTGATTCTTCACAGAATTTTTGGTGTACTCAGTCTAGCCATATTGTCTCCCCCTTGATTAATTATAAAATTGCAATTTGCAAATATTCTGACAGCTTTGAATAAGATGGATTTCAATTGCGTAAATTTGATGCCTCGGGGAATTTTCCCGCGCTTTCTGTCCAACTTGTTGATCACACATTGGCCAGGATTCGCTTTGCGTGGGTGCCATTGACCAAGGAGGGCAATAAAGGCGTGGCAGGAGATTAACCCTGTCGGGATAATTACTAATGACTCTGGTTTGTGCTCCCAAAAGCAGGTACATTGACTCTAATGATGTTTCTGCAAATATTCGTTCATATCTATTTGCTTGCAATATTAATTGCAAATATTTTGTAAATGCCATCAAAGCTCATAGTTTATTCAGTGAGAAGGAACATTTTCGCAACATTTATTTTGGTTAATTATACGCGTAATTTGGGTTTAGCTTCTCAAATGCATTCATATTTTATCAGGAAACGCGCATAAAATTCTGTCGAAAAGTTTCCTTTTGTGCGGTTTTTGGAAAAATTTGTGGGCTGAATCTTTCCGTTCAACGCCAGACTTTCCAAATGAGCAACCAAAGTGAAATTGGTTAAGACTTCCCACTCTCCTCGTCGATGTTCTCAGATTAAGAGCGCATCTTCGATGGTTGAGACGACGAGCGAATCTCATTGAGAACGACAAGAGTGTCGAATTAGTTTCTCGTGTGCTAATGGAGCGTATTAAGGAGGTGAAATTGATGGAAAACCAGGAAGTTTTCTGCACGATTAGCTACTGTTTTAGGCGATGACGTTTTATGAATTCGCATGGAAAATTCCCCCCAAAACACTAAAACACCTTTGCCATTGGAGAAATTGAGTAAAGAAAACGATGCAAAGATGACTAAATGCAAAGTTCTCTCGCAGGAGATGCTGATGAAGGAGGAAGAAAGCTGAGCTAATGCAATTAACATAGTAAATTAAGTGCATTAGAGAAAATGAAGGCGAGATTCTCATGTGTGCATGTTTGTTGCAAATTCATTTAAGCCATAATTGATAGATAAACTTGTGTTAATTGCGTTATTTTACCCTCTCGCGCACCAATTAAATATTTACGGCCAGTCTCGCAAAATTTTCATGGCAAATTTTCCGCACAATTGCACCCCAAATGAGGGTGTGATTTGCGGGGGTTTTTGGTCAATGCACGAATAAAGCTGTCCCGCATGTTTAAAAAATGTCGATATACACGTTGGAGAGTTTGACGTTGACACACAAATTGAATTTAACATCCTCTTCTCAATATATCGCATGAAAATTCCATGTCCCCGCCAAATCCCCCGGAGACCCGTGGGAGTCACCACAGGGGGAGATTCAGGTCAGAAAATCACTCATTCATGCCTATTATATGTGCCGTCTGAGCCGCCTTTCGCCGCTCAATTCTCACCCCCAGCTTTCACTGTGTCGTTAATAGATTTTTAGCTAATGAATCGGTATGCAAATGAGCTCTGGGACAGCCCTCGAGAGCGTCGTCACGGATCCCCGCAATCCAATAATGCAATTATTTCCCATTAATTCCCATATCCATTTTCCCACATTATCCGCAACATCCACTCACGCGTGCTCCCCATCAGCACTTCCTCTCCTGGCACACTAGTTGAATATCAGCCAACAATCACACGCTTCGCCCCGCATTATTGGCCTTTTTATGCGAGGGGGTGGCGCACTTGCGATTAACCTTTTCGGGCGCACGACCTTGTCTATTGGCTAATTCAATGTCATAAATTAACATATTAAAGTCGGAAGACAATCCTGATGGTTCATTAAGGCAGTCAAAGGTGAAAGAGTAGAAATCGACCCAAGTGGCAGCGAATAAGGACGAATTGGGGAAGAATCAATAGAATTACTGGTCGTTGCAACTTTACACCTTTCACACATTTCTATTTCCATTCAAAGCCAATCAGTTTCCTAGGAAACGGGTTTAAGGACATCCGGAAATACATAATCTCCATCTAGTGCATTGAAAATGTGCACAAATGACAAGATAAATCCAATAAATTTGTACTAATCAACCTGAAAACTTCGGCTTTTCTTGCCTTCCCAGAAGTTAAATTTATGAAAATAAAGTTGCAACGACTCCTTAGTATATGAATCAACATTCTTTTGGCTGACAGAAATTTCATCTGGCCACGCTGACCAGTTGACAAGTGCTTTGGAGGGAAATTTTTGGCTTATTGTGTATTCAAAATGAAGTAATTAAACTTTTTTGATGCTGTTTGCGCCAAATTAAAGCTATTTCAATTGTCTACGCATATCTCAAAGCATTTATTTAATGCGTGCAACGCAGTCAATATAACGAGACTTGAGTTTCAAATTTGGCCACAAAGGCCAAAAGACGGTTTCTAGAGTTAAATTTTAGTTGCAAACCAAAATTGCATAAGATTTAGTCACATTATAGAGTGATGAAGACTTTTTCATGTTACTTGGGAATTGTATAAATTTATATAAATCTCCCACAAGGTTTCTATGGAATGATTTTTCACCTTGTTTTCGACAAAGTGTAACTTTGAGTGTAGGAAATTCCTGGGAATTTTTAATGGGAGAGACGCGACCTCCGTCAAAAGCTATTCAATAAGTTCCAATTGTGTCATCAATGCACTTTCCGTGGCAAATTGTTGCAGTGGAAGTGCTTCTAGTGAAAATAACACTTTGCGTCTTAAAAGCTCAATCCCCCGCGAGGAAGAGGTTGAACAAATATTTCTTATTCATCATTCGCCTCGGCACCATTGAAATCCTCACTCTCTCTAAAGGTGAATTCCGCGAGACAGAGAGCGGAAATTAATTCACAATAACAATTACTTATTTTCGTGAAGCTTCCTTTTCTCACCCATTCTTCTGTGATAAATTCACAAATAATGAGTCACACTCCGCACAAAAGGGATCATTTGCATGTTAATTTGTTGATGTCTTTCATGGTCAACACGCAATTTACTATTTACATTCAATTCCACGTACTTTTTATCCTCAAAAGAAATGGCGACTTCAACAATCCTGCCTGCATTCCTCCTCCTGGCCATTGTCTTATCTGTGACGCGCTGCGACACGAGCCAGGACGACTTCCAGGCCGCCGATATGAAGAGTGACGGTGAGGAAGATTGAAGAATATTACCCAAAATTTAATACAACCCACAGAATCCTATATTGTTTCAAAAGAAAGTGTTTCACGCACAAAAGTATCCAATTCCCTGCCACAGAATCAAATGTTTTCCAACCCTTTGGCTCTGTCTTCGGCACAGCAATCAAGAGGCCCTTCTTCGTGGGGAGTCGCTACGGGAGATCCCAATTCTACGGCCCGAAAGCCCTGCGGCAAGTCAACGTGGCGCCGCGCAATGATCGCTTCTTCCTGGGCTCGCGGTACGGCAAGCGCTCGCAGGAGCTCATGACGACCCTGTCGGATCAGAACTTCTCGGCGGCTTCCAATGACGCCTGGCTCATGTGCATCTACACCGGCATCTCCAACCTGTACAGATGCAACGGGTAAGTCAACATCTCGCCTCTTCGTCCCCAATTTCCACCGCAATCCATCAACACAACAGCCCGGATTAATCTCTTGTCACTTCGATCCTCATAACTTTCCCTCTCTTTTTCCTCCCCACCCACGCACGCCCGCAAGGAATGAGAACAGCAACCTCAGCGAGGGCGCAGAGTAAAAGGGATACACAAAGGCGGTGACCGGGAGGACACAGGGAGGAAACCCGCAAGAGATTTAATTTAATAATAAACTAATTTAATTACAATATGCAGAATACGTACATGTAAAATTGTTAGTCCGTTGAGTAATGTATAAAAGAGCACACTTTTCTTTCGTCCCCCATCAATTATGATTGTTGCCATTTTACGTATGGGAAAATTATGGCTGGAAATTTTTACCATACGCTCTCATCAGTGTTGAATAGACAGAAAGAAGAATACAATTTTAGCCGCAGTTTAGTCATTGAATTCGTTGTGCAACACGCTCTAAAAGACAAGCTGAAAGTTTGCCTCGAATCCTAATAAAGAAAAGACCTAAAATAAATGCTAATCACTGTATTTAATCAATCTATTTAAAAAATGTAATTTAATTGAAGGCAAGTTGATGAATAAAAAAATCCCTTTAAAAACATATTTTTTTGCATGGGAAAACAATTTCGCTCAGCACTGCAGAATGCACTCAATCACACCCCCACCAACCAAACACACCATTGTGGCCTCTCGTGAAAGGGAAATCTTCCCTGGAGGAAAATTGATTTTGCACCTCCTTCCACTCCGCCAGAGAATCATACTTTATTGCTCCAACTTTTACTTTTCCCTTCAACATCGCGGAAAAATGGACTTTTTTGCTCGCTTGTGGTGTCTTAAATTTGATTTCGTGCCTCTGTCTTAAAGGAGAATCTATTATTTTCCCTGCAACTCCGGTTTGCACGCCGTCCAGTTCATCAATCTCATCGCGATGGTGAGCAGTTGTGGATAATCTCGCAGATAAACCAACAGCGTGAAGGGAAAGAGTCCTGCCCAGCTCACATCAGTGGCATTTGCAATGGCAGCGGCGAAGAGGAAGGCAGTTCTGTCGCTGGACAATCTCTTATCGGTGACTTTCAGGGGTTTTCCGCACTTTTCACTCACGCGATCGGTGAAGGCCTCTTCTTGGATTGTCGTGAAAGTCGGTCCCACGCAGAACAGCGTGTTCTTGATCTCTGGATGCTCAATCTTCAGTGCCTGAAAATATCCATTCACTGCAGATTTTGCGCCCACATAAGAGCTCATATTCGGCGCGGCAACTAAAGCGGCAAAGCTGGAGTTCACAGCAATTTGGCCCTCAATCTTGTTCTCCAGAAAGTACTTCACTACAATTCTGTCCAAAGAAAAATGAAGAATATGAATTGACTGGTCTTCATTTTCAGTGATAAACAGTTTCACATTAAGATCCTAATGATTTACTCACCGAGTCAAGTGAACTGGACTGAAGACGTTCAGCTCAAAAAGCGCCTTGTCCACATTCAAGTCAATATCCAACCAAGAAGCTCTCTGGCCTCGACCAGCATTATTCACAAGAACATCCAGGCGACTGAAATGCTTTAAAACCCTCTCAAAAGCTTCCTCGTGCTTCGCAATCTCCAGCAAATCCATCCTGAGCACGAGAATGTCCTTCTCTCTCAGCTTCCCAGCGGACATATGAAGGCATTCATCCTTCAGCTTCTGCAGTTCATCCAATCTTCTGGCGCTGATTGCCAATTTCACTCCGTGCGATGCCAAGAGAAGAGCCAAGCTTCTGCCGATGCCCGATGAAGCGCCTGTGATCCAGATCACCTTTCCGCCCAGAGTGGCTAAAGAGTGGATTCGGTGACGTAACATTACTTTAATTGTCTCATCTCACCGCTAAACTCACATATTTCCTTGCCGAATGTCGCCTTCAGGAATAATTCGATGTTGCAATCGAGATAAATCCACAGGAAGACTGTGACGATGCGGTAAATCAGGATGCAGAGACCAATTCCAGCGAGAAGGAACAGCATTTTGCACACCGACGATTAAGCTCTTAAAATGACACTATAGAAGCTATAAAGAGATAAGCGCTGGAAGGCCAATAAAACCAGTATCACTGAGAGATGATCTCACTTTCGGCACGACATTTTCGTCAAGATTTCATGGCCATCAGAACGACACATCTGGGCGAAGTGTCTGCATCCAGAATCTTCATGATTTCACAGTGAAACGCCTCAGAAGTCTCTTCGACGTAGATTTTCCTGTCCATGAGGATGACATTTTCGCACAACTCCTGAAAATATAACTCAATCAAAGCCCGCTTCTCATTCTGTCTACTGTTTCAACTTCCCACCTGAATTGTCGTCTGCAGGAGTGTGAGACACTCAGAAATCTCATCACCACGCGGATATTTATCACAGAGACTTCTCCACTTTGATTTGTGCTCATTCTTCCACGGAATCAGTGCGTTTGTGCGACATTCTCGAATTTCAAAGCCACAAATTGCACCATCAAAGTCCTCCCCATCAACCCTTTCGCCGCCTTTCACGCGCTGAATCTCTTGATCTGCAATACAACTGGCGTTATGTGATACCATTCCACAAGGTGACACTAATTAAAAGGGAAAAATGATTGATCACCTTCCGTCACCACAGCATCGAGCAGTGCGCGCTGAAACATATTTCTCCCGTGAACTCTGTGCTCCTCCTGCGTCATCCTCCTCCACCTGGACACGGCTTGTTGACAGGCGAGCCTGAGAAAGGGTCTGCATGCGATACCTGAGGCGCCCTTCATGGCCTCCGTCAATCTCCCGCTTAAGGGAAAGTTCACAGGTCTGCCCTGAGAGTCAATTGCCATTTTGTGATAACAACAAGGCATCACAATTGCCGCTCGGATGACCTCTGTGCCCTGGAACAGCTTCAGCGCAGTCACTGTCAAGTCTCCACAGGCGTGAAGACCCACAACAGCCACCGAAGTGTCCTTCACGTCGATCCCAAAGACCTTATTCAGCTCCTGCGATATGAAATCCCACGAGGAAGAAGTTACGAAGTGACTCACGAACTTTACAGATCCTTTGGAAGTCGGAAAGAACTTCTCCTGACGCTCTTCAGCTGTCTTTACGCGCTCCTCGTCACATTCAATGCCCAGAATTCGATAGTTGAACTTCTCATACAGCATTTGACACAGATAACCCAATCCACTGCCCAAATCCACCAAGTATTGAATGTTCTTCTCTCTGCAAATATCGTGAATTTGGCGGGAAAGATTGGATATTTCCTGAAACTTCTTGGGATTTACTCCTCTCATGGTCTTCGATGACTTTGGAAACTCCTTCGAAGACACTTTGATAGAGAGCCGAGAGATTCTCATCAGGAACTCCTTCAGTTCCTCATCCAGAGTGTCAGGAATCATGCCAAAAGGGATGTTATTCAACTCATTGTGACTCAAATTCATTAAACTTTTGAACCAATTTGGCGGAAAATCATCCAAAACTCCAGCTTTCACGAATTTCGTATTGGAATTCTTGTAAATCCATTGATATTCTGCCAAGAAAGCCACAATTTCCTCCAGTTTCGAGTTGTCCATCTGGAAAAACAGAACAAGAAAGTGAATAACAACGAATTTCCACCATTTCAATTCATCATAACCAAAGGAAAGTCTTTATTGTGAACAAATTGGATTTATTGCGAATATCTTTCAAATTACTCATCCTTCGACACCGACCACTCCTGGCCATCCTTGTTGAGGCTCTCCTCGCCCGGACCCAAAACACACCTGCCCACACCCCGCTGCGGATCAGCCGCAAAGTACTTCTCAGCCAGGCTCATCACCTCATCCTTGGTCACAGTCAGCACGTGACTTCTGTGCTCCTCGAAGATCTCATGCGTGATGCCGTACTTGAAGTCCTCAGCGCCCTTCTCGCCAGGCGCCGTTGGGGCGTCCAGTTGCTGCACGACGCCCAACTTCGCTTCGAAGAGCTGCTGATCATCTAGAGACTTCTCATTGGCATGAATCCACTCGGCAGTGGCATCGAAGGTGTCCAGCGTCTTGCGACAATTGGGATCGCGATAGCTGAAGAAGGAGAAAATCCCATCGATGCCCAGCTTGGCTCCTGCGCCATAGGCGCCATTCTGCTCCCTGACAACGGGCAGCAGATACTTCGAGGAGAGCCACTTGGCCAGGACGCGCAGCGGCGCGAAGTCCGGATGGACGTAGGGCACAGCCATCAGGGACTTGGCGCAGTAATTCACCGGGATATTCATGCAAATGTGCCGATTTGAGGGCATCAGAGTGTCCGAAGTGAGTTGAGTTGACTTCGCCTCGCGCAGCGGAAGATTCTCAATGAAGGTCACGTACTGATCCAGCAAATGCCCGCGATGGGATTCGCTGAAGTTGATGCAGCAGCGCATCTCGTTGTCCCTCAGCAACTTCCTCGCCACCTTGGAGATCTTCGAGAGAATCTCCTCGGGCTGTTCCGTGGCCAGAAGTCCCTTCATGAACTCAATGTGACCAATGCCAGAGACACTCTCCCGGATGTTGGCTGCCTCAGACACCAATCCACTGGCGCCCTGCATGGCGTACAAGTGGCCAGAAGTGGGCACGCCAACCACCAGATTTGACATGTAATTCTCCAGCAGCATCTCGAAGCGCTTCACATCCGTGAACTGGAAATTGTGAAACAGATCCTGAAAGATGTTGAACATATCGTGGCTGTTCTTGTCCAGACAAATGGTTCCAAACTCCACGCCCAAATCGAAACTGCCCACATCCAGTGGATTTTCCGAGCAGTGCATCCGGAAACTTAAGCCATTCGTCTTTGATTTGATGCGCTGATCGAATTCCCGGTAAGTTTGGTGCTTCGTGCCAAACTGATCGATCACATCCAGCAGCAGAGGCAGCAACAGTCTCTCCTGATCACTCAGATGAGCACCACTGAAGATCCCCTTGAAGTACGTCACGCCATTTGTGTCCGCCGTCACGAGATGCGTTGGCGTTCCCGTGACAATCATCTTCTCAATCCTCGCACGCTCAATCGTCTTGGGAATGTCCGAGATGGTCAGACAGGGCAGAATGTTGGCATCCTCCACGCGCTTCTGACACTTCTCCAACTCCACACCTTCCGTGAAGATTCTCTCCTTGTCCTCTGGCGTCAATTCCTCCACTTTCCGCTGCAGAATCTCACTCTCCTTCTCCACAAATCTCTTCTCGAACTCCTTGTCCGGCGACATTGTCATCGTGAGACGATGCTTGTTGTTCTTGAAGAAGTGCTCAACGGATCTCTGCAAGTACTGCGGATCCTTGAGGTTCTCCCTGAGTTGCTTCATCAAATTCCCAACTTGAAGGGACGAGAAGATGTCCCCGTTGTGATTCCACAGCGGAACAACGTTGAAGAGAAGTCCCAGGCCGAATTTCGGGGATTGATGCCGCAGCATGAGCTCAATATTGTGCAAAACACTCTCCACGTGCTTCTCCTCGAAGCCCTTCTCTATCGCCTGATCGATTGTCTCGTCGAAGATCTGCTTGACACGCTCGAAATCACTCACGTCCAAGTCCTGCAATCCCACCACGAACATCGTGTCTCTCAGCTGATTGTCGAAGCCCGTCAAGGCATTGAAGCCACCAGAGATGTTGGGCTCAATGAGGCTGCGATAGAAGTAGGAATTCGGTCCCTTCACCATCAACTCCGCCAGCACGTAGAGCAGGAAGGTGTCGTAGGTGTTTGTGATGTCCGACATGAGATAACCGATGGCAATTTGGTTCTGCTTCTCGAACGGCACGCCCAGAGAGTCGTAGCGACAGCAAATGTTCGCCTCTCGCGCTTCACTCCAGCGCTCTTGTCGTGGCACTTGACTATAGCTGGCGTCAATCTTCTCACCGCGCGCCAAATACTGCTCATTGATGTACGCCATGGACTTCTCGGCCGAGAAGTTGCCATAGCTGAAGAATCTCGCATTGCTGGGATGATAGTATCTGCTGTGGAAGTTCACCAGGTCCTCGTGCGTGAGTTGGGGAATATCCAGAGGATCTCCACCCGAGACGTATCTGTACGTGTGACCAGGGAGGATTTCATTGAGGAACTTCTGGCCAAAAACACTGGCATTCTCCGAGAAAGCGCCCTTCATCTCATTGTAAACCACTCCCTTCAGCACATAATCACTGCTCCTGTTCTTCAGCTCCGAATGCTCCAGTCGCCAGCCCTCCTGCTTGAAGTCCAGATACTTCAGATTCGGCCTGAACACCGCGTCCAAGTAAATCTTCTGCAGGTGTCGGAAATCCGTCTCGTTCATCGACGAGAACGGATAAATGGTGTAATCCGGACCCGTCATGGCGTTCATGAACGTCGCCATGCTCCGCGTGAGCATCTTGAAGAACGGATCTCTCACCGGGAACTTCTCAGAGCCACACAGAACCGTGTGCTCGAGAATGTGAGGCAATCCCGTGGAGTCGAATGGCGTCGTGCGGAAGTTTATCGAGAATACATTGTTGGAATCCGCTCTGTCGATGTGCAGGTACTCAGATCCTGTCTTCTCGTGCCTGAACAAGTACGCCGTCATGTTGAAATCCGGCACATACTCTGTCCGGGTGCACACAAAGCCATGATATTCGCTTCCCGGAGTGAATTTTGACTGTCGCTCAGTGCGATTGAATATCACCTGCGGTTTCAGTGCGGCTGCCGATGATTTGCACCTCTTCAGGTGCGAAATGATCTGCCGGCCGGCGTGGAAGCGAGAAAACATCTCGACAAGGGATATTTCTGTGTGAAAATTCATGAAAACCGCCAATTAATGTTTGATGATTTTTTTGTGGGAAACTTGTCATTAATACTCACGGATTTTCTTAGAAAATAACACAATATCGTGTGTGGGCTAATCACTAAGTGATTGACTGACCAGAACCAGATAACTTTTATTACTATTCACCGGTTTTTTACACAATTGCACAATTTTTCCATGGAATTTCCCCCTTTTCGCCGACGAATTTGAGGTTGGAATCAAGATGGGAAACAGCGTCACAGGTGAGTGATAGGGAAATGAATGCTTACCACAAGATTTGTCTTATTTCGTTGAAAATCCACTTAAAAACTCACTTTCTTAACACTCAGAAGAGGTTTTCTTGGACAGTAAAATAATTATAGACCGTGTTTTTCTCAAATTCCTGTAAACTTTCCAGGATTTTGCAAACACAACACACACCTTCGACTACACGCCGCAGTTGAGAGAATGGCGTTGGCGCGTGTTTTGATTCTACACGAGTTGTCAAGTGATGCGATTGTTTCTGTTGAATTTTCTCTCGGTCTTTTGTAATGCGTTTAACGGCATTTTTCACTAATAAAACCCCTAGATAGCTAGCAATAAATTTGTAATATAATCAGGAGTGAGTATGGAGGAAGAGGATCCGGTCGTGGAGGAGGTGAGAATGCTTTTCATTCGCTTGTGTGGCTGTTTGAGGTTACGTTAGCCAACTCACATTTTCTTGTTTCTCGGCTCTTCTCGTCCTTCCAGATCCCCGTATATTTATCCAAATCCCTGGCGGAAAACTTGTATGTCTTTCAATTCTCAACGAGAGAGGGTCACTACACAATTGACTGCAATGACGTGGTGAATTGCTGTGTAAAACCGCACAATCAGCAGGTGAGAGAGTCGTTGAGAATGGTTTTGAGGTGGTTTTGACGGATGTTTTGGGGCTCTCCTTGCAGGTAAAGGTGGACTTTGGGTTGGACACCAATTCGCGCAACTATGACAACTTCAAGGGTTCACAGCTGGCCATCGGGGCGGACGGGAAGCATCCCTCAAAGGGTGACCGGCCGTCATATCCGGACGGCACGATGGACAAGATGAGCTTCATGAGCTCGAAAGCACTGCAGAATTCAGGAAATTATGTGATAGGTGTTATGCAGGATCGAGAAGTGCACACAACACCCCTTAATGGCATCCTCCAGATGCGCCCGTCCTTCTCCTATTTCGACAAACAGGACGCGCGACGGCGAGCCGAGCAGAAGACGGAGTCAGAGTTGGAGGCCGAGGAGGAGGAACTGAAGCAGATCACCGTGAAATTCGCACGCAGCAGCGACAGTGAGAAGGCGAAGAAGGCGCGCGAGAAGACATTCGACTTTCTGGCGGCGCGCGAGGCCGAGGAGCCCTGGTGTGAAGCCTTCTGGCATCCCAACCAGTCTGCGGCTGTGGAGCTGGAGAAACAGAGGCTGTTCTGCACCAAGACCACTCCCACAGGTCACACGCTGGCCTCCACGAGTCGAGACTACGTGAAGGCGCTCATCCCGCCTGAGAGGCACGACAAGTCCGTGGAGAGCATCGTGCCCAGCGGCATTGTTAGCCTGTACAAGCTGAAGGATTTGGGATTGCAGGAACAGATCAAGAACATCCTGATAGACGGTAAAATTCAACGTGAATTATTAGGGAACACACTTAACGAGTAACATTTTCTCAAATTCTACAGTCAAAATGGTGTCTCTGACGCAATTGCTGGCCATCCTGGACGATCGCGAGGCGAGTGAGGAGAAGGTGGTGCGCATCCTGCCCCTGGTGGGGATGCTGATACGCGGCAACTGGGTGGTGCAGTCAGAGATACTCTATCCGGTCGAGTCCTTCTCCAGCACCAACGGCATTTCCAGCGAGATCATGTGTCGCAGTCGGGATTACGTGGTGAGTATTTGATGATTGTGAAAGATGTTGAGGTAGTTGAGAGGCTGACTGAGGATTCTCAACAGTTGCATCAGCTGGTGAAGCGGAACTGCGTGGACAGGCAGAAGATCGCCGCGGTGATTCAGCTGCCGCCCGAGGAGGTCAAAGAGATCCTCTTGTCTGTGGCTCAGGTGTCGTCGCGTGGCTGGGAATTGCCGCTGATGCCAGATGTGCGCTTTGAGGCCAAATATCCGGAGATGGTGTCGCGGCAGGAGCTGTGGTGGCGCAGCCGGGAGGATCTGTTCGCCGAGATGGAGTCCGAGAAGGGGCCGAAGCGTGTGCGCAAGAGATCCATCAGAGAGTCCAGCAAAGTGCCGGCCGACAAGGTGAACGGCACAGCCTAATAAATGTGAACGTGTGAGAGAGAATAAGAGACAAACACTGGAATAACGAGGACGAAGAGTGACGCCTTAGATGTTGAGCATCCGGCGGACGGATGACATGATGTCTGGATAGATGTTATTGCGATTCGCCTTGGTGATCTCGAACACCTGGCAGTTGTCGATCTTCTTCAGGTTCTGGATGATGTCGCTGGAGTGTGGCGAAGTGATGGGAATTGTGGCGATCATGCATCGCCTGCCCAGGCGCAAATCCTCAGTGATTTTCACAATTCCATCCTGGAATTGCGTGCTGAACAGCTCCATCTTCCCGATTTCGTCAATCAGCAGCACAGGATCGATGTTGTTGTTGAACAGAATGGGCACGGCGATCTGATCCAGGCTCTCAATGTCCACTGAGTACCTGCTCAGCTTGTGGAGGCGCTTGAACGAAGCCAGAGCGGAAGTCTTGCTGGGTCGCGCCAAAGGTCCGCGCTGGCCATCGAAGGTCACTATATCGAAGCCCACGCGTCCGCCAAGGCCATTGCGCACTTCCTCGGTGTAGAAGCCCGTGAGAGGCACTTTGAAGCTCTTCAGGTCATCGGCAATCTTCTTCAGAATTGTCGTTTTCCCAACACCTGCGGAATTGTGGGGGCGGAAAAAGGCGCTCAGTTTGATTTTCACTCAAAAGCAGTGCCAGAAACTCACCGGGAACGCCCGTTATCAGAATTAAGTTGAAGACCATTCCTAAAACCTCTGCAGGCACTGCAGTAATCAATAAGATAGGCCAATCGATAAGAAACACATCCCCAGTTCGCTTTGTTTACGATTTTCTGCTGGGAAATTTTCCACACCCGATTGCAAATTGTCCGGTGCTCGCGCGATGTAAAAAGTGAATTTCGGGGACATTCTAAAGACTTTTCTATCTAAATACTACTCTTGGATTCACATTTTTCTTACAAAAGTAAGATTTAAAATATGTAGATAAATCTAACTTTCAATTGGAACACGAAAGAGAAGAAAATAGGTCTAGGTTGTCTTCTAGATTTTGTAGGAATCACGGAATGTCGTGAGACAATTCCGTGCATTTGTCCCCAACGAAATCCCATGGGAAAGATTTGCAACAGGGCGAAGGGATTTCGTGACATCACGTGAGCAATGACAGCTCGAGATATCGTCAAAGGTGAGAAAAGTCGTATTTTCCTCCTAAAAGCCCCTAAATTGCATCATTTTCCTATCAATTTCAGATATTGGGGAAGTTTATTCACGCATCTTCGATCATCGGCCCTTCACAAGCGCTGAAATTCAGTATTTCGTGAAGGAATTCGAAGTGAGTCAACCGTCCGGAAAGAGTGTCAATGTTGGGAATGTTCTTCAATGTACTTTTTCTTCTCCAGGAAAAGCGCAGCGACAGGGAAGTGGAGAATCTCTTTCACTGTCTGCAGAACACATCGGAGACGAAGGATTCGGGTGTGTCACGCTGCAGAGTGGCGTGCGAAGGGCATTTGGAGGAGGTGAAGAGAGCCTTGGAAGTCGCTTTGGGCGCTTGCGAGGAGGTTTGCAGTCACACGGCGGATCCCAAGCTTGCGGAGACACTCGAGGCCAATCGTGTGGCCAGGAAGGACGTATGGAGTCACTTTGTTGATGATATGGCACACAAGTGTTCCAGAGTTGATCACACTTTTGAGCAGAAAGAGGAAGAATTGCGGGATTTCTATCTGGATCTTGAGCGCAAGTTGCACATTCATCAGTGAGAGAGATGTCGAAGGGAAGCATTGTGGATCCTCGCTTGAGGATTGTGGCGTCCAAGAGGCTCTGCGATTACGTGCAGAAGCACTTGGCGGAGGAGAAGAGCCTTCCGGAGAATATGGCGAGGATTTGTGGGAAAGTGTCCAAGACATCCTTGGATGACGACACGAAAATCTACCCAAATGTGATTTACACGGAGAATGAGAAGAAATTGCTGGTGTCAGCTGAGAATTTCCTCGAGAATCCACAAGGAAAGACGTCAATTGAGGAGGAAAAACCGCCCAGTAAGAGTGAAAAGACAAAGAAGGAGCAAATCCTGACTGTGAGAGACATTAAGTGGCTCAGTGAGAAGCTGAAGGAGAAGAGAGAGTCTGGAGATCATCCGGTTTATCTTCATGAACTCCTGGAGAGCTCTTCGGTGCTTCTGCCGGAAAACCAAATAATCGCCAGAAGTCCGGAGCTCGAGAAGCGCTGTGAGACGCTGCGGAAGGAGCAGGAGGATCGCAATTATCGCCAGATGACGCGCAATGTGGAGACTTATCGGAATCATCCGTACGAAGACAGCATTGCTTATCAGATGAAGCAGATCAATAAGCAACTGATTGCCGTGGCGCAGTTCATCTTCTCGGTGATTGCGGGCTTCGTGTTTGGCTTCCTGGGCATTCAGCTGATTGTGGGGAATCTGGACTTTGGCTTCCGCCTGCTGTTGGGCATCATGTTCGCCCTGATCATCGCTCTGGCCGAGATTTACTTCCTGGCCAAGAAGCTCAATGAGAATGCCGATGAATTCAAGGTCGCTCGGTCGCCGGAGCACAAGAGCACCGCCGGTGGTGAGAAGGAGCATCGGGACTGACTTCCTGGCTAGATTAATTCCCTTTCAGAATATGTGCTTAATATTGTTCGTTATACTTTATGAGTTTGAATTGAAATATATCCCAGGAAAAAAATGAGACATTTCTGACGACGTGTCAGTGTTTCTTTGGGTTTGCCAAACTGTCAAAGTCGCGGCGTTGTTTTCAATGTGTTTTCACCGCTTTTTCTGCGCTTTCCAGTGAAAATTCTCGTGGAAAATGCTGAAGAGAGTGTGGGGAAACACTTGCCGGATGTGTCTGGAGAACAAGATCCAGTGCATCGACACAGATGTTCCGGGAACGTTTAAGGATTATGTGTCAACAATATTGTTAGAGATTTTCCAAATTACAGTGAGTTTTCTGGCATTTCCTCTGTGTTTGAGGATGTTTTCGTCTAATCCTGGATCACTTGCAGATTGTTCCTGAGGAGAATCTGCCGCAAGAGGTGTGCTTTGACTGCTTCGCAAAGTCCAACTCTCTGTGGCAATTCCGGCAGCAAGTGATTGAGAATCAACAGTTGTTGCTTCAGCAGGTCCCGGAAAGTGCTGTTGTTGCCATAGAGGAGTCAGATTATGTGGAGTCAGAGGAGTATCCGGGCGAGGAGGAGCTTGATGATGGTGTGTTGAAGGAGGAATATGGGATTGACGAGGAGACTGCAATTGAGGAGGATATTATTGTCGAGGAGCCTTGGGAAGAGGATTACAGCTTGGCAGAGGAATCTGCCATTCAGGCGGATGTTATGGAGCTGATTGAAGAGTCTGCAGATGAGGCGCCGCCAGTGCAGGAGGAGTTGATTGAGAAGCCGACGGAGGAACAGCAATCAAAGAAGCGAAAGTGGGAGAAAAATCCAAATGTTGACAGTGTTCTTCTCGAGCACTTTCCCCAATTGGCCACTGTCGTCTGTCCGCTGGACAACATGAGTTGGTCAGAGAAGGATGAACTGCTGAGGGAATTTGTGAAGCTGAAGTGCAGAGATTGCGACAGTGCGCAAGCATTTTCCACCTTCGACGACTTGCAGGATCACTACAGACTGAAGCACAGAGAGAAGCGCTGCATCGTGGAGTGCTGTGGGAAGGATTTCTCTCGCAGGGATCTGCTGTACGCTCATGTGGTGGTTCACAAGTATCCCGATGCGTTCTCCTGCTTCGTGTGCAAGCGTCAATTCAAGGGCAAGGAGCTGTTGAAGAAGCATCTCTTCACGCATCTGCCGTACGAACTGCGGCCGCTGCAGTGTGAGAAGTGTGACAAGAAGTTCCTGGCCAACAATCAGCTGCGCCTGCACATGCTGGGCCACACGCAGGAGCGACGCAAGTCACCGGCGAAACGGCGCAGCTTCCCGGGCATCACCTGGGCGGAGGGCGAGGAGACCGTGGAGGAGGAAGTGATGGACGATGGCACGGAGATGTACAAGAGTATCATTGACAACAAGATGAGAATGTACGACAAAGATCGCGCAATCTACGAACACTTCCCCGACTTTGACTACATCGGCTCCACATCAGCGTCCGTGCCGCTGGAGGAGCGAGATGAGGTGATAAGGCGCTTCGTGACGCTTCAGTGTCAAGAGTGCGACGCCCGGCCGACTTTTCCCACCTTCGAGATGCTTCAGGATCACTACGCCGAGCAGAATCACACCAATCAACCGTTCGTGGTGTGTTGCAACAAGAACTACTATCGCAAGGTGAATCTCATCAACCACATCACCTTCCACGTGAATCCCAACGTGTTCGCGTGTCCCGTGTGCGCGCATCAGTCGAAGAGCAAGGAGCTGCTGAAGAAGCACCTGTACACGCACCTGCCCAAGGCCGTGCGGCCGCTGGAGTGCGCTCAGTGTGGCAAGAAGTACGTGACGAAGGCGCAACTGCGACTCCACGTCGCCAGTCACGTGCGGAAGGAGGACAGATCGCACGAGTGTCCGGAGTGTGGCAAGAAGTTCGCCTACGACTTCGCCCTGGAAACCCATCGACGATCACACAGACGCGTGCCGGATTATGTGTGTGAGATCTGCGCCAAGACATTCACGGGAAAGAGCAACTATCAGGACCACAAGATGCGCCACCACGAAATCCCCGAGCCTGTTGTGTGTCCGATTTGTGAGAACACGTACAAGAACAAGATCAGCCTGCGAAGTCACATGGCATTGCACACGGATCTCCGCGAGCACAAGTAAGCCTCCACTTAACTCTCTCTCTGGTGATCTTGCCTGATTTCTGATGTCTCTTATTTTCTTCCTCGCAGATGTGAACAGTGCCAGAAAACCTTCACGGCCAGAGCTGGTCTTCTGGCGCACATTCGCTTCGTGCATTCGGAGCAGTTTCTCTACCACTGCAACATTTGCAAGAAGAAGCTGCGCACCAAATCGGATCACAAGGATCACATGGCAAATCATCTCGGCCAGCCGATGTATCACTGTGAATTCTGTCTCAAGTCCTTCACGGCGCGCTCATATTACTTCGCACACAGGAAGAAGGCGCATCCCGAGGAGCACGCGAAGCTGCCCAAGAAGCAGAAGTTTCACGTGGAGAACTGAAAATACATTTGCGTGCTCTTTGTCACTAGGAATAATTTATATAAATTTCACCTAAGTTTTTTTTCATCCTAGTGCACAATTTCCCCATTGCACTGTTATTTCGTCAGCAGTGGAAAGTTGTTCTCGTGCTTATGCGCCTGGAGATGATGAAAGAGATCAGCCCGAATCAGCACCTGCTTGCAGATGGAGCACACATCAATTATCGCCTCGCTGTGCTTCTTGTCCATCCTCTCTTGTTGTACATGAACTAGGAACAGCTCCTGCAACACGGGAAACATGGTGAGAATGACCATCACGAGAGATTGAGACCTGAAGACTACCTGTTGCTTCGTAATGTCCGGCAGAAGAGCCAGCAATTCTGGGAATATTTCGTTGAATTTCTCACCGAGCGCCGAGACGCAGTGCTCATAGTACGGCAAGGCGTTGTATTTGTTCTTCATGAACATCTGCGAGATTGCATGGAACTCCTTCACAGCCGCACTGCTCTTGAGGGCGTCCTGGAAGTGACGCAGGAGCACCTGAAACAAACATCTTTAAGTGATGGACAAATTCAACACGATTGAGTGCATCTCTTTCTCACCTCATTTCTCTTTTTGCTGTCCAACGGATGAATATACTTCCGCGTTGGGATGATTGAGTAACTCTCTCCGGTGGAATTGGTGAATGTTAGATTGTTGTTTGGCTTCCGGGCGACGGAATTCAGTGTGACTGAATTGAATCCCGGCGGTGGTTGACTTTTGGTTTTCCCTTTACCACCGCCGGGCAAACTATCGAAGCCCGGTGGCGGCGCTAAAGACAACAGATCGCCGGCTTTTCCTATCTTTAGGGCTCCTATTTCACTCACAATGTTATTATTATTATTGCTATGCTGATTGTTATTGTTATTCTTCCCATTCTTGCCCGCATTCTTGGCCTTCTTCTTGCCACTCTCGCTGCCCTTCGTCAAATCCGGCGCCGGAGCCACTTTGGCCTTGCGACTCTCCACCGTTTTGTTCTTCGTCGCTGACGCTGCCACCCACGTGGGCGGAGTGGATAAGGCACTTGAGCCGCCCAGTGTGGGAAAATTGTCCTCAGAGTTCAATTTGGGCACTTTGGCCTCCACTTCAGGTGCTTTTCTGGGCGCCGGCGGCGGCGGCGGCGCCCCATTGGTCACCATCATCAGTTTGGACGCTAGAGAAGCATTTGGCATGATCATAGCGTTGTCCTCGACTAGTCCTCGATGCTTCGCAGACACACTCTTTGGGTTCCCAGTCAGGGCTTTGGCACTGGGCAGCGCTGGAAAGTCTTTCGTCACGTCCGGATGCTTCGCTGGCCGGTTGGATATGTGAATGATGGTGCCTTTGGGCGGCGCAGGAGGCGCAGCTTGCGGTGGCGCTTGTGGTTTCTGCACCATCTTGCTGTAGTGACCCGTGGACGGACCCTCGAGGGATGATGTTGAGGGCATCGCCGAATTGCCACCGCCCAGAGCCGGGAAATTCTCCTTCGTCTTGGCCAGAGAGTTCGTCTTGTAGGATTTCGCCTTGATGGAGACACTAGGTCGAATCATAGGCACGGGGGCGCTATTGCCGGCTCCGCCCAGAGCCGGAAACTCTTGTTCGTCATTGGCATTGATTGTCTTTTGTGGCTGTTGCTGAATTGTTGATCCCATAAGTGGTCGATAGTGCGACGTTGTCTCGGCTTCCTGATAAGCAGGCGCTCCGTTGGGCTGTCGATTGCGTGGCACCAGAGAGAACTCAACTTCCAGCGTTCTTGTCTGCTTCGTGGCCAGTTTGCCCATCGTTCGGCTGTGCATGGACGCCTTGTGGGCGCGCAAGTCGATGTCCGTGCGAAAGACCGCCGTGAACTGCTCCTCCAGGCAGTTGCCCTCCTCGCACAGATAGTGGTCGGAGCGGAAGTGCTGCCTGAGGGATGGATAGTCGCTGTAGAATTGATTACAGCCGTCGGCATCGCAGAAGTGACAGTAGAAGTGCTCGCGTCGAAGGTGACGAAACAGCTCATCGCGGTCTAGATAGCGGATATCGCAGTACTCACAGAGCGGGTGGCCACGATGGGATGTGTTATCAGCGTCGCCTTTCCTCTTGTGCATCGCCAACTCTTCCCGAGTGTAGCAACGCCTCTCGAAGGTGAAGATCGTGAGGTTGTCCGTGCAGAGTTCGCAGTAGAACAGCTCATGATCGCGCTGAACGTGCTTTCGCAGCATTGTGAAATCCACGAACGGCGGACACTTGCAGCGCGGACATGCGTGCTCCAGGAGCTTGTAGAAGGCATTCTGAATGCCCAAATCGCCAAATACTATCCGGTACTGCTTGTCATACAAACCACTCCTGGTGCTGACCTCGAGCTGCCTGAAGGATTGCTTCTCGCGCGAGAAGATCACCTGTGGAGTGGAAAGCAGCAGCTACAGACACGCAGAGCGCCCGAAACAGCGTCTCTCGAAATACCTGCGAAAGCTCTTGGCGACAGATTGGGCACTCGTTCTGCCCGCACAGCACTCGCATCCGAGTGGAGCACACGTAGCAGACAGCGTGGTCGCAGCTCCCCACGGAGAAGATTGTCACCTCCACGAAGCACACAACGCACGAGTTCTCGTATGTCTCCTGGGACTCAGCCACAATCTTATTTGCACCCTTTCCAGACATTTTTTCGTAATTTTTCTCTCTCCGCGGAACAATAAAAAGCAGAAAATCTCATGAGAACTTGCGATTTTTTACGCCAGAGGCACGACGTGCCACGCAGGCGATCGTGGCGCCACTGTTATACGCTCACTTTGGCGCGTTTTTTGCCGAGATTTCCCGCTATCTCGATATGGTGGAGATCTTTTAAATCTCTAATCTCTGAATATTCTAAACCACTGAAATTCTCACGCACCTTCCCAAGAATTTTAAGACAGTCTTTCTTTCTGGATTCTTAACCCTTCAGTGGGTTTCCAGTGAGTCCGCCCTGCTGGAGTTGGCTGGAGTTTGCGCAAATGCGTGATGGTGAAAATTGTCAAAGAGAAGTGATAAGAATTTTTGCAGAATTTCCACGAAAATAGCTCCCCAATCTCTGGCAGGATGCTGAAATCTGAGATGCAGCACCAGTACTGGGTGACGAAGAAGACAGTACAGCGGAAATTGGGCGGCAAGGAGGACGAGTGCGTGGTGTCGAGTGACCAGGAGTTGGACACAAAGATCGACCTGTTCAAGAGCATTGCCGACAGTTGCACCCATCTGTACAGAGTGATTGATCTCTATCAGGAGCGGATGTGCATTCTGGCGCAGGAGGAGAACGCCCTGGGGAAGTTCCTGAAGGAGAATGGCAAACTGAGTGTTACGTCCAGCAAGGTGATGATCAGCGCGGGAAAGTCCATCTCGTACTGCGGGCAGCAGAGAATGGCCATCCGGTCGCCACTTGTGCGACTCCACCACGAAGTGGAGACGTTCCGGGAGCGCGCGATTGCCGATACACACGTGACAATAGCGGTGATGGAGAAGGAGAGGACGGAATACCGGGCGGCGCTGAGTTGGATGAAATCTGCCAGCGCCCAGTTGGATCCGGACAGTGGGAAGGGCCTGGAGAAGTTCAGGCGGGCGCAGAGTCACGTGAGGATCTCAAAGCAGAAGTTCGACAGGCTGACGCTGGATTGTCTGCAGAAGATCGATTTGCTGGCCGCGGCGAGATGCAATATGTTCTCGCACGCCCTTGTCGCTTATCAATCCAGCCTGATTCAATTCGCCACAAAGACGACGGAGACTTTCAGAGCTGCCTCGAAGATTCTGGACAGCGAGCCGCACTACACTTTTAGCATACTGAAAGAACTCACCCAGGAGGCCAAGGAGCAGCCCAAGGAGGCTCTTGACGAAGAGGAGAAACTTCCCGATAAGGATCGGATGCTCTTCTTCCAGGAGGACTACAAGGATGAGAAGATAATTGCCGAAACGGAGACTCCTGCGGCTCCTCTGGGAGAGAATTCCCAACTCCTGATCGACGGACTCGGTGGCGATCCGGAGAAAACGGACGATCTTCTGGGTCTCTCGATGGACTTTGGTGACTTTATGTCCAGCACAGCGCCTTCTTTCATGCCGTCTCAACTCTTAGACAATCTCACTACGCTCAATCTCGTCGATGCACCAACGCCAGAGGCCACGGACGATGCCGCGGGCCCCACGAAGACCTCAGCGATCCTTGAGCTCTTCAATCGCGCCCCCGCGAAGCCCTCAACAGGCCCACAACAGGACGCCGCGATGCCTTCCGCAGCCAAGCGCGACACGAAGCCCGGGAAGAGTGCCTGGTTCGATCTGTTCTCCGAATTGGACCCCTTCGCCAATCCCGACACCATGTCCAAGCAGATCGACGGCGGATCCAACAGCCACGCCGCTTAATTCGCCCCCCACAAATGTATTCCCCAAAACATTCCCGACTTGAGGCATATTACAATAAAAATAAAGATTTCCACATGCGGGCATTGCGCAAACGCCACTCTCGACGGCCAAGTCAGTCTCTCTCCGAGTTCCACCGCGGACAGACGCGCGCTCGTGGCTTCCCATCGATTGGCCAGAGACAGAGAGGCACTTTCAGCTCTGGCTTGGCATCCGACGATCCCCGTGTGACAAGGAAGACGCGAGAGTGAGGCTTTTCTGCGCCACAATGTACAAATCGATAAGACGCATTCCCCATCCGGTGGTGAGGAACTGCCTCAAGGATTGTGAGTCCTGAATGCAGTGGTTTTGCTTTCGAGGTCAGTTGTAAATCTCAGTTGTTTGCAGTGAGGACATTCTCCACGTCCAAGGAGCCGACCGGGCCCAGCGTGAGAACACAAATCCCCGGCCCGAGATCCACAGAATTGCTCAAGCAACTCAACACGCTTCAGGTAAGAAATTCCTTATCATTATTGCTAGGGTGCACCGAATTCCCACAGCGTCCTTGGCGAATTTCTATGCACTCTTTATTGCCTCTTCCGCGAGCTCTAATTTCTCGTGCATTGCAGAAATCGCTTTCAATTTGCGGGCATTTGCATATTCGGCCCAATCGCTAATAGAATAGAGGAAAGCGTGGCACTTTTGAACACACATTTTGAGTGACATTCTGTGAAAAAGTTTTCGTTTACACTGCAATTTGATCAAAATGATAGAGATTCAGGGCTCGTGACGTAAGATTCAAGGCTAAATTTTCATTGAAAGTAAAGAATCATTTGTGCACTTTAAGGATTCATTCCAAATGCTTCTTTTCGCTAAATTATTTTGTGGAAAACAGCGGAATTTGCTCAGTTTAACAGCGAAAAATACAGATTCGATAGTTCTAGCGAAAATAAATTGAGCATCTTTGCGCAAATAAAGGAGCTTTTTGTGCTGTTTAAGGGTATTAAAATTCAAGTATACGTCAATTCGTGCTTAAAGTAAAATTCGAGTTAGCAAATTGTTGCCAAGTTTGTTTTGCTCACATCAAACGTGAAAGAAAGCACGTGAGCTAACGCGTGTGCAACTGACCTAGTTTGTATCGGAAGTAAGGAAACTCTTTCAATTGTAAATTAATCCAGGAAATTTGCCGAAATTGATATCAGAATAAGTGCGATAACTGCGAAAAAACCGAAAAAACCTTGAACTTGAAAACGCGTAACATTTCTCTAAAGTGAGCCACCCTAGTGAGATCTTGTATTTATTTTTTTGCGCATTTTTCGTGAGACTCTTGGAGCCAAATATTTGCCACTCTGCGACGAATTTCCAATGCTGACCTTTTATGCGGCGACACGATGTTCTCCCTTTGCAGACGACAATCGTGGCAATTGATTTAAATTGGAGCCATTTAACCGGAGAGGCCTGAAAGTTGTGCGTAATTGAGACTCTGCCCCCAAAATATCCACTTCTCGGCTCTCCCAAATGATTTTTTGGTGCAAAATTCACCACGAGATACTCTTGAATATCACCGTGGGAGTTGGGCTAATAATAAAATTCATCATTCCGCGTGATAAGATAAAGCCATGATGATCTGTGATGCGGGTTTATCTTTCAGAACGCGGGTTCGGTTCAGCTGTTCGCGAACTATGACAAATCCTACAGGAACTACGTGGTGGACGCCGACGATAACATCCTGCTGGACGTCTTCACGCAGATCTCATCGGTGCCACTGGGATACAATCACCCGGACCTGCTCAGTGTCTTCACGAATGAGCACAATCTCAAGAGTGAGTGTGCCAATTATCTGGGTCACTTCTTATGCACTGCGATGATGATTAAATTGCCCTTCAATTTGTCCAATTGCAGGCCTCATCAATCGACCGGCTCTGGGAGTCTTTCCTGGCGATGACTGGCCGCAGAAGCTGCAGTCAGCACTGATGTCCATCGCTCCGCCAGGCACCAATCAAGTCACCACGATGATGTGTGGCTCCTGCTCCAACGAGAACGCCTACAAGAACATCTTCATCTGGTACAGGAAGACGCAGCGCGGCGAGGAGATGGAATTCACGCCGCAAGAGATGGAATCGTGCATGATCAACCAGATGCCAGGATCGCCAAAGCTCAGCATTTTGTCCTTCGTCGGTGCATTCCACGGACGCACTCTGGGCGTTCTGTCCACCACGCACTCCAAGTACATCCACAAGATCGACGTGCCGGCGTTTGACTGGCCAGTGGCTCCCTTTCCCCACTATCGCTACCCCTTGGCGGACTTCGTCAGGGAGAACCAGGCGGAGGACGAGAGGTGTCTGGCGCAGGTGGAGGATCTGATGAGCCAGTGGGCGAAGAAGGGCAATCCCGTGGCGGGAATCGTGGTGGAGCCTATCCAGAGCGAGGGTGGAGACAATGAGGCGTCGCCTGAGTTCTTCAGGAACCTCCAGAAGCTGGCCAAAAGCAATGGAGCGGCTCTCCTGATTGACGAGGTGAGGAATAATAGTCAATTTCTTGAGATATTCAGCTCGATCGCGCCATGAAGCACAGAATTGTTAACACTTGGGCATGAAATTCCTCCTCAGGTCCAGACTGGCGGCGGTCCGACGGGAAAAATGTGGTGCCACGAGTATTTCGATCTGCCCTCGCCTCCGGACATTGTTACGTTCAGCAAGAAGATGCAATTGGGCGGGTACTTCCACGGGGAGCACATGACACCGCCTCAGGCGTACAGGGTCTTCAACACGTGGATGGGTGATCCGGGAAAAGTGCTCCTCCTGGAGCAAGTGGCCAACGTAATCCGACGCGATGGCCTTCTGCAGCAGGTGCAGCGCGTGGGGGCGCACTTGAAGAGTGGCCTGGCGGAAATTGAGTCGGAGTTCCCACACCTTCTGAACTCCCTTCGTGGCCGCGGAACCTTCCTGGCCATCAATTGTCGCAACACGAAGCTGCGCGATGATGTGCTGCACAAGCTGAAGCAGAGAGGAGTGATTACAGGTGGATGCGGAGATGTGGCCATTCGTCTCCGACCGGCGCTGGTGTTCGAGGAGAAGCATGCCAATCTCTTCCTGGACCAATTTCGCGCTGTCATGAAAGAGGCAAAGTAAAATGCTCTGATGAATTGTGTGCTCTTATTTGTCTTCCAGTAGCGCAATATCCTTTGTTTAGCGTCTTCCACGGCTCATGCAATGCACCTGCACCAGCCACACAATAAAAGACACAATTTTAGAATACATCTCATAGTCTTTTCCTGTCCCAGGAACATCTTCCTGATCTTCCCTGAGGAATTGAATTAAAAATCATGCAGTAACGGCTGTAATTTAAAAATATTATCCATCAGCGCCTCTCGCGGAAAGTCAGTTGTACGTCACTTTCACTGTTTTTGCATCTCTTCGCTTTGTGTAATCTTTCCTGCAGAAAATCGAGTGGAAATTAATGTTGTAGTGCAATTAAAGATGTGGATTCGGCCGAAGGAATCCCTCCTGCCGCTGGCTCTCTGGTAAGTCGTGCACGACAGGTGGTATTTCCTGAAAAAAGTCCTCCTCGAAAATCTCCCATGTTTTGTGTTTTGATGTCACTGAACACACAAGAAAAAAACACCCAATTTTGCGAGGAAAGTATTGCAAAATGCACGATAAACCACTCGTTTTAGGGTCAATGAGCCGACACAGCTCGCATCCAAGTATTTTGTGATGCAGCGGAGGCGCGGTCATGGGCAATCGCGGGGTCTGTCGTCGCTGCTGGTGGGAACGCTGGACAGTGTGTTCGACACCAGACCAGCTCCCTTCCGGATTCTGCACCAGACGCCGTCCTCAGAGGTGTACTATGGTGAGTGGGCAGGCGGAAGCACCCTCTATCGATTCCTTTGTGGGCGCAATCTGGGCCACACAAAGAGCCTCCCCGCTGATAAGAGTAGTGTTGTCATTGTAGTTGTTTCGCGCAGAGATTGCCAGCGCTCTGACTGAGGATGACATCAAGCGGGACTGGGAATGGTTGTCCAACAACATGTTTCGGGTGCTCAATGAGATGGAGACTGAGGAGGAGATTACGAACTTCACGCTGTGCAAGATTCAGTCTCTTGTGGCGCACAATTCCACACCAGTGGACGAGGAAGTCAGCGATCCGAACAGTTTCCAGGTCGTGGCGTCGAAGTTCAGGGAGAGATTCAACATGCCAGAGGAGGAGCGACTCGTGAACTACTATTCTTGCAAGTACGCGACGATCAAAGTCTGGCCATGAAGTGTGCTCTTGACTCAATTCTTTTTCTCTCCTTTTCCAGCTACACGAAGAATCGCCTTCCTCGACAAGGTCACATTTATCTGTCGCTGAATCATCTGTGCTTCTACTCGTACATCTTCGGCAAAGAGACTAAGCTGGTGTTGACCTACACAGAGATCACTGACATTACGCGAGCCACAAATTCAATCAACATTCGCACGCAGGACAACAAAGAGTACACATTCGGGCTGCTCTTCTCGCCCAGTGAGACGTACAATCTCGTGGAGCAACTCAGCAAAATGGCCATGCAGAAGATGATTCAGGACCCAGAGAGTCCCATCTTCGATCACGATCCCGTGCTGTCGCGGAAGCTGAGCAAGAATGTGTCGAAGAAGTCCTTTCTGCTGCGCGATCTCACGACCAGGCAGCACAGCGATGAGTATCGCATGTTCTTCCGCCTGCCGCTCACTGAAGTCCTCGACGGGACAATCAAGGCCAATCTGTGGACGCCGTACAACAAGAAGTACGCGTCTGGCAATATCTACTTGTCGCAGAACTTCCTCTGCTTCAGGAGTGACGTCAAGAGGCTCGTCAGCGTCGTGATTTGCCTGAGAAATATTCGGGTGGGTGATTTTCGCGCAGAGATTTCCTGCTGTTTCTGTGCTAATAATCCTCCCTTGTCTCTCTCCTTCCCAGAGCGTTGAGAAGAAGGATGATTCTCTGTCGCGCTTTGACAACCAGATTGTCATTGCCACAACAGACGCTTCAGCACTCCAGTTCTCGCAGATCATCGATCGAGGCTTCTTGCTGGATAAGATCTCAGAGCTTCTCGCCAAGACGAAAATGTGAGACATTCTCCTGAGCCCGAATCTCTGCGATTACTAACTCTGCTCTCTTATCTTGCAGTCCAATCCACGTGGATCGTCCAAATTACGATAAAGGATGGACAAAAGTTCAGGCCTTGATCAATCAGCGTCGCGAGGAGGACGAAGGTATGCTGGGAAAGCAACGGCGCAAGCTGAACGACTGGGAGGTGCACTTCCGCGAGTACGGACGCGGTGTGTCGATGTTCAGGACGTGGGATGTGGCCAATCTGGTGCTCAAGGGCATCCCGGATCGCCTGCGTGAGGAGGTGTGGATGACGTTCTCGGGCGCCATTCACGATCGCGACATGAATCCGGGGCTGTATGAGGATCTCGTGGAGAAGTCCATGCTGAAGTACACGCCGGCGCATGATGAGATCGAGCGCGATCTGCACAGATCACTGCCGGAGCATCCGGCCTTTCACACGGACGAGGGAATCGACGCCTTGCGCCGCGTGTTGCAGGCCTATGCATACCGAAATCCCCAGATTGGCTACTGTCAGGCCATGAATATTGTGTCATCTGTGTTTCTCGTGTTTTGCGACGAGGAGAACGCCTTCTGGCTGCTGGCGAGACTCTGTGAGACTCTCTTGCCGGATTACTACAACGACAAGGTGGTGGGCGCCCAGATTGACCAGGGTGTGCTCAATGAGCTGATCTCGGAGTTCCTGCCCAATCTGTTTGAGCGCCTGGATCAGCTGGGGATGATCAAGATGATCTCTCTCTCCTGGTTCCTCACCATTTTCCTGTCTGTGATGCCGTACGAGAGTGCTCTTCACGTGATTGACTGCTTCTTCTACGATGGTGCTCGTGTTATCTTTATGGTAAGCCAGATGCCCAGCTGCAATCCACGAATCGTGTGGCTCACATGCTGATTATGTTCAACAGATTGCCCTGAAAGTATTGGAGTGGAATGAGGAGGGAATGCTGTCCTGCCAGGATGATGGTGAAGCTATGCAGATTCTCTCGACATATCTCGGTGGGATATTCAATCCAGAATATCCCACTTATACGAAGAATCTTGCAAAGCACAGGGTGAGTCCTAATTGCTACTTTCAATGAGTTTAAACACCAATTTCGTCCTGTTTCTTGCAATTTCAGACAGAGAGAATTGAGATTCTCATCGAGAATGCATATCAAACGTATGAAGAGAGCATCACAGCGCAGAAAATTGAGGAGCTGAGGAATAAGCATCGTCGGAAGATTGTGCATCAATTCGAGGTGGATACGGAGAATAGCATTATTCGTCAGCTGAGGGGGAAAAGGTAAGAGAGAAAGAGAAATTTTGCAAGGCAGTGTAAATGTTTCAAATGAAACGGAATTATGTCATGTTGTCGCGAAGATCCGCGAGGGCGCGCTGGGGTGCTCAGATTGTTCTCGAAGTGCGCCTGACATTGTTTTTCTCGGCGAAATTGTGTCGGTGCGGAAACATCTGTTTATATCCTGTGAATTTTGAGTCATCCGCGTGTGTTTTTGACTGAATTGAAACGGTGAAGATGGTGGGAATGCCAGGATCTCTTGCATTTGATGAGTTCGGGCGGCCGTTCATCATATTGCGCGATCAGGAGCGGCAGAAGCGCCTCACGGGTGCCGATGCTATTAAGAGCCACATCCTGGCGGGCAGGCAGATTGCCGCCACCATCAGGACGTCGCTGGGGCCAAAGGGGCTGGACAAGATGCTGGTGAGCGGGGACGGCGACGTGACGGTGACGAACGACGGGGCGACGATTCTGAAGCTGATGGAAGTGGAGCACGAGATTGGGAAGCTGATGGTGCAGCTGAGCCAGTCGCAGGACGACGAGATCGGCGACGGCACCACAGGAGTGGTGGTGTTGGCCGGGGCGCTGCTGGAGCAGGCGGAATCGCTGCTGGACAGAGGAATTCACCCCATCAGAATTGCCGATGGCTTCGAATTGGCGGCTCAGTGCGCCGTGAAGCATCTGGACAGCATCGCTGAGCCCTTCCCGGTGACCACGGACAACACGGAGCCGCTGGTGAAGGTGGCCATGACGACGCTGGGCAGCAAGATCATCAACAAGTGCCACAAGCAGATGGCAGAGATTGCGGTGAATGCGGTGCTTTCGGTGGCGGATCTGGAGAAGAAGGATGTGAACTTCGAGCTGATCAAGATTGAGGGAAAGGTGGGCGGACGCATGGAGGACACGACGCTGGTGAAGGGCGTGGTGATTGACAAGTCAATGAGTCACCCGCAAATGCCGAAGACGCTCAAGGACGTGAAATTGGCCATCCTGACGTGTCCGTTTGAGCCGCCCAAGCCCAAAACCACCCACAAGCTGGACGTGACGTCGGCGGAGGACTACAAGGCGCTGCGCCAGTATGAGCAGGAGAAGTTCACACAGATGGTGGATCAAGTGAAGGCCGCCGGCGCCACGCTGGCCATCTGTCAGTGGGGCTTCGACGATGAGGCCAACCATCTGCTGCTGCAGAAGGAGTTGCCGGCCGTGCGCTGGGTGGGAGGGCCGGAAATCGAGCTGATCGCCATTGCCACGGGCGGCAGGATTGTGCCGCGCTTCGAGGAGTTGTCGACGGACAAGCTGGGTACGGCGGGACTCGTGAGGGAGATTGCCTTTGGCACCAGCAAAGAGAAGATGCTGGTGATTGAGGAGTGCAAGAACTCGAAGGCTGTTACCATTCTCCTTCGCGGTGGAAATCAGATGATCATTGCCGAGGCGAAGAGGTCCATTCACGATGCCCTGTGCGTCGTGAGGTCGCTGATTAAGGACTCGCGGATTGTGTACGGCGGCGGAGCGGCGGAGATTAGCTGCGCCGTGGCGGTGGCCAAGGAGGCTGATCAGCTGTCGACGCTGGAACAGTACGCCTTCCGTGGATTCAGTGTGGCACTCGAGAGCATTCCTCTGGCTCTGGCTGAGAACAGGTGAGTTTCTCCGCTCCCACAATTTGACACAATATTCTCACGATCTTCTTTTCCTCTCCCTTTTTCAGCGGCCTGGCACCCATTGAGACGCTGACGGAGCTGAAGTCTCGCCAGCTGAGCGAGAAGAGCAACACTCTGGGCGTGGATTGCATGCTGACGGGCAACTGTGACATGAAGCAGCACAATGTTGTGGAGTCTCTGCACTCCAAGAAGCAGCAAATTGTCCTGGCCACGCAGCTCGTGAAGATGATCCTCAAGATTGATGACATCCGATCTCAGGGCGATGTTTAACTCCTGCACAACGTCCACGTATTACTAGCTTTGCGAACACGTTTTAGCCTAATACTTCTCTGTATTCTTTTTCCCCAGTAACTTCATGCATCATCATTAATAAAGGAAGATTAACATTTTAATACAACTTTCTCAGTGTTTAATTAAACTCTGTCTTCAAGATGTTCAAGTTGATAAGTGATTCTTAACTTTGCAGCTACTTCACGCCGGACGAATTGAGGCTTCTGTTGTCGCTGATTCGCGAGGAGAAGCTGAGGAGCAGCCGGAAGAGTGCCATGAAGGCGCCAGCATTCCAGGGCGAGCCTGTGACGCCGGTTGAGACGCTCTTCGACGAGGAGGCGCTGAAGGATCCGTTCGCGCGCAAGGGCATGGACGTGCGGGAGCCCCGATTGGAGATGTACAACGTGGACTTTGAGATCTTCAAGACGCTCTTCGCGGAGTTGACACTGTGGAAGCGCTGTCAGGCCGTGGACTTGGCGGAGAAGCTCTTCCAGTTGCTGGACAAGAAGTCTCTGGGCTATCTGGACTTTGAGCAGGTGATCCTGGGCCTGGGCGTGGTGTGCTGCGGCCAGACGAAGGACAAGCTGAGACTGTTGTACATTCTGCACCTGCCGCCGCTGCTGCCCAAGGCGGAGATTGAGATGGGGCGCCAGACGATCTTCAGTGGACGGACAAAGGATGACATGGCCGAGGTGGCGGCCGAGGCGGAGTATTTCTTCAGCGAGACGGCGACAGAGGACACATTCCCCACGCTCACAGACACAGCGTTCGACATTCACACCCCGCCGATGGATTTGCTGGTGTTGCCGGACAAGTCGGGCAGCGCCACGCCAAATCTCAGCGTGAATTCAGGGAGCGGAGGAGCTCGCACGTCTGTGTTCTATGTGGACTTGCCCACGGGCGGCTGCAAGTCCATTGACACGGTGTCGGACATCAGCGATCTGGGCTTGCGGGACAGAGAGAGCAACTGCGACGACTTCTCCCACCTGTCGCAGGAGGGCGGAGCCGCCAGGATCTCGATGCCCTCGTCGTTTGGTGAGACGCGGAGCCTCAGTAGCTTGCGCCACTTCGTGGACCAGTCGTGGGATGTGTCGCTGGAGGGGAGAATTGTGCCAAACATGCTGCAGGCGAACTTCATGATACTCTGGACGTCCCTGCTGGAGATCCTGGGCCACACCAATGACTACCTCAGGCACTCGTACGAGCAGCTGATCTGTCTGGGGCACCAGCAGCGCGCCAGCCAGTCCGCCAAGACGTCCGGCACGAGCATCAATAGTCTCACGCAAGTGACGATGCCGGAAGTGCTGGAAGAGGACCCGAATGGCAATCCCTCGTCACCCGAGCAGTCGTCGTCCCAGGGCGTCGTGGCGCGCTGGAATATCGCCTTCACGCAGTTCAGCGACGCCGTGACCAGACACGTGGACGCCGAGATGAGCAAGAGAGTGTCCGTGCGCGAGGAGATTGAACGGCTGCAGAAGAACAGGAGGAAATGCAAGGCCTAAAGCCGAGATTCGTGAAGCTTCTCGAGTGTGAGCGTCGCAAAAAGGTAATTTGTAGATGATTTTGTGTCTCTTTTTGTCTAATAAAAATTGTTCTACTGATTTGTGAGTGAGTTTTGTGAGAAGATTCCGAAGATTCCCAGTGGCGATGACCTGGACAACCTTGAATTTCGCGGAGGTGAAAGACTTCAGCGCGTTTCTCTCAACCTTTGGGCTTGTAAAGGGTGCGTCATTGAGAATAGTTCTGGACCGATGAGAATTTAGTTTCCATCACAATCGGAATATCAATTCTCAGGACTTCTGACTGCGCGGATTGATTAAAACAAGACTTTAATCAACTAATAACCGGAATATAACCGAAAACCGACTTAAATCTGACTGATAAACCTTAAAATTCACGTTTTTCACCAATATTTTAGTATTTTTCCTAAAATCACAATTTTCATGTGGTAAAAATACGCAATTCTACCAATAGAGTGAAAATACTTTCAGTGTAGGCGCAAGAATCTCTATTTTAAGGTGTTTTTCAGCCTAAAATCAGTCACATAACCTAGAAAAATACGTCAAAATTTGAACTTGGATATAAATTAGTTTCTGAGAGTAAAATAATCAACAGAAAATCAAAACTTTCACTTGGGTTGATCTTTTTGATGATTATTAGGAGTAGTTTTTGGGTGAATTCTTCAATTCTTGGCGCTCAATTCCTCAATGTTTCACCCCTGGAAATGATCTATTACGGCCGTGGCGAATCAATTTCGTCTAAATAGCAGAGCAAGAGTGATGGCAAAAAGAGGCAAATTATGTTTTAAGTATTTTATTGGTTTTTTGTACCTCCTCTATGATTGATACAAATATTTACAGAATTATTAAGCGATTAGTTTATGCTTTTGTTTGCAAAACAGTATTGCATTTTCTCAAGATCATTTTCTTATTTCTCTTTCACTGTCTTCCCTTTTCTATTTCTTTCTTCCTTTCTTTTGTCGTTATGATCTCTTTGCTCAAGAATCTCTCTCTCTCTCTGGAGAGAGTTTTTTGCGCTCGGGAGGAGAAAATATAAAGTTTTCAATAATATTGAGAATAAAAGCAAAACTTGTGAGAAATTTCACATTTTTTTTTACAGCATTTCCAATTTGTTTTTCTTCTTCTTCTCCTTCACTAACATTACAAAGAATTTCAACCAAAATTTTACATTTTATCATGCTTTTTGGTATACCAATAAATTAGTTGTTTTTTTTTTCTTTCATTGACTTTGAGTTTGTTTTTTTGTGTGTATAATATGACAAAATTAATAAATAAGATAAACGTTTAAAATATTACTTGATTAAATCATTTCTTTTTTAAATCAATAGTAAATAAAATAAAATTATAAAAATTAGATAAATGAAATAATTGAGATACAATTGTAGGAAAAAGGATAGCTTTCTTGATTTTTTCCCTCTCTTTCTCTCTCTCTCTTTCTCTTCATTATCCCTTATAAAAAAAAACTTATGCACACACACGAAGCACGCACACACAAATAATTTATTATTTCAAAAGAATTTTTGTTTAAAAGAATTTCCTTCTTTACCCTGTGTTAAGGTGAGTTTAAAATAATTAATATAAGTTGATTATACAAAAAAAATCAAGGTTTGTTAATTTAATAAACAAAAGTAATAGAATTTTTGATTCAAATTTGGTGCAGTTTTCTTCCTAAAATTACACAAAAAATAATAATAAAACATTATATAATACTTAAATGTGCATTCTTCTCTCAAATATTATTATTATTCAATAAAATAGAATATATTAAGTTTAATAATACATTAAGGTATTCCTTTAATTTTCCTTCATATTCCTTTTTTTGTTGTTGTTCTTCTTCAAATAAATAAAGGATAAAATGCAAGAGAATTTATATGAAGCAAGCCTACTGGGTGTTTTTTTTTCCTTTAAAGAGTTTTAAGATATTTTCTTTTCTATTTGCTTTGCTCTAATCATGGGATTTAAAAAGTATTAGTTTTTTGTTACTTGATTATTTCCATTCATCAAATACTTGATAGACGCTTTTTCTCTCTCTCTCTCTCTCTCTCTTCATGCTTCTTAGAAATTGAGAATAAAACCAAGGAAAGGGTATTTTAGAATATCTTTGTAATATGTCCCTAATCTTTTCTCATAGTTTAAGTCCTAGTTTTTTCTTCCTTTCTCATCATTTTACATATGAAATATATAGTAGTATGTTCATTTTATAGATTACAAACATTACATAGGGTTTTAAGAGAGTTGGTTTTTTGTTGGTGTGTGTTTTTTTTCCATTATTACAGGAAGGACTGCAATTATCTTTGAAGAATATTAAGACTTTTATACCATTTTTTTTAGAGGGCTTTTTCGAGGAGTTTTCTACGCTTTTTTCTCTCACTGGGTTAATTTGTGACGAAATGTGTGTGTATAAAAATTTTTCTTTTTTTTTCTTGATATAATCTATTGGAGATATTTTTGCCATGACTTTTCGTATTTTCTAATGTTTTCTTGCTAAATTTCTAGATTTTTACCTTAATCGAGAGCTACAATAGGGGGGAAGGGATGTAAATAAGGGTGTTCACCGGGTTATGGCTATACAATAAAAGTGATTTGGGAGGCGAGGGCGCGAAAGGGGGGACACACAGTATTTGCAATAACATGCCTCTTCCCGTCTTCAGGCCGTGAGACAAGAGTTACACAAGTAAATACCATCATAATAAATAAGATTTTTGTCCATGCTAAAATGTTTAACATCTAATAATTTCTATTAGTGATAACTATAAATATATATTTTTTTTATTTCAATATATATGTTTTTAGTTTGATAAACTCTTAAATACTTTAATTCTCTCTTCCTCTTGTGTGTATTTTTCTGCCTTGTTTTTCGATCCTCTCGCTTAATTTGTGTCCACGCGCGCCATTGTGAGATTTTCTTTCCTCTGATTGCAAGGACTGTCCAAATCTCACACATCCTTCCGGGCCTCTTCTTCGCTTGTTTTCAGGTGTCCTTTTTCTACTTCTTCGTCAAAACACAAGAAAATATAAACATAAAGATCCTCATCTTGTCTCCACCGCAAAAAATCATCAAAAAAGCTAAAATCTGGGCTTTTCAGTCGCTCTTTCTCTCACTTATTCCACTTCCTGCTCCGCTTATCGCTTCCTCACTTGATCCTCCGTGGTCTCACACATCTCATTGAATTTATTTACATGTACACAAAAATAGTTTTAAAATTCATATCACTAGAATTGAGGCATTTATCATCTTTCTTGCTTCCGTTTTCTCTTTCTCTCTCTCTTCTCTGTCTCAAATTTGTTTTCTCTGCCACTCAAAAGAACCACAGAAAAGTGTGTGGATGCGCTTTTCCTCTTTCTCTCCTTCTCGCACTTATTAGTGTGTGTTTTTTTTTAGCCTCATCTAACAACAATATAATGTAACAATCAGAAGAAAATCATATTAATTTTCTCATCCATCATCGCACAAGAGACAAAGGAAAAATATATATACCTTTTAAATTAAAAGATAAAAGAGAGTTGCGATCTTTCTTCGCAAAGTGTAGAATTAAGCAAAAAAGGGGGAAAATCAACTTGAGGCTCCAAATCAAGTGCGCGTAATCCTGACGCGCCTTAATTTGTCACATCACTCTTGAGATCTCTCTCCCGGAAGAATCCCCGCTCCGTCTTGCACTCGCGAATGGTCACAGTCTCGAGGTTCACCGTGACGTCCGTGATGAAGACCTGGTCCGTGACCCGCGATTTGGGCAGCCAGAGCTTCGGTGAGGCGGTTTTCGGTGACAGTGGGATTTCATGTACTTTCTTGATGGTGTTGTTATTGTTCGCCTTCGGCTGCTGCTGCTGCTGCTTCTTGCCCTCGTCGCTCTTCTTGGGCTCCTCGGCCGGCGCTTCCGGCGCGTCGGGCTTCACGTCTGCGGCTGGTGTGTCAGATTCCGGCCGCGAGGCCGGAGTCTCGGGCGATAGAGGAGCGCTGGGCTCCGTCCGACTGGGCACAGAGACTGTCAGGGGCTTGAGGGCGGGCGCCTCCGTGGTGACGTGGGCTACTTTGGCTGGTGGACCCTCCGAGGAGGTCTTAATGGTGACACCGATCTTCCCGGACTCCTTCGATAACACCTCCGCTTTGCGCTTTGTACCCGCCAAGTGCTCCCTCAGCGGCTGATCCTCGCTACTGCTGGAGTTTGTGTCCACCAGGTCCGCCAGGATGGCCTTGCCCGTACTGCTGGACACTGCAAAATACCCAAAAAAAACCCATCGTTAGTCCTTCGCACGCCAGGAGAGTCTCTGAATTCCCCCCCAACAAACCTGTGTCTCTGTATGATTTGTCTTTGTGCTTCTCCTTCACGGGCTCGTCCACCACTGTCTGTGCATCTGTCTCCTCATCCTCAGACTCCAGGCCGCGCTCCACCGCCCTCTCCTTCTTCTTCCCACGCTTCCCGGGCGTCGATGACCCCTTCTGCAGCGACTCCTCGTAGATGTCAATGAGACGCGTGTCGAGGATATTCTCCTCCGGCTCCCACGTATTGTGTCGTTGACTCCATCCTTTCCACTTCACACGATACTCCACTTTGCCCTGTGCGGAGAGAGAGAGAGAGAGAGAATGGCCATCAGAACCTCATCCCACCGCGCGATGCTTCCGGACACCCGTGTTCGCGGATGTTCCGCGAGAGGACGCCCCAAGCCTGACATGGATGTCACTGCACCTTCGGGCCTCGGTGGAAAAATGGAAAAATCCAGCGTGAAACGCACCGGGAATGCGCCAATGTGCGATGCACGGGATTCCAAGGATGCCACAGGATGGGGAAATGCAAGGTCACAGAGTGTAGGTGGGCGGGATGATGGTGGAAATGAGGTAAAAACTTATCCCCTACTTTCAACAATGGCTGCGTTTTCCTCCCGTGTCAGGGCCACTATTTTGGGCAAAAAACACAGCCACTGCCACACATCCCGGCAAATGCTAATAACCAGCACCCCCATGGGGTGTCACTGCACACATTTGGTGTGCCTCCCGGTGCTCCCAATGGGGAGAAACTCACCTTTTTGTTGGTTCTTTTTGTTATAATTTTCTCTGCAGCATAGACGCGATCGTCGCTTCCATTATCCATTTTTACACCGCTCAACACTGGATTCTCACGGGAATTTACGTAATACAGCACAAAACACCGTCACCAGCGTCCCGAGGAAGCCCACCCAGGCACCAGCACACCGCGGAAAAGCGTCCGGAAAGTCGGGCAAAAGACGCGTGTCAGCCGAGAGGAAAATCACACTCTCCGCGAATGAATTGCGTCGCAATTGCGGGGGAAGATTTCACGGCGATCCGATGGGATGAGGTGTGTGAACGCACGAACTGGACTGAATGGGTGAGTAGCTGCACACTCCACAAATTGTGACTCTTCACGCGTGAAAGGGGCTTGGAAGATGATGTTGAGAATAGCTTGGCGATTCGCGCCTCCGTCCGTGGAATCTTGACTCTGTCTGACGAACGAAGATACTGAGAAGCAGAGGCAATTCCTTCTGGCTCTTGGCCATCAAATGTGCAGCGAAGAGAGACACTATAGCTGTCTCCATTGCTCTCACATCGCGCCCGAGGTGGTGATTTGCGGCGCAAAAATGCCACCTAAACCACTCCTGATCACCCCAAAGTCACTCCAGGGAGCTCCTGCAGCTCTCCATCCACACCCTGATGCTGCTTTCCTGCACAATCACTCACCACTTGGGGATGAAAATGCTGCCTTTGCGAGGCAATGCTTCACTCCTCGCCCGATTGCCAGCAGTTGGAGAGAGACGGCACTATGTCACTCTCCTGCACTTCCCACCTCTCTCTGTCTTCCTTCGCGTTTTTCTTCACTTTTTTCCACACAAACACACACACACACACACGCGATATCTTCTGCCCATAAGAGCACTCCTTGCGGCAGGAAGAGGACGAAAAATCCAGCCGAAAGCAGGACAATGGAAAACAATTTCGCTAGAGATGAAATCACTGGAAAATCCATCAATTCTCGTTTGATGATTCATCAAGGATTGACGAGCAAAGCCCGCCCTCAAAATGGCAACAGGATGAGTGGAAAAATTTTGGCGCGCACGTGAAATTTTCCACCATCCCGAGGGTGTCCTTCAAGGTGACCCGGAGAGGCACACTTCTGACCAATCTCACTCTCCAGGTGCCCAAATTGTTTTATTTATGCCCCAACAGAGCAGATGGCAGAGACGAGCAAAATGCAACTCTAATCCCTTTTCCACATGAATTATCTAATTCTTCATTTCTCCTTTCTATTCGTCTTCCTTCTCTCGCTCTTCGGGAATATCAACCCGGCGCCCAATCTCGCTGTCCGGAGATGAGAGGGCACAAATTTTGGTTTCGATTTCGTTTGTCCATTCACAAAATGTTGACTAAAGGCTCTCTTTAAATTTCATTGACGAAATCTTCTGTCCTAGGACCAGAAATATAGGTCCGAATAGCGTATTTGGGTGGTTTTAAGGTTTTTATTTAAAGTTTAAAACCAAGTTAAGCCTTTGTTTAGCCAACTTAATCTACAATTAATTTTTAATTTTAAGTTGCAATTTCAAAGGTGGCATTCAAACAGCAAATGGTGTTTAATTGCATTGAAACCTTTTAAAAACCTTAGAGCCAGATGACATTGACATCTTTTTAGCTTAAAGATATCGACACTTACCGACACTGATCGACACGAGCTATCAATTTCCTTTTTAACACAGTTTTGGGAGAAAAACAGGACTGATATGGACTAATTTGTCCATGTACTTTAGATTTTTTTTTACTATTTTTTCAATCTAACGGGTGTTAAAAAACGAAATTTGTATCGATAAGTGTCGATGACTTCAAATTTCATGTGGAATAATGCACTAAGAACCACAAAAGTCATGTAAAATCATTCTCTGTTTAGCCTGAAAAATACTCTCAAATCTTGTCTCAAAATTACTGGCTCAAAATGACCTATTCTCCCCTAAGTATTATTATTTTATTTTTAATATAACAGCTATCGGAAGATTCCTTTCTATCGGACATATTATGATCGATTGTCTTCCAAAGTCACTTTGCCTTCTCCCTTTTATGTGGCTTTTTATTCCTGCAACCACTGAAAGTTCGTGTACAGGTGAATTTTATTTTAATTAACTTAATAATACGTTTTATTTTTTCACTCATTTGTCACTGCGACTGTTGTCTATCACTTGAACTGGCAAATGCATTTTTGGGGCTAAAGAGAGAGAGAAAGAGAGAGAAAAAGAGTGAAATATTCAGAGGCATTTTGATGGTGTGTCACCCTAAATAGATGATGAAAATGATGGTGGAAAAGATGTGGGAGAGAGAGGAATAATTTTGGAGGATTATTATTAGATTTCGAGAGGTTGATTAAATATGGAAAGACCCTCTTTTTCAATTTCTCCAATTTGGAATTGAGTCTCGGCGGCAACTGAGGGCAATTCGTCGCAGTTTTCTGCGGGGGAAATGTGTGTTTTTGAATGGGCGAACGAGGGGGAGTTTTTGGGGGGCAATTTTCACTAACTGCGCGCTTCTTTCACATTTCGTCGGACCACATTGATCGGCTGGAGATCAGGAGATGCCAGGCGAGAGCGCCAGCGGAGTGTGTAATTGGTGAGTGATTGTGGATGTTCCGTGTGCGGGCACGAGGCTAGAAGAAGGCAACTATTGAGGAATAGGAGCCGCTGAGCAAAAAATGTAGTGCTTGTTGAGCTCTTGGATGGAACAGTTGTCGAGCTCCAGAGCGGCTGAAGTAGCAGATGTTTGCCTTTTATTCCACATTTCTTTTGCTGCTTCTCCTCTCACTCACTCGCCCTAAACCGACAATACCTGGAAGATATATATTTTATAACTTCTCCTCTGTGCCATCGTTTCACCATCGCGCGCGTCCCAATAATTATTATTCGCTGCCATGGTGAAGAAAGTGGAGACACTTCTTGTCTTGCTCTCAGCTGTGCTGCTTTTCGCAGGAAAATCACACCTCCGCCATGTGTTTTTTTTATCTCACCTTCAAAGGTCATGCGGAGGCTTCATCTCCTGAAAAGGTCCTTCTGGAGCTCATTACCTCTGGCTTTCTATATCGCACGACTGATTGCTCGATAGTGAATGGAAAGCGATTAAGTTGTATCGATTTAGCTCTTTCTCTCTCTCTCTTCTCTCTAAGTGACTTGAGAAGCGCCAAGGACATGACACATTTTAAATATTTAGTAAAGAGAGAGTTGTTTGCGTAGCTGCAGGACTTTGAGTGGTAATCGTTGGTTTTTTTTCTCGAAATTTCAACTGTTTTATTCATGTCAACATAACAACTTATTGAATACAGTTTTGTCTGTTTTTGCATTTCACTAATTTCCCCTGAAATTTGCAATGTTTAATGGACTCTGTTTGATCATGAAAAAATTCAAGTATATAAGAATTTGCAAATATTCTCTCTTTACATATCAAAAATACACAGAATATCTATTTGGAGCATTACAAGATTATCCCCTTAGCGAGATATCATTTTATTCTTTTGAACTATGGATGTTTACACTTAAGAATCATAACGAAAGGATCAAAAGAAAGAACTATTCATACTGTGTACAGTCTCTGAGATTCCTATCCTAAAGGGTTTTATAAAGATTCTAAATGTGTGAATCTAGGGGATGATCGTTTGCATCACGCAACATGGCCCTCAAGTTTGGCTTTCCATTCGGTATGTGGCCATTCAGGGGCCGCGAGGACACTTGGTCGTGTCTGATGCGCAGATCATCCATTTGGCCACTAATCGTGGGAACAACACCGGGTGCAGAGTTGAAATCCTCCATTGCTTGTTCACTGCTGCCTTGCTTTCGCTCACTGCGTCCGTACAACTGTCCTGTTGTCGTTGTCGTTGATGTTGATGACGATGATGTCTCGATACTGTGGACAAGTTGCCTGATAACTCTCTCGAACTCACGAGCGACAGACGGACTGTCTGTGTCTCCGTCGACCTGAGAAAGTGGCCAGATTGCTTACAAATCTTATGGATTTGGATGTCTTGCCTATACTCACAATGGTGAGACGACCTGTACTGTCGATTTGCTTGAGCATTGGCAGTGTTTTCTCACGAAACAGTTCCAGGCGTCGTCGAAAGGAGCTCACAGTGTCGTCAAGACGTCCGCGGCCCAATTGTAATTTTGAGCAATCGAGCAGAATAATTTGAGGGCTTTGCTTGAACTACAGACAAAATTCTGATAAGCGCAAGTCCTGATTTGCTTGTGAAATATCTCACCTTTTGCTCAAAGCTGTTCAATTGCTCGAGATCCCTGGGATAACCGTCAACGAGGATGCCCTTCTTGTCTCTCATCTTCACAAAATTATCCTGCAAGAGTCTCTCGATGATCTGGTGAGGCACTAATTCACCTTCGGCGATGGCTTCCTTCACAGTGAAAGCTTCTGTATTTGGTTTGGCTTCCGATTCTGCCAGTGCTCGGAAGAGACGACCAACGCTGCTCATCAGAGAATAAAGGGATAAAATGGTGTCTTTAGAAATGGTGTTCTGCTGTACATTTGCCTCACTGTATTTACCTGATGTGACCCCATCCGGGATTCATTCCTATCGCCTTTATGCATAGCGATGCCTTATTGCTTCCCGGGCCACCAATGACAAATATAACTGGCGGAATAATGTCCAATCGCTGCATTGCGTGACTGTCGTAGAGATTTCGGGGCTTCGGTGTATCGTGACGTTGTTGGTTCACACGGTCAAAGGTAGTGTCATCAGCTGTAATGACCTTACTGTGACCAGGGGCTGTTTCTACACTAACAATACTGCCAGGAATTTCATTGGAGCCATGCCCCATACCTGAAATCCCATTCAGAAGTGCTTCCTGGTTTTCTTGAGCACCCAATATTTCCAACACGGCCTCGCGGAAATCCTTGTACACCTCAGACGGTGATCTTTCGCCGTTAACGGCCAGCAAGAGGTCGCTCTGATCGAAATAATCCGCCACGGGCATTACGTTTTTGAAGAAATTCTCCAGCTCCATCTTGGCCAAGGAGAGCACAACGTGACCGAGCTTCGCGCCATAATCTATCTGCTTCTGCAGCACTGCTTGTCGCCACGATATCAATATCACCCCGTTCACCACTTGAATCTGCAAAGGGAGAAATGGTTATAGAGAAGAGCTTCAATTGTAAGACAACAAATCCAGATACCTTTTCTGTGTATTCCACAACATCTCTCATTGATCGTGGAAATCCAGACACAAGATATGCCTTTGCTGCTGGCGCCATTTTCATCTCTAGCATTAGAACTTCCGTGACGGTTTTCGATGAAAGTTGTGAGAAATCTTGCATATCTGAAAAGACATGACAATATCGTGTGTGTGACTATTGATTGCGGAGTGGTTTGTAAAAACAACAAATCGTGTTTACCATTGCCAATTGCGTATTGCTGAAGCAAATCCATCATGTTGATGTGAACTACGCCGCGCTTTTCTTGCATAAGTGTATCACAATGGGTCACTTTACCACTACCTGGACCACCTGCAAAAGGACCACAATTGTACACAACCGAGAAAATATATAGTGGTGGTGAAGGAAAAGTGTGGCATGCAAGAAAGGATTCGACGATTTCTCTTTACATTGTCAACAGACAACTATTACAGTCTAAGAATATTCTTGGAGCTCATGCATCTGTAATTGATCTTGAAACTTTCACTCCAAACCCTTTTTTTCCTCTTCCACTAATGATTCTCTTGAAGGACGTCCAAAATTGTAACGAATTCAAAATTTATCGCCGTGAGAAGAAAATCCCTTCCACCAACCCGGACTTATCGACTTTCTTTCTCTTATCGTGGGAAAGAAGTGAAGGAAATCTTCTCTAAATTCCTCATTAGGAGCAAAAAGAGGAAAAAAATGCATAATAAGCAGTGCTTTTAGTGCTGTAAAAGGAAGAAACATCTTGTATGCAAGCGCGGTGCTAAGCGCCTCACAATTCATTCAGTTCCTTCATAATTCATTAATAAGCTCTCTGGTATTGATTCTCCATTTTCCTTCAAGAATTTTCACATTTTGTATTCGGTCAGTTTGCTGGCCAAGTTCGATTTAATTCTCCACCAAATGCCTCAAATATTTAAATGTTTTGTGAAATTGTACGCGAAATTGTAGGCAAATTATCAGTCTCTTGGATGCACACACGCAAGAAAGACAAAAAAGCTGGTAATCTTACCTAAGACAAATAAGACAGGCACTTTTGGGGGATCGAATTTCACTTTCCCGGCATTCTGCATGGGGAAATTTCCACTGAGCGGCGTGTTGAGGACTGTTGATCGTCTTCCTCCTCCTCCTTTCCAATCGGCACCCGGATCTTCTGGATCCTGAGCAGAGGAATTTGCTTCTATTGATGGGAAATTGGGTGAAAAGAAGAAGAAAAGAACATGTAATAATAATGAGAAAGAGTGACAATTCTCGTGCTGATGAGTCACAACATGTAATTCCCAAGTTTTATATCTCTGATTTCCATGGCAAGAGACAGGACGAAGAGAGAGAAAAAAAACATACACACACTTTATTGATTTTGACTTTTTTGTTACTTTACTTTCAATGACAACGCAGTTCAACTCTCTCATGGTAATTGTTTCATTATTGATATTATTCCTTGTGTGTTGCACACGATTGATTGTCCGTCAAACTTTGAGTTTCTTTTTCATTAGTCTTTTTTCCTCTCTCTTTTTTTTTGCAGTTTTTTCATGATTGGTTCTTCGTCCGAAAAGTTACCTGTGTCCAAGCAAATGCCCATTATCCATTGATTTCCTCGAATAAGAAGAGATTTTCCGGAACACGGTTCAATTTAATGCAATTTTGAGATATTTCATTGGCGGCACTCAAATAAATTCACTGGCGCTTCAACAGATTTTCCGCGTGAAAAATGATCGCAAGCTTCGGTTCAACACTTGAGAGGGTGAAAAGAGTTGAAGAGGGAAACGCGAACACTTGGTTAGTGGAGCTGTTGTGCGATTGAAAACTGATTCCTCACTGTCAATGTCGAAGAAAATGTCCAGCTTTTGACCACGAACACGTCTTGCATTTTTAATGAGTTCCCCCTTCGCTTCCATATCATGTCCTCATATGTATATTCACTCTCTCTCTCCACACAACCATTGGTCAGAGTGTGGCATGGCGAAACATTATAGCGAAAAGAGACCCTTGCGCATGTTTTCCATTAGCCAACACGCCATAGGATGCGTTTTCATCGCGCTCCTCACTCTCAATGTGTGGTTGTAGTAAGGAATTTCCCTTTACAATTGCTCTGTGACCTAGAGTTGCGGGGCTTGATTAATGTCCAGTCGGTAAGCACAGCCAAAGAGGTTTGTCTCAGACTTGTCATTATTCAATAATCCGTCAATTTTCCATGATGTCTTTACTTAACGCTGGCCTTATGCCACCAAATCAACACACAACGCTAAATGATCGTGAAGAAAAGTGTCCACAGAAGAATTTTTAATTATTCATCAACATAGCGTTTTAAGGTAACTGTGTGGTCTTGACATGGCTCAACTTTCTCTCTCCTTCTTCCATTATTCATCCCTAATATTTCACTATATGGCCCATCATTTAATCATGTCAAAATTGGGAGTTCCTCCGGTGAAATGAGACACGATGATGCATCATGAGAAAGTGCCAGAAAGTGGATTTTCCTGGAAAAGTGCTTTCGAGATGTGATGAAATTAAAGCTGAAGAATATTTTCTGCCTATGATATGATACTTGACGACTCAAAACTAAAAAAATTATGATTTGACTTATAATATTCCATGCATTCTGAGGGAAAATGCTAAATAATTTACTGAAACTTCCAAGAGGGAGATATCATAGTCAGAAGTGGTGTACAGCTCAGAAGAAGTACTTAAGAAGTGGAAGTATTTCAATATTTGCTATATTTTGGTTTAGAAAGTCATTCATTAATCAATTGGTATATTTTTGGATGAAAACTTGCATTTCATTCAAATTGTGCTCTAGAAAAATTCATCAAAGTAATTTTTTTCAATTTTCTAGATTATGTGACTAGTAAAAGCAAGATTTAGTAAGAAAATAACTGCCAAAAATGATCAAAGTGGAAACAATCTTATTTATTGGCAAAATTAAGTTTTCCAAATATTGCTTGAAGAAAATGTAAATTGGCGCACAAATGCCGATGATTGCCAATATCAAGCAGAAAACATCCCCCAATTCAACCCCTGATCAATGAATCAATTCATTTTACGCATTTCCATTCATTTATTTTATGAATACATTTCGTGCATGACAAGAAAATGTGTGAGATTGAATTTGATTTATCCTTGGCGCTTCTCTGCGTCGAGGAAAAATGCACTGCAAATTGATGTTTTCTTGGGAGGAAAATCTCGTCCGTTGACCATCTGCGCGGTAGTTTTCCAGCGATACGTCGCGCGAGGAGCCTAAATGTCAAATTGATAGTGAGAAGCCAGCTGGAACGAGTGCGTGATTGCTCAGGAAGTGTTTTTGTGTGTTCTTTCATTTTGCACCATTTTTTCTTTCACACCCATTTTCACGCGACTGCCTTTTGGGGGAGAGAAAATATAGTCATAAAAGCCTGTGAAACTATGTGAAATTCGCGAGCGGCAATTTAGGGAAAAGAAGAAGTGAAAAGCGCACAAGAAGAGATGTTCTGCTGGGGCTTTTTCGCCGTGAGACAATAAAGTCGACAGAGAGAAAGTTTGTGCTCGAGTCGCGTGAGGTGGGAAAAATTCCAAGAAGGTAAATATATATTGAGGGGTGAGTCAAAGGTCACAAGTTCACGTGGGGGCGCGGGTGAAGGGGTGCAATTTCTCGTTGATTTAATTAATGTTTACATTTTCTGTGCATTCATATTGTCAAGTCTCTCTTGATTGATAAAAGTTGCATTTGCGCAGAAATTTCCACCAATTTTCCCCTCATTTTCGCATGGCCTGATTTTTGGCCATTCGCGCGTGTTGTTTTCAAATGGCGGTGGTTTTGTCTCTTTGCATGGATGGCGGACAGCATGATCACGGATGATAGCCTGAGTGATGAGGTGTTCGAGGACGAGTCGGCGGCCAGGTACAAAATCAACAAGAACTCCAATTTGAATGTGGACGACGAGGAATTTCGAACACCCTCGCCGTCTGGCTATCCGGGCTACAAACCGCCAGCCGAGGCGCTTCGCATGTACGGCCTCGAAAATGGGGTGGAGAACGACGATTGGAAGTCGTACAAAATCGAGGATGACGACAATACTAAGGAATTCGATGAGAATCTCACGCACAAGGTGTCCTTAATAGAGAGTTTGTAAGTGTTCCCAAGGAGGGTGATTTATAGCCGCTCTTCGCCTTGCAGACGATCCTTTTGGGGGATTCTGGCGTGGGGAAGACTTCCCTGCTTGTGCAGTACAACTTTGGAGAGTTCAAGCCAGGAGCTTTCTCAGCCACCGTTGGCATAGCACTGACCGTGAGTAGATTTTGTTCCTTTGTCGGTTTTCCTTGAGAAAGATTCTGAAGTTGAAATTTCCAAGAGAACCACTCTGTTTGGGAAGATTAACTTGTTGCTGTCTTAATCTCCCTCCTTTCATGTCACTAATCTGAGTTTATCCTAGAAACTTGTAGAAAAGCATTAACTCTCGTAAGGCTGATGAAATCCTCTACCTGGAAATCAATTGAATTCCAACCAATTTCCAATTGAATTAATTAATTTGTGATTCGATTAGAAAATAATTACCCGCTTTTAACTTGTGTTTGACACAAATTCCCACAAATTGAATTGTTATAAATTTCGCAGTAATTAATAATGTTCCGATTGATGTGTCATAGAATGTCCTTTTGAAGTGTGAATTTCCGCGGAAAATTGCATTGTTAGAGTGTTTGCAATGAAGGTGAGTGGTGTGACATTGAAAAGCAACCATTGAGTAACATCACCGCAGCTGATGTGTTGCTGTGCGCGGGGTGGAGGTTTTCGGGGGTGGCGCGGTGCAGCAATGGTAATTGGAAAATTGATGAAAAACTCGCTGTGAAGTCTGGCTGGTGGTGGGCAAACACAGAGCGGATGTTGTGAGGTGAAATCAGAACATCTGGTTGTCATAGTAATGACCCTGTGTGCAGTTTAGCTGCCAGGTAACCCAATCCTCAAGTTCAGCATCATCATTGTGTGCCTGAGTTTTCGTACTAACCGCCCTTCCCAGGGGGGAGAGCATGCCTGGCTGCGCTGCGTGTGGCGCAAAGGGGATGCTTATAATTTTACAGCATTGACTGTGTTTGGGGTTGAGCACGATTAGCGAAATTAATTGCGTGATGCTTACGTATTATCCTCGTTGGAAACTCACCCCGGGATTGGTTCTCAAATGCGGTGTATTTAGTATTTTCCATGTAATACTTGTGTAGCGGACAAAGACAGGATGATTTGCCTCTTAATTCTCTGTACTTCGCCTTTGACTGTGGCTCAAATTGCTTTTCCACAGAATTATATATACCAAATGACTTTGCCTGGACATTTTGCACAGCTTGAACATGATTTTCAATGTCACCAAAATGATTTTGCAGAAAATACAAGAGAAGCAGAAATAATAAGGTCAATGGATCAGAAATTCTTGGAATCATTAACTGTGAAATGAGGAAAAAAAGTCAATAAGAAATACAGACGCAAATAGTGATGATTTATATGTTAATCTCAAGTAAATTCTGAGATAGGAATTTTACTCTCTAGAAAAGAAAGTGAGACAGTTTTGATTGATAATGTCTGAAGCATTGAGAAAATTGCAGACACGCAAAACTGAAAGACCATATTATTTCCGTTGTCAGTGTTTCGGGGAGTGACGTAGAGAATGTACGGAGAAGTAGATATTTATGTACCTTAGCGTCGTTTGATGTTCGTCTTCTCTTGGATATTTCTCGTGTATCTTCAAACAGATGAGTAAATAGCGTAGCGAGGAAATTTTATTAATATCGCGATATTATTGATTTACAAACTTTATGCAATTCACTTGATCTCATAAAGTATTTAACATAATTTCCTGCGGTTATTATTCACCATCAGAAGCTCTTTGCGTTGCTGAAGAGTTGGAAGTTAGTGGAGAAATGGCCTTCCTCAAAACTGGCCTGTTGATGTGAGCTTTTGCTCTTTTCCCAGGCCACGCGTTTAAATTTATCTCGTTGGGCGAGTGGGTGGCCTTTGTGGGTGGTGACCGGATGGAAGAGCAAAGTGGACACAAAAGTGTTCAGAATAGTCGACGCTATAATTAGGGGAACATTGAAGCAATTATGTGGATCTTTTGTTGCAATATTCTCCTAATATAATTTGATGCTGTGCGGCAAATTCACTTTGAAATTGTATATAATTTGGAAAATTGAAAAGGGAAAAACGTGCGCGTTGCAGAGGATGTGTGTTGATTTGGTCGCATGTGAGTGTGTTGTCAAAAAGAAGGACACACACAGCATGATGCTGTGTCTATAAATAAGTTGTTGAGGGATGTGCGGCCGTTTTTTTCCCATGTGCGTAAGCTCAACTACGGCGAAGGTGGCGGAGCAGCAACAGGATGACGAGGGTTGGGGCACTGTAGAGTGGATGAAATGCTTCGCAGGGGTAGGAATTTGATAGAAATTTCGTGTTTGACATTGATGTATAGTGCGCGTGTCTGTGGCCGTTATCAGTCTCTCTTCAGTGTCAATAGATTTGCGCCATATATTTAACAATTCACAATTCACCCCCCAGTATCAGACGTGAGGCCACGGCGAGCAGTTGCCCAGGTTGACGCTTGTCGCAAAAGTCTTGTGTAGGATTTCAGTGGCACTTGGAGGCTGTTGAAAGAGGCACCAATTAACCCCAACAAGTGTAATACGTGAGGAATTTGACCGTGGAATTTCTATAGAAAGCCATGATTTGTGTGAAATTGCAAAGAGGGACGTTTGCTCAGTGAGAGATTAATATTTAATGAAGCTCGTAAAGCTCGCTAATTAAGTGACACTCGAATCTTGGGCTCTTCAATAGCTCCCCACAAGACAATCTCTCGGCTGGTTGTCTTTGGAAAAAGTCCCTGGGAAAAGTCTTAGGGGGTGGCTGAGAAGTGGGTGAATATGAGAAGCAATGGCATGAATCTCAGAGCCACAACTCAACAGGTTTCACTTTTCAACAAGAGTGTATTGAGTTCGTCTCAGAGGAATGTATAAAATTTTTACAACGTCACTCTCAGGGACACACGGATTGGGGTGGTTTTTCGCATAAATTTTTCTGGGGGATGAATCAGCATCTAATTTCCAAAAAATGTCCGCACGAGTGAGTGAAAAAAGTGCATTGAAAAAAGGCAATTAAATTATATTTGCCTCGTGATTAAATTTAGACATGCGGGATGATTTCCTTCCCAAAAGGGAGGGAGAATTTGAAGGAATTTTGCTGGCTTTTCCTCGCCCCGCATTTCCCTCCCACCCCTCCCACAAGATGATTAAGCAATGGGACAAGGGAAATTTGATTTCCAAAATTAGCATTTTCCCCTCTTGGAGTTTTCTGCTATTTATTTGATTAGGTGTTTTTTTAATTTTTTTTATCGCGGTGTGAGAAAAATTGTATTTGCTGAGGAGAAAAGTTTTCTTCAGAAAATGAATGAGTAATTTGAGCTTTTCCGTGAGAGAATTCTCATTTCCTCTATATCTACATCAGTCTAAGCAATTATTGGCTTTCCCAATTCCCCCTTTTTCCGCTCTTCCCCAATGGAAGGTGAAAAAGTACAACATGTTCCAAAAATCAATGGACAGGCGAAAGGATTGTATAGACAGGCAAAAACGCAAAAAAATCCCTTTCAACATTGAAAATCTAGAACAAGCAATCATTTTTATCGGACCATAATTGGCATTTTCCCAGGAACAATGCGTAAAACAAATCCCTCTATATGTCTTTTTGTCACTGGTAATGATGAAGTTGAAATATGAGTTGATTTTTTACATTGTAATAGCAGAGATGAAGAGAAATTTAATTTCACTGGCAAAATTTGTGAATATTTTCTCCCTTTTTAATGCTTGCTATATTGAATTTTTTTCCCTGGAATTCCCCTTTTTTCCGCTGAAATCGAGCAGAAGGGGAGGATGTGAAAAGCTACTCGTGAATGATGGAGGGAAAACAGAGAGAAAATCATTTCAAACATGAGATGATTTTAAACATTTCAATATTTCATATTTGCGCACGCCAGGGAAATCCTTTGAAATGGATGAACAACAAGAGAATTTTCATCATAATTCCTGAGTAATCTCATATTATTATGATAATTAGGGTGATTTTCATTATCACACTGGGCGATATCAGTGAGTAATTTTTACGCCAAATGCCAAAATCCACCGAGATAATGAATAGTGAAAATAAGCGAGAATAATAGAGATGAAATATATATGCTTTTCTTCAGGGGTTTGTCATTTTGCGACTGAATGTTTACTTGATATTGATCACAAAGTGTTCACAACACTGCCGAAATCTTAAATATCACTTCATTTTCCACCTTAAAGGCCATCAGGATCATGTGTTTTGTGGGGAGAGGACAAGAATTCCGTCTATAATGAACCTCTGCACTGTTTCACGATGTAATCTTATCTGCTCACATTCAATTTTCACATCTTTTTTGCAATTTCACTGTCTCGTGGTTGTTTTTGCATATAGAGCGAGTATCATGACTCCCTCGGGAGTAATTTTATACTTTTTTCTCCCTCGTCCTCGCTTGCGAAGGTTTCGTGAGTGTGGGGATTTTCGACGTCCTGCGCCAGCAATAGAGAAGATGTACAACTCGCGCGCCCCGCGTTCTCCGCGTCCGCCAGAGGTGCAGCGCCGGGAGTCGCTGGTGAAGCCCACCTGGGTGAATGTGAACCCGGGCCAGGTGTCCCCGTCCACTCTGGACGCCACCTTCGCGGCCGGAGTGGGCGATTCCGCCGGAATCCTGTGCCATTCCCCATCGGAGGCCAATGTGAACAATAATGCGATTACGAGTGGGAAGCAGGCGAGTCTTCAGCAGAGGAGAGAAGTGGAACTTTATGATATTTTCGCCAAGGTACGCAATATCACATCGTGAATTGATGTTGAGGGAGGACAATGAGAGGGATTCTCGACCACAAATTGGGTCGTGGGTGGAGATATTTCGCTGGAATTCCAACTGGTTAGGCGCGCTTGTGTTCAGTGCGCTCCACACTTTGCCGTGACTTAAAATTGAAATTGATTTCCGCGAAGAGAGCGGAGGTAAGAAGTTCATTTCAAAATCATACTCATAATGGCACTTTGAGGCTTATTACCAAATCTTCTGTGGGGTGATATTGATAATTAGAAAAGGAATTTCGCCGTTGCTCCATAAGAATTCCAGTGATTTTCTGCAAAATATCAATGATCAATTGTCCTATAAATTATTAGGACCCTTAAATAAGACTGAAAAATTCGATATTACTACTGAAATTCTAAAATCGATCTTCATCAAGTGTAAATGATCGATCTTGCCATCGAATTCTACAAATATAAGAAGTGATATTTGAATCGTGGATTTATTCCCACACAAATTGAGACTCTTCTAAGATAATATAACACAATTTCAATATTCCTTGTTCGAGTGAAAATCACTCCGGAATTTAATATGACAGAAAATGCGGTAACATAATATGAAGGGCGCGAACTTGTTCTTTCCTTGCCTAGGAAAGAAATCAAAGTGGAGCTTTAATTGACTTCTTGAGACTTGCTCGTGAGCAGAGCTAAAATAAGCACACTGAAGTACACGATGAGAATACTCGTGGGAATATATGAAGCTGAAATTCTTTTGCATAAACTTGGAGCAACATCAAAAGCTCTCTCTCTCTCTTTGCCTCTATGAATTTCCCTTATGAGAATTTCCCATGACTTCTAAGTGCTGCATGACTGAGTTGCATTTTAAACGAATATCATTTATATACGGTGAATCTTTAGCAGTTTGCTGCAATTTAAACGATGCATATTATATAGTGTGTAATTTTTTTTGGCAAATAATGAAAAATTAATGAGGAAAGTTACACTCTGCAAACAATTTAGGTGATGCTTCTTGGCGACTCGGGCGTTGGGAAGACGTGTTTGCTGGTGAGATTCCGCGATGGCACATTTCTCTCTGGGAACTTTATCTCAACAGTCGGAATAGACTTTAGGGTAACTCTTGATTATGCACTGTCGTTCTGTTTATGTTAGTCCTGCAAGACTGCTTTTATGTTTCTCTGGATGTCAATTAGGGAACTGTAAAGTGATTGGGTTTAATGGAATTTCCCAGCCAATCTCTCAAAAGCTCTTCTCCTGTCAATATTGAATTGGTGGTTGTTGTGACGAACTTTTTCCCATAGATCACACTTTCCTGATTGTTGGTGTTTTTCTGTATGTGTTCATCCCCTCCTCCCTCCCCCGTGTTTGGTGTGGAATGATGCTGTTGAGGGTGTGTTGTTCAGGTCATGGACATGGTGTTGATGGAAGTTTGCAATGTGAGAAGAAAGTTCTGTGGGTGAAGGAAAGTTTAGCTGACAAAGTTTTTGGTGTTTTTTGTCCAGAGATTCTTTGTTGGAACTTAATTAATTGTATGTTATACTTTCTGTCGTGTCTCTCTCTGTGTAACAATGTTTTCTCATCCATTGCAGACGAAGAAAAGGAGCATGAAGAATGCAAGAAGTTTGCTATGAGAATTTTTGAGAAATTTCATCTTCAGACTCTCTTAAGTGTTAATCCGTGTGTCAATGTATAATATTGTCTAAATGGCAATTAATTAGTGTCTAATTGGCTCTCTCTCTCTCAGTGGCAAAAAGGCGCATCTTAACCATCTCCTGTTCCAATCTTCTTGCAGAACAAAATCGTGACGGTGGATCAGGTGAGGGTGAAGCTCCAGATTTGGGACACAGCCGGCCAAGAGCGCTTCAGAAGTGTGACTCACGCCTACTATAGGGATGCCCACGGTAAATCCTCTCCTCGGGAGAATGTCTCTATTGTTGTGAAGAAGCGGCAGGATGTGATTTTGAGGGGTGCTTTTCTTTCTCCGCAGCTCTTCTCCTCCTCTACGACGTAACGAACAAAGTCACCTTTGACAATACACGTGCCTGGCTAGTCGAAATCCGAGAGTACGCTCAAGAGGACGTCGTTATTATGTTGCTTGGTAGGTATAGAAGTTTGGCTTTTCAGTGGCCGCAAGGAAAATCTTTTTTTCCAATTAAATCAGTAAATTGCGCCAAGTGGCCACAAATGATTTCTCAAGCCGAGCGCGGTGCGAAGGTTCGATTGTATCCCAGGACTTAAGGGTGCAACTTTGTGGTTTCTGTGTAAAGCAGATTGTGAACAGCATTGAAATGGTTTCATGCATTATGTATTCATCGCAGTAAATCCCTGATACTTTGTATACTAATCTGGGAAATCACACAATTGGAATAGATGGAGTGCGTGTTCAGAATTTGCTAATTCACAAAACCAAAACCATCAGCAATTTGTCAAAAAGTCACTCAATGTTGTGAAATTGAGTGATTCAGTGTAGAAATTGTTCTATTCTGCTCTAATCTTTGGAGTAGAGTGGATTAGAAGGCGGAGCATTGCAAGGGGCGTGGCATTTAAATGGGCGGAGAATTACTTTTGAAGATCTTAAACTAGCAATGAGTTCACGAAAAGCGTAATGAATTAAGGAAAAGTTCCTGTAATCATGAAAAAGGTTCCTCCAAAGTTCTCAAAGTTACTCATTAAGTTGCCAAAGATCTCAGATTCTCTTTTCTTCACTAGAGTTTGCCAAGTAGTGTGCGAAAATGTGGTCTAATTTCACTTATAATATAGAAAGAGAAAAAAAATCCAAGACTGAGTTGAAACTTTTCGCCTTGCTCGCAGGAAATAAATCCGATTGCGGGGCTGAGCGTGAGGTGAAGAAGGAGGAGGGCGAGCGTTTGGCGCGCGAATATAATGTGGGATTCCTCGAGACGTCGGCCAAGACAGGACTCAATGTAGACTTAGCTTTTCTTGCTGTTGCAAGGTAAGGATGATCAAATATTTGCTGAAATTCGCAGTTAATTAATTATAATTCTCTCTCTGTCGGCAGACAATTAAAGAGTCGAAAGTCTGAATTTGCAGCTGCCGATGATGCCAAGTTCAATGTTCAGGAGTACGTGCGTGAGCACGCTCAGAGGCCAACGTGTCCCAGTTGTATATGAAATATTGTCTAAAACCTCTCAACGGGCATATCAAGGAGATTTTGTGCAGGGAAGAAATTCCTGATGGTGAACAATCATTAGAGAGCGTGAGAATCACACGCGTTGGAAATATTGGTATATTAAGAAGATTAGTGTGTTTGATGAATTCTTCGAAGAGGAAAGCTTTAAATGGACAAAGACGTTTAACATTCAGTAGCATTTTGTGCACTGGAATATAATTGTGCAATCTATAGTGGAATTTCTATCATGTTTATCTAACGAGCGCGGCTCTTTGAAATTCTAATTGACCCAGCAATGGCGACGACTCAGGCGTTGTCAGTCCTCAATCTCTCTCTTCCCATCTCACCTGGACCACTGTGTAAAGAAAAAAAACCGTAGCTGTACTTGATGGGAAGTTGCGCGGAGCTTTCGGAATCCGCGAGATTGTTTTAGGTGTAAATAATTTAAGGGAGAAAAGGGTGAAATATTGTACCAAAAGGGAAATCAAAATCGCGCCGTTCGCCTGAAATACTTTGTGAAATGGATATAAAATGTCTGTATATTTTTGTGCGTATCGCCTAAAAGCCCCGAAACTAGATCATTTCATTCCACGGACTGTTCTTTGAGCAATTTCCTTACGTGTGAATAAATTTCCCATCAACAGGGGGAGAGAAAAGCACGGGCGAATCTTTCACCTTTCTCCATATCTTTAGAATATTTGTCACAGAAATATGCTACGAAATTGCTCATTTCCCGGGGTGAAATGCGTGTGGTATTTGATTATATATAGATTTGGCAGTTATCGGAGGATTTGTATAGTAAAATTTACAATAAATATGGGCTGAACATGGAAAGGAACACAATTTCGTAGTTTGCAGCGATGAATAGTGTAAATTAGATGAGATGTAGAAGATTCTCGCTTGAAGAGTTGTAATGAAAATATGACAAATAAATATTTATTGTACAAAAAGAATGAAATTTTGAGTAAAATTTGCCCAAAATTTGCCTCTTTTGGAGTTTTTGGCGCGCGAAGATATTTCCATCTTCGCGCTTTCAGCGCCTCTGCCGTCAATGAATTGTGATTGTCAGCGGTGGCAAAACAAATTCACGTGGAATTGCTTCTCTTGTGCTATTATCGGATTTTGGCTGAAAATACGGGTGAGGATGAGTAACACGCAGCACAGGCATCGCCATGGGAGTCTCAAGCAGACAAATAAGACCCACAAGACGGGCAGACATCGCTCGAAGTCAGCAGTGGACAATGCTAACAAAGGTGTGTAACCTCACTTTGCAATTGCTTTTTTGGGGGCTCCAGAAACTATTGAGTTTCTGCTTTCAGGCAAGACTTCCGTGAAGGCCGTGACCAGGAAGATGGACAGGGTGATGAGTAGAGACAGTCGGCGTCAGCAGGCGAATCAGCTGAGGAAGAATAAGCGCACGGACACAATGAATAAGAAAAGACAATTGGGAACTGCTGAATATGCTCCATTTCTGGTCTGTCTTTTGCCGCTGGAGGCGAGCATTGATCCCCGGTCAGCTCTGGACATTCTTGAGAAATGTGATCCCGAAGCTTTGGTGTACAAGAACTCCTCTGGCATTACTTACTTGAGGTAATAAGATTGGTAAATATGATGGAAAAGGGAAAGTTTGTGATTAAATTTGGACTTTATTCAACAGTATTCCGCGCTTCAAGCAGAGATTCTCTTTTATCATCCCTCCGGTGGGATGTGGCAATGAATTCACCGCTCTGGATTACCTGAAAGTGGCCGACACGACGGTCTTCCTCATCTCAGCCAACAATCCGGAGGGAGAAATCATGGACAGATGGGGCTCGAGGATCTTCCAAATGGCCATGGCTCAGGGTGTTCCCACGCCAACCATCGCTCTGCAGGACTTGGCGTCAATAGCACCCAAGAAGCAACTCACCATGAAGTCATCGATACAGAAGATTGTGGAGAAGTTGATTCCGGATCAGAAACTCGTGGTTTTGGACACAAATTCTGACGGTTTGAATCTTCTGCGGAAGATTGGAGCTCAGAAGAAGACAAAGCTGAAGAATAGGATGTGCAGGCCTCATCTCTATGCTGACAGTGTGGAATATTCGCAGGAAGTGGTGAAAGTGACTGGATATTTGCGAGGAACGCCGCTGGATGTCAACAGATTGGTGTACATTCCTGGCTTGGGAGACTTCCAAATGGCTCAAATTGATGTCATGAGTGATCCATATCCGATTGACAAGAGGAATTTGGATCAGGAGGTGACGAGAAAGGTGTTTGCTGTGGCGGATGAGAAGATTCAGACGCCTCTGGACAGGGAGAATGTGTCTGACGAGGCGGAAATGGTGGAGGAAGCTGAGGAGGTGAATGAGGAGGAGGAGAAGCCGAAGAGGCTTGTCAAGAGAGTCCCTGTGGGCATGAATAGTTACACTGCGGCATGGATTCCGGACGTGGAGGAAGTGGATGACGATGATGATGATGATGAGGAGGAGGATTCTGAAGAGGATGAAGATTTTATGTCATGCGCCTCGGAAGTGGACTCAAACGCAGACATGGAAGGCGATGGGGAGTCTCAGAGTGGCGAAGAGGGAGAGTATCATGAGATAACTGAGGAGGAAGGCGTGTCTGATGAGGCGAAGTATGATCAGGACATGGATTTTGAGGAGGAGAAGCGCAGTCTGGACAAGCTGAAAGCGGCTCGAATGGATAAACTCTGGCCAGATGAGATTGACACGCCTCAGGATATTCCTGTGCGATTGCGATATCAAAAGTACCGCGGACTGGAGTCCTTCAGGACATCCCCGTGGGATGCGAGTAAGAATCTGCCGAGTGATTACAGCAGAATCTACAATTTCGAGAACTTCAGGAATCGGGCGCGCTTTGAGGTGCGCGAGGCGGAAAATGTCCTGGGCGTGCCGGCGGGATTGTACATCACGGTGCACATCAAGGGTGTGGAGCAGAGTCTCTGGGAGGCCTTCAGATCCACTGGCCGGGAGACGGAGAACTTCATTGTGTACGGATTGCTGCCGCACGAGCACAAGATGTCTGTGGTGAATTGCATTCTGCGTCGCACGCCGGACTCAGAGATGCCGATTGAGTCCAAGGAGCGGATGATCATTCAGTGTGGCTACAGGCGCTTCATCGCCAATCCCATCTTCAGTGAGCACACGCACGGCAACAAGTTCAAGTTCGAGAAGTTCTTCAGGCCGAATGAAGTGATCGTGGCGAGCTTCTATGCGCCGATTCAGTATCCGCCGGCGACGGTGATGTGCTTCCGCACCAATCCTGACTCGAGTGTCTCCCTCGTGGCGGGCGGCAGTGTGCTGTCCTGTGATCCTGGACGCGTTGTCCTGAAGCGTGTCCGTTTGAGTGGACATCCGCTGAAGATCTACAAGGACTTTGCCGTGATTCGCTTCATGTTCTTCAATGCCGAGGACGTGAATTACTACAAGCCGATCCAGCTGAGGACGAAGTGCGGCAGGATGGGACACATCAGGGAGAGTCTGGGCACGCATGGCCACATGAAGTGTCGCTTCGATGGCCAGCTGAAGTCCTACGACACTGTCTTTCTGCAGCTCTACAAGAGAGTCTTCCCCAAGTGGACGTACCAGGAATGTCTCAAGACAGCCGCGCCGGCAAAGACTGCCCGGATGGACGTCGACTGAGGAGTTCTGTGTGAGATCAGTGGACAATAAAGGCTACTCTTGATATCCTGGAAAGAATGACAAAGGCTTTTCTGTTCATGTTTAAGGATTTCTGTTTTATTCAGCACTAAAAAAGCTGTGAGCTTAGCTCAATTTAAATCACTGTAAAACTCGAATAACAGATTTTATTTACTTCCTGCTTTAACATTTTGTGGACAGGAATTAAAGGATACTCAAAGTTTGCAAAGTGACCAACAAAAGGAGGTTTATTGAGTCAAAGAGTCTGACTAGGGCGACGAGACACTAAGAAATACTTCTAGGGCATTCGGTGTTTCCTGATGAAGCGCGTGAGAAGATCAGAAAACTTGTGAGGTTCATTGAGATGAGCGTGATGTCTGCCTTCGATGGTGTGATACTCGAAATTCGGGTTGTTCTCCTTGAAGACGCCGATGATCTCGTCGATGTACTTCTTGTCCTCGTAGTAAACGGAGTTGGTGCACTTGATGAACATGTAGGGACACGTGATGCGCTTCGTCATGCCGATGGCGATCTCCTGGGAGAGTGTCTGGAAGCTGAAGCCTTTGAGGCGATTGTCGCGCGTGAAGTAGAACTTCTCTGGGTCACTCTTCGACTGGGCGATGTTGCGCTTCAGCAGATACTGGCACACTTCCTTCTCCACGGATCCATTTGTGCCCTTGTGCAGACGCTCGAGCATTTCGTCGTATGAGTAGCAAGGCGGCTCCGAGGCCTCGCGATTTCGCCTGTCCGCCAGCAGGAATGCCTCGAAGCCCTTCTCAATCATCGGCGCGTACTTCTCGGCCGGGCGCACGTGCGGCTTGAGGGCGTCGATGCCGATCATGAGGTCGACTTTGTCCGGGAAGGCGGAGCTGTAGCTGAAGCCGATGAGGGAACTCATGGAGTGCGCGAGAATGGAGATCTTGTCCCACTTCTCCTGCTCGGACAGCAGGCGCAGCGCCTGGCACACGTCCAGCCAGCTGTAGAAGATGCCGTCCGGGAGGCGCGACGACAGGCCGTGGCCCGGCAAGTCCAGCGCCAAGTAGCTGTACTCCGGCGGCAGGTGGGGAATGAGAGTGTCGAAGGAGCCGGCGTTGTCCTGCCAACCGTGGAGGCACAGAATGGGACGAGTATTCCTGTTGCCCCACCATTTTCCGGCTACGCTTCCCCAAGGGACGCTGAAGCTGAACTCCTGCGCCTGCAAATGCGGAAACGCACGACATTAGACAATCGGAAGAGCAGAGATTCCTGGGAATAACATCTGATGATCCTATGAACTTTTGAAAAATAAATAAATTCCCCATTTTCGTAGACTCGCAATCTTGCAACGCCTTTTTACGAATTCATATCCTTGACAGTTTATTTAAAATGTTATGAACGTAAAGTTGCAACGACGCGTTAGAATCCGTATTTTGAACGTTATGAATAGTTTTATGGATTTGCAAATTACTTTTCATGGTGATTATTCGCTGGGAATGTGTGGAGAATGGAATAGTTGAGAGTAATTTTACCTCCTTCTCGGGCAATCCGTTGGCTTTGGGCTCCACTGACGTCGCCATTGTTCGTGCCAATGTGATCTGCTTGACTCCCACAGATCGCAACGCCTGACGAAAGGTTAACATCCAATCCAAGTAATCGCGCGACACTGAAAATGAATAGTAGGAAATTGCGTGAATAGCATTCTTATCGCAAAATTTGTTATCAACCGCTTGAATTTCTCGAATATAGTCCACAAAATATACTTCAAATAAGAGCTTAGGGAAGAGATACGATTTGGGAAGATGGGGAAAAAGAGGCAGTTTTTCTTCAGGCAAAACCCATAAATGATTTTATTCTCAGCTAAACACCTTGGCGAGTGCAGAGAATTGCGTAATAATTCCCAATTAGTGGCTTAATTGGAGTCTTCATCCCGTGTCCATGTGCTAAAATGCTTAAATACTGCGCGCTCAGAGCTTGCTTTTGGTCTTCCGGTCGTTCTGGCCGTGCTTTCGGATGAAATCCGACAGGATTCCACTGATTGCCGTGGGATTTGTGAGGTGAACGTGATGTCTGCCCTTGACTTGGTGCATCACGAACTGCGGATTGCACTTCTTCAGCTCCTCAATGACCTCCAGGAGGTACTTCTCCTCCTCCCAGAACTTCACCACGGACTGCTCGGCGCGAATGAACATGTAGGGAATGTCGATGCGTCTGGCCAGCAGAAGGCAGCTCTCCTGGCTGATCAGGAGGTGCTTGAAGTACTTGAGGCGACCGTCGCGGTTGAAGTAGTACTTGTCCGGGTACTTTGTGGACTTCCGCACGCCACGGCTGAGGATGTACGGGCAGTAATCGGGCGAGACGGACTTGTAAGTGCCGATGTGGAGGCGATCGACGAGCTGATCGAAGGAGTAGCTCGGCGGTTCGCTGGGATCGAGATTCCTCTCGTCCTCGATGGCCACATTCGTGAGCATTGTCTGCAGGTAGTCCACAATATCGGGCATTATCTTGGGCTTGAGTGCGTCCAGGGCGATGACAAAGTCCACTTTGTCCGGAAATAAGCCCGCGTAGACGAAAGTGAGCAGCGCGCCGAGGGAATGTGCGAGAATGGAGATCTTCTCCCACTCGTAAATCTCCTGGATGCGCCGGATGATCCACAGGTAGTCGTAAGCTGTGTAGCTCATGCCGTGCGGAAAAGGCGAGGAGAATCCGTGGCCGGGAAGATCGATTGCCAGATAGCCGAATTCGGACGGCAGCAGCGGAATGAGCGTGTCGAAGGTGCCGATGTTGTCCTGCCAGCCGTGAATGCACAGGATGGGCCGAGTGTTCTTGGGGCCCCACCATTTGCCCGCAATGTGACCCCAGGGCACCTCAATTCGCACCTTCGTAGCCTTGAAGGGAGATTGAAACAAGCATAAACAACTCCGCTTCTCCACACATTTCTCCGCTCTGTCTCACCTTTTTGCTGTTCTCACGCACATCCTTGATAGCCTCACCGTTTGACGAGGCCTTGGACTTGCGGAAAATCTCTCTGGCCAGACTTTCTTCCGCGGATTTCCACATGATTTGCTCTCCTTCACTCGTCAAACTCTCTCTTCCAACTGACAGTCTCACCGCGATAATCTTATCGAGCACGCTTTTTTCGCTCTCTCAACTTTTTCTCTCGCCATGAACAGGTGGGAAAAAAAACACTCTATTTACCTCAGTTAAACACCCTTGAGTTTTCCACACTGTTTTTCTGTTTTTCACGAGCAAATTCTCCACACACGCGCGTCTTCACGGCACGGCATTCCAGCAAAAGTCAACGGATTCGCAGCTCTACAGGTGCATTTTATTCACCCAGAGCCGCTATTTCACAAGTCACGGGGCAAATATCACACCGCGGTAGTGAGACTGGCCGGTCAAAGTCCACTTATGATGGTTGTTTTGTCGACCAAAAGCGTGAATCAGAGAGAAACTTTGCGAATCTCCAATTAGATTCCATCAGCTGAAGAAACATTACCTCACTTTTCATGTTGCGCCCTTGAGCCGCACAGCGCTGCTGTTGACAAAGAGCGACAAACTGGAAGTTAGCCGAGACACACTTCCCAAGGAAATTTGAAAAATTTGCTGACGATCTTGAAATTTCTCGAGATTTTGGATCGAATTTCAAAAACCAAGCAAAAACACACCATGATAATCTATGAAACAAATTGTTTCTATTTCCACTACAGACTCTTCAGTTCTTTTAGAAAATACATATTACAAAAAACATAAGAATCCATTTTGCTTAATCGTAAAGAAAAAAAGATTTCGCATAAGTGATTAAGGCGAGAGAAATGTATTTTATCCGGCACTACCGGCTGACCATGGGGAATAATCCAGAATGCTGCTGCTACTTTTCTTCTTTACCTCCTCGGAATGCCGGACGGTCGCGGGAGCGCCGAAGCACCGCCGCCCGTCCGGAAGTTCGACGGCATGCGTAATCCCGACGGTCGAGGCACTTTAGACATCGCACTGGCCGAACGCTTGTCCGGCTGCAGGGAATTGTAGGTCTGATGGGAGTCAAAGGTGGCGTCCGGATTGCTGTGCTGCGCCTCCGGAACGTGGAGACTTCCCTTCGAGCTGGCACTCGACGAAGACAGACTCTGCAAGAGGACAGAAGTTTTACAAATTGGCACCGCTTAGAGAGCCTGATGAATTGCTCACTTGTGGTGAGTATCTTCCGGACTCCGTGTCCGAGTCATTCCGCCTGACCGAGTAGCTGTAGTATCCGGACGACGGTCTGACCAATCCCAGTCGCTTTGGATTATTCCTCATGATCGCTGTGCTCGTGTTCTCGCCTTGATTATTCCTCACTATTGTTCGTGTATCGATTTTCTGTGGAAAACAAGCAAAATATTAGCAATAATTGTCAGGAAAACACCTCCAAAATTGTCTCTACATTTCTTCTCTTGTCAACTTTGATCTTGTCTTAAAAGCCTTAATTATCCCCTGGATTCAAATGGTTCAGTAACTTTCTCCAGAAATACATCATTGCCGTCCTTCTTCACCCTTCGCCTGAAATCCACACACGTCTCGTAATGCTCCTCCAGCTTTTCCGGCAACACTAAGTGCAGAGCATTGTATTCGCACGTCACAAGCTGCCTTCCAGTGTACGTCTTTTTGCACTTCAGCAAGTGCTGAGGCATACGAAGTGGGGAAAGCCAGTGATTCTTATCATAGGGACAACACACAAGATCAGTGCCCATATTTTCCACACGCAGTAAAACAGTATTTTCCCTCAAGAGACCCAAGAAAACTCTAACAACTTTGTGAGGTTATGTCGATTGACAAGCGCGACGAGCGCGACTTTCGACGAGATTTTTGGGCATTGTTGAATTTGAAAATATAAGACGCTAACGGAAATGTGGTGAAAAGTTAATAATATTGCTTAAAAATACTCACATATCGTTCGGCATCAGACGCGGGCTGTTTGGAAGACAGTCGACCCAGCGATTGATTGGATTTCCCGAATTTCGAGGAAGGCGCTAAGGATAAATTCTGAAAAGAAGAAGAAGAGAAAATGATCAATTGAGTTGATTTCTTATCTACCAATTTATCAACTCTGCTTTACATTGGAAGATCGAAGTTAAATCCATTAAAGTGAGCGTGTTTTTGCGTCCTCAAAAGTCGCGTCATAAACGAAAAATTATCACTTTTACTTCCACTGCCCACGAATCATTGTGTGTTGCTTTCTTAATGATTTCAACTCACGGACGCAGAAAAAGCGAGAATGCATAAATAAACACTCACACTATTCGGTTGACTCTTGTTCAATCCATCGGCGCTGGACTTGAAATCACTGTGATTGCCGGCCATCGCGAGGCTGCGCTGTCCCGACATGAGATTGTGGATGGACTTGGACTTGACGCCCATGGGGCTTTTGAGGGATTGCGGGCCCCTGGGCGGCGGCTGCTCGTTGGCGTCCAGCAGATCGTCAGCTGAGTTGAACTTCTGCTGCGACATTGGCTTCGCCAGAGCGCTCTTGAAGAACCTGAGCTTCGGGATGTTTCTCACTGGCGCCGTTGGCTTCTTGAATTCCGGCTGTTTCTCCGGCGGCTGCGGCTCCACATCCACAGTGATTGTCGTGTCGCCGGCATCGGGGAGATGAGGACTGTTCTGATCCAGCGGCCTGACGATCCGGATGGTCTTGAATCTGTCCCTGTTGCCTTTAACCGGAGACTTTTCCACCACTTCCTCCGCCACCGTCGATTCCTGATTCCTCTCGCCATCCGGACTGTGATTCATGTCATCGTAGATTCGACTGCGCCTGAGAAGCCGTCGACTCTTGCTCATGGACTCCGACAACTTGTTGCTGTCCATCTTGGCCGCCTCCTCTTGCTGCTTCTCCAGATTCACCAGCGAATGCCTCTTCTTGATGCTGTCCAGACTCTGTCGCATCTTCTCATTGCTCTGCCTAATCTCCAACGCCGCGAATCGGCCCAGAACATCCTCAAACTCCTTCTCATGCTCGCCAGCGTCTTGCATCAGTGTCTTCTCGTACTCCTCGAAGTTCTTCAGCGATTGACGCTCATCCTCGCGCAGCAGATTAATGGGAATCGGCAGACGACGCAACTCCACAACTTCATCCTCCGGACTGTCCTCAAAAGGCGCCTTTTCCAACATTCTGTCCGGCGTGAAAGCCTGATTTGTCGCCTCCTGAAGATACTTCTCGAAATTCCCCTCTTTGCTGGTGTTCAAGCCACACTTTATCGGCGACAAATTGATCTTTCTGTGATTCTCTTTTGATCTGGAGTTCTTCAGCGGCGTGGATTGATAAAGCCCTGAAATCAGAAGCTCATAAATACACTCAAAATTCACTATCAATTCATTTTAACTCACATTCTGCGGAATCTGGCGTTGTTTTCTTCTCCGGTTGATCCACTTTCTTCTCAATGAACGTCTCGTCATTCAAGTTATTCTTCACAAATGTGCCATTCTTCTGTGCTTCACAGTCGAACGTCACGTTATTCACAGGATTCTCAATCGTGGTGTCGCCCATCAAGTTAAATGTCTCACTTGCAATCGCCTGAGCGCCAAGAATTTCATTAGAAACGTCGAAAGTCGTGTTCTTCCCTTCGCCAGCCACAAATGTGCCCTCAAACTGCGGATTCAGCTTCATTGTGATGTTGATCAATGGATTGCTGTCCGACGAGTCATTCGACAGCCCAAGATCGTCCGTGCGCGCAATGCTGGCGTCCTTGGAGAACGTCTGATCTTCACTGAGTGTCAGTGTGTCCAGGAATTGCCTGTCTCTGATCACATCCTCCAGCTTGTAGCCGTTGAAGTTGATGTTGGCCGAATCGTCCATGTTCTCCATGAAGAAGCTTACATTGTTGAAGTCTCCGCTGTTGATCAGGCTGTTCAGCATCTCCTCGTTCATCGAGTCCACGGATGAGCAGAAAGAGCTGGGCGGCGATGTTTCGCCAATCAGACTTCTCCGCATGCTCGTCACAAGGCCACCAACTTGCAAATTGATCCCCGGCGTTGGTGGATCGTGATCACTGTCCATGCCGCGCTTCTTCGGCCGCGTGAACGTGCGAGTGTCCACCAATTTGGTCCCTCCTGGATGAATCAATGGGAATTGTTGTCAATTGGAAACGCAAAAAAGATCTTTTGTGGGTCAGTTTTATCCAAAAATTCATCAACTGCTCTCTTGCCATCAAGAGAAAAAACAAGAATCACGAGAAATCAAAGAGATTCACGGGATTAGCAAGCAAATGAATATGGAATTGAGTGAATTGATTGAATAAAGATGCCGAGAATTGAAGGCGAGAGTGAAGTGAATTCGCCTCACCTTTGGTCCCCAGAGCGGCTTCATTCTGCTTCCACTGCTGCAGGATGCTGGTGATGGAGTCATCCATTTTCTGGTCAGCCGTGAGATTGCTGCAGAGCACAAAGAGATCAAACAAAACACATCCGTGAGAAATTGCACTTCCGTATCGATTCCGGAAGAGAGCAAACGCACCAGAATGAATCATCCTTGAGTATCTCGTCAATGTCCAGAATATCCATGGCCACTATCCCCGTCCTGGGATCCACCTGGTGTCCCAGATCAGTCGGGAAGTCCTCGCCTGGAGTGGCTCTGGGACGAGAAAGCTGGCCGGACGGGCCGAAAGTGCTACGCACACAGAAATTTCTCCCTCACGAGTGGGCGCGGCACCGAAACAGCAGGGCGCAAATAAATGAACCAAACATGAAGCGGTGGGCTTACTGATTAATGCAGCACAATTTTCACGAGTGATTTCATACGCTAAGCCACATAAACAGACGATAAAATTCCTTCAATTGTCCATGTCTGGGGGCGAAAAGGCCAATCTCGGACTGTCACTGCGCGCAAGGCTGCCAACATGGCGGCCGCCTTCGACGAGTTTCGGCATTGTTGGCGCCATGTTGGTGCAGATGCGGCTCGATGCGGCGTAGTTTTGTCACAGCGCTCAGAAGCGAAGCATCAGCTCTGATAAAATGTGCAATCTTGCATAGTTTTATTGTGAATTTTCGCCAAAAGTGTGACACAGAGGTGAAAGAACAACAAGCATAAGGTATTTTCATTGCTATATTGCAGAAATATGTGTGAATAAGGGGGGAAAATGGGTGAAATATTGGGTCACGTTGGGATTGGTTATGAAGCCACGCTAAACGTTTACAATATCTCCTACATTTTGTGTATTTCTACAAATTTATTATCAAATTTCGTTAAATACATGCTTACTGAGTCTTTTTTGGTGCTTTCCATGTAGCTCTGTTGTATTCTTTGGCTGTAAAATGCAATTTTCTGGGAGGAATTTTCCATAAAGTAAAATGGCGTCCGGCTTGGGATTGCCCGTGTTTTAGGCAATTTATGCTGAGAAATAGACGCAAAAATAGGGTGGAAAAAGACGCTCTGTGAATTATGTGCAAGGGGGAATATTTCGCGTGCAGAATTAAATCATAACTTGAGGCAAAGTTGCCAAATATAGGGCAAAAAATGGCCTCTAAGAATGCATCAATCCTTGAAGGGCCGCCATTGTTGTTGCTTATTCTCGGAATGCACTTGAAAAAATGGGTAAATTTTTTGGAAAACTCCAAGTAGCAAAAAAATTGTAATGCGACTTTCCTTTGGCATAGATGTCGCTTGACACTCGAGGACGATCAGGATCTCAGGGTGGTTTTGGGATGTCGTTGAGTAGAGTGAAGAATGGATAAAGAACACTTATTGATAAAAAATCTCTTACTTTGTGGCTTTGTTGTTTATTTACTCTGAGAAATTTGATATTTGTGATTAGAATTTATTGTTAGTGTTTATTTTTCTGCGATATATCTTTGCAGAGTGAGAACACAGAGTCATAATGGCTCTTCCGCCGTATATGATACCGCCAAATTCATGGGCGGCGCAGTTGATGGCTCAACAGCAGGCTTTTGCTGCCGTTCATGCTCAGCAGCAGGCTTTCAATGCCCAGCAAATGCCGCCTGGCAGTCAGATGCCACAACAGGCGCCGCCAGGAATCGCTCCGGGCGCCGCTCTGCCGCCCAAGATCTCAGTTCCGCCGCCACAGAAGGTTGACGTGATGACGGAGGAGAAGCTGCTGGAGAAGTCACAGAAGTGGCAGCAATTGCAGTCGAAGCGATTCGCGGAGAAGCGCAAGTTTGGCTTCGTGGATGCGCAGAAGGAGGACATGCCGCCGGAGCACATCCGGAAGATAATCAGGGATCACGGCGACATGACGAGTCGCAAGTACAGACACGACAAGAGAGTGTATCTCGGGGCGCTGAAGTACATGCCGCACGCCGTGATGAAGCTGCTGGAGAACATGCCGATGCCGTGGGAGCAGATCAGGGATGTGCCGGTGCTGTATCACATCACGGGCGCCATAACGTTCGTCAATGAGATTCCGTGGGTGATTGAGCCAGTGTACATCGCTCAGTGGGGCACGATGTGGATCATGATGAGGCGCGAGAAGCGCGATCGTCGCCACTTCAAGCGGATGCGCTTCCCGCCGTTTGACGACGAGGAGCCGCCGCTCGACTATGCGGACAATGTGCTGGACGTGGAGCCGCTGGAGGCCATACAGATTGAACTGGACGCCGATGAGGATGGGAGCATTCACGATTGGTTCTATGACCACAAAGCTCTGCTCGGAACACAGTGAGTCCTTTTAGAGTAATATTTCAAAAGGATTTGTGTTGATTTCTTGTGTATGTGTGTTTTGCAGGCACGTCAATGGCTCGACTTATCGTAAGTGGAACCTCACGCTGCCCCAAATGGCCACACTCTATCGCCTGGCCAATCAATTGCTCACAGATTTGGTGGATGAGAACTTCTTCTATCTCTTCGATCCGAAGAGCTTCTTCACCGCCAAGGCGCTGAACATGGCCATTCCGGGAGGCCCCAAATTTGAGCCACTGATCAAGGATCACAATGTTGGCGATGACGATTGGAATGAATTCAATGACATCAATAAGATTATCATCAGACAACCGATTAGGACGGAATATCGCATCGCATTTCCCTATTTGTACAACAATATGCCGCATTTTGTGCATCTTTCATGGTGAGTTGATGTATTTCTGACTGTTTTTCTCTTCAATTTCCACATTTAGCACAATATTTAGTACATAAATTACTTTGTACACTGAATATAAATCAAATGTGGTAGATTAATGATCTTCTTCGCGGTCAGTTTGTATTGATTTTATATGTTAAGGCACGCCAATTGAGTGTGTTCCTGAAATACATATAGAAAAAATGATACAAATAAATCTGCAAGAAGATCGCTCTTAGACGGTTTGTCATGTGGTGTTTATTGATAGCTTCATTTCTCTAGTCGATAATTAAGCATGGCATACAATTTTTGTCTTAAATTCAATAATTCTTCAATGAACACTTGCTGACAATTGGCTTAAAGAAGTTTGCCTTCTTCAGGTATCATGCACCAAATGTGGTGTTCATCAAGACAGAAGATCCTGATCTTCCTGCCTTCTACTTCGATCCGCTGATCAATCCAATTTCCCATCGTCACTCTGTGAAGTTTATCGAGCCTCTGCCGGAGGATGATGAGGAGTATTTGCTGCCGGAAGATGTTCAGCCATTCCTGCAGGACACTCCGCTGTACACTGACAACACAGCCAATGGGATATCCTTGCTGTGGGCTCCCAGGCCCTTCAACATGCGCTCCGGACGCACCAGGAGGGCGATTGATATTCCCCTGGTGAAGGGATGGTACAAAGAACACTGTCCGCCAGGGCATTCGGTGAAGGTGCGCGTGAGTTATCAGAAGTTGCTCAAGTATTATGTGTTGAATGCACTGAAGCATCGTCGTCCGAAGCCACAGAAGAAGCGTTATCTCTTCAGATCCTTCAAGGCGACCAAATTCTTCCAAACCACGACACTTGATTGGGTTGAGGCGGGATTGCAAGTGTGTCGTCAAGGTTACAATATGCTTAATCTGCTGATTCACAGGAAGAATCTGAATTATCTCCATTTGGATTACAATTTCAATCTGAAGCCAGTGAAGACACTCACAACGAAGGAGCGAAAGAAGAGTCGCTTCGGAAATGCTTTCCATTTGTGTCGTGAGATTTTGAGACTCACAAAGTTGATTATTGATTCACATGTGCAGTACAGATTGAATAATGTCGATGCATTCCAGTTGGCAGATGGTTTGCAGTACATTTTTGCCCATGTGGGACAATTGACGGGCATGTACAGATACAAGTACAAGCTGATGAGGCAGATTAGGATGTGTAAGGATCTGAAACATTTGATTTACTATCGATTCAACACGGGTCCTGTGGGAAAAGGCCCAGGATGTGGCTTCTGGGCGCCAGGATGGCGTGTGTGGTTGTTCTTTATGCGCGGAATTACGCCACTGTTGGAACGCTGGCTGGGCAATTTGCTGAGTCGTCAATTTGAGGGAAGACACTCGAAGGGCATCGCAAAGACGGTGACGAAGCAGCGTGTGGAGTCACACTTTGATCTGGAATTGAGAGCGTCGGTGATGCACGATATTGTGGACATGATGCCGGAGGGGATCAAGCAGAACAAGGCCAGGACAATTCTGCAGCATCTGTCAGAGGCTTGGCGATGCTGGAAGGCAAATATCCCGTGGAAAGTGCCAGGATTGCCAATTCCAATTGAGAATATGATTCTAAGGTATGAAGAAACTTCATTTTTGTCTTTGTTTTGCTCTACAATTTTGTGTTTTCTTTGCAGATATGTGAAGATGAAGGCAGATTGGTGGACAAACACTGCGCACTACAATCGGGAGAGGATCAGGAGGGGAGCAACAGTGGATAAGACAGTGTGTAAGAAGAATTTGGGAAGATTGACGAGGTTGTACTTGAAGGCTGAGCAGGAGAGACAGCACAATTACTTGAAAGATGGACCGTATATTTCGCCTGAGGAGGCAGTGGCGATCTACACGACAACTGTCCATTGGCTGGAGTCCAGGCGCTTCGCCCCAATTCCATTCCCACCGCTTTCATACAAGCATGACACGAAGTTGCTCATCTTGGCGCTGGAGCGTCTCAAGGAGGCGTACAGTGTGAAGTCTCGACTGAATCAGAGTCAGAGGGAAGAGTTGGGACTCATTGAGCAGGCTTACGATAATCCCCACGAAGCCTTGTCCAGAATTAAGCGTCATTTGCTGACGCAGCGAGCATTCAAGGAGGTGGGAATTGAGTTTATGGATCTCTACAGTCATCTGATTCCTGTGTATGATGTGGAGCCACTGGAGAAGATCACTGATGCCTATTTGGATCAGTATCTGTGGTATGAGGCGGACAAGAGGCGTCTCTTTCCGCCGTGGGTGAAGCCAAGTGACACAGAACCGCCGCCACTTCTTGTCTACAAGTGGTGTCAAGGCATTAACAATCTGCATGAAGTCTGGGATGTGTCCGAGGGTGAATGCAATGTGTTGCTTGAGTCACGCTTTGAGAAGCTCTATGAGAAGATTGACTTGACACTGCTCAACAGACTGCTGAGATTGATTGTCGATCACAATATTGCTGATTACATGACGGCGAAGAATAATGTGGTGATTAACTACAAGGATATGAATCACACAAACAGTTATGGTATAATAAGAGGACTGCAGTTTGCCTCTTTCATCGCCCAGTACTATGGATTGGTGTTGGATCTCCTGGCGCTGGGATTGCAGAGAGCCAGCGAAATGGCAGGACCACCACAGATGCCCAATGACTTCCTCACCTTCCAGGACACGAAGATTGAGACGTGCCATCCGATCAGGCTCTATTGTCGCTATGTCGATCGCATCCATTTGTTCTTTAGGTGAGTTTCCGAGATTTATTTTCACTTTGTCTGTACTTAACCTTTTGTTTTGTGCAGATTTACTGCTGAGGAGGCCAAAGATCTCATTCAGCGCTACTTGACTGAACATCCGGATCCCAATAATGAGAACATTGTGGGTTATAACAACAAGAAGTGTTGGCCACGCGATGCAAGGATGCGTCTGATGAAGCACGATGTGAATTTGGGCAGAGCTGTCTATTGGGACATCAAGAATCGTCTGCCCAGATCTGTGACGACCATCAATTGGGAGAATACTTTTGTGTCTGTCTATTCGAAGGACAATCCGAATTTGTTGTTCAACATGAGTGGATTTGAGTGTCGCATTTTGCCTAAATGTCGCACACAACATGAAGAGTTTACGCATCGGGATGGCGTGTGGAATTTGCAGAATGAAGTGACGAAGGAGAGAACAGCTCAATGCTTCCTCAGAGTGGATGATGAGAGTCTGGGACGATTCCACAATCGTGTGCGACAGATTTTGATGGCTTCCGGCAGCACAACATTCACCAAAATCGTGAACAAGTGGAATACAGCACTGATTGGATTGATGACATACTTCAGAGAAGCTGTTGTGAATACGCAAGAATTGCTGGATTTGCTGGTGAAGTGTGAGAATAAGATTCAGACGCGAATTAAGATTGGATTGAATTCAAAGATGCCCTCGAGATTCCCGCCTGTGGTGTTTTACACGCCCAAAGAGTTGGGCGGATTGGGAATGTTGAGCATGGGTCACGTGCTTATTCCACAATCTGACTTGAGATGGTCAAAGCAAACTGATGTTGGCATCACGCATTTCCGCTCGGGAATGTCTCACGATGAGGATCAACTGATTCCCAATCTCTATCGCTACATTCAACCGTGGGAGAGTGAATTTATCGATTCGCAGCGTGTGTGGGCGGAATATGCGCTGAAGAGACAAGAGGCAAATGCTCAGAATCGTCGATTGACACTTGAGGATCTGGAGGATAGTTGGGACAGAGGAATACCGAGAATCAATACGCTGTTCCAGAAGGACAGACACACACTGGCGTATGACAAAGGCTGGCGAATCCGGACGGAGTTCAAGCAATTCCAAGTGCTGAAGCAGAATCCCTTCTGGTGGACGCATCAGAGGCACGACGGGAAGTTGTGGAATTTGAATAATTATCGCACGGACATGATTCAGGCGTTGGGTGGGGTTGAAGGCATTCTGGAGCACACACTGTTCAAGGGAACGTACTTTCCCACGTGGGAGGGTTTGTTCTGGGAGAAGGCGTCGGGTTTTGAGGAGTCGATGAAGTATAAGAAGCTGACAAATGCCCAGAGATCGGGTCTCAATCAGATTCCCAACAGAAGATTCACACTCTGGTGGTCGCCGACGATCAACAGAGCCAATGTGTACGTGGGATTCCAGGTGCAACTGGATCTCACGGGAATTTTCATGCACGGCAAGATTCCCACGCTAAAAATCTCACTGATTCAGATCTTCAGAGCTCACTTGTGGCAGAAGATTCATGAGTCGATTGTGATGGATTTGTGTCAAGTGTTTGATCAAGAGTTGGACGCGTTGGAGATTGAGACGGTGCAGAAGGAGACTATTCACCCGAGGAAGTCATACAAGATGAACTCCTCATGCGCTGACATTCTCCTCTTCCCGGCGTACAAGTGGAATGTCTCCAGACCATCTCTGTTGGCCGACACGAAGGACACGATGGACAACACGACAACACAAAAGTACTGGATTGACGTACAATTGCGATGGGGTGACTATGATTCGCATGATATTGAACGATATGCAAGAGCGAAGTTTCTTGACTATACAACTGATAACATGTCAATCTATCCATCGCCAACTGGTGTCCTGATCGCCATTGATTTGGCCTACAATCTCCACTCGGCCTTTGGCAATTGGTTCCCCGGATGCAAGCCACTGATTCAACAAGCCATGTCGAAGATCATGAAGGCAAATCCGGCCTTGTATGTGTTGAGAGAGAGAATCCGAAAGGCACTGCAATTGTACAGTTCAGAACCAACTGAACCCTATTTGTCTTCGCAAAACTACGGAGAATTGTTTTCCAATCAAATCATCTGGTTTGTTGATGACACAAATGTCTACAGAGTCACAATTCACAAGACTTTCGAGGGTAATTTGACCACAAAGCCCATTAATGGGGCGATTTTCATCTTCAATCCGCGCACAGGACAACTCTTCTTGAAGATCATTCATACTTCTGTGTGGGCTGGACAGAAGCGTCTTGGACAGTTAGCGAAGTGGAAGACGGCTGAAGAAGTGGCAGCTCTTATTCGATCGTTGCCAGTTGAGGAGCAACCGAAGCAGATTATCGTGACGAGGAAAGGCATGTTGGATCCACTGGAAGTGCATTTGCTAGATTTTCCCAACATTGTCATCAAGGGTGAGTTGAAAATTCATGAAATTAGCTTGAATGATATGATAATTAATATTTTCACGTCTGTATTTTGCAGGTTCTGAGCTTCAGTTACCCTTCCAGGCGTGTCTGAAAGTGGAGAAGTTTGGCGATTTGATTCTCAAGGCGACAGAACCTCAAATGGTTTTATTCAATCTCTATGATGATTGGCTGAAGACTATCTCATCATACACTGCTTTCTCACGATTGATTCTCATTCTGCGTGCACTTCATGTCAACACGGAACGTACAAAAGTGATTTTGAAGCCTGATAAGACAACAATCACAGAAGCACATCACATTTGGCCAACATTGACGGATGAAGAGTGGATAAAAGTGGAGATTCAGCTGAAGGATCTCATTTTGGCGGATTATGGCAAGAAGAATAATGTGAATGTGGCATCATTGACACAATCGGAGATTAGAGATATCATTCTGGGCATGGAGATTTCTGCTCCATCTGCACAGAGACAACAAATAGCGGAGATTGAGAAGCAGACGAAGGAACAGAGTCAATTGACGGCAACAACAACGAGAACGACAAATAAACACGGTGATGAAATTATCACATCGACAACGTCAAACTATGAAACGCAAACGTTCAGTTCGAAGACTGAGTGGCGCGTGAGGGCGATTTCGGCGACAAATCTTCATCTCAGGACGAATCATATCTACGTGAGTTCGGATGACATCAAGGAGACGGGCTACACGTATATTCTGCCGAAGAATGTGCTGAAGAAGTTTGTCACGATATCTGACTTGAGGGCACAAATTGCTGGATATCTCTATGGCGTCTCACCACCGGATAATCCGCAAGTGAAGGAGATCAGATGCATTGTGATGCCACCACAATGGGGAACACATCAGACGATCAATCTGCCCAATCAGTTGCCATCGCATCAGTATTTGCGCGACATGGAGCCGTTGGGATGGATTCACACGCAGCCCAATGAGTTACCACAGTTGTCGCCGCAGGACATCACTACGCATGCCAAGGTGATGTCAGAGAATCCAACGTGGGATGGTGAGAAGACAATTATCATCACGTGCTCATTCACGCCTGGTTCGTGTTCACTCACGGCGTACAAACTCACGCCGTCGGGCTTTGAGTGGGGCGCAAAGAACACAGACAAGGGCAACAATCCGAAGGGATATCTGCCCAGTCACTATGAACGCGTCCAGATGCTGCTATCCAACAAGTTCCTGGGATTCTTCATGGTGCCGGCGCAGGGCAGCTGGAATTACAACTTTATGGGTGTTCGACACGATGCCAACATGAAGTATGAACTCCAGTTGGCGAATCCGAAGGAGTTCTACCACGAAATCCACCGACCGTCGCACTTCCTGCTCTTCAGCAATCTGGAGGACGGGACAGATGGCATCGGTGCCGATCGAGAGGACATGTTCTGCTAAAGCGAGAGTGATTAAGGTAGGCGATTTAGATGTTAATATAGAAGCTAAGAATGAAGTCAGTGAATATTTGAGTTAAGTCTGAAGAATGCCACTTTTTTACATATATTATTACTTATTTAGATTGTTAGTTCACTTCCTGAAATTTATTTAATACTCTATATGGAAAAATGATGACAGTCATTTGATATTTGAGGAATATTAATGCTCACGATCTGGGCGATTACTGGAGGTTTCCTCCGTTATTATTATTATTCAAATGCCTTTGCAACTTATCTAATCTAATAGTCACATTTCTACGTGCGACAAAGCGTCTTGTCGCTTATTAATGATCTAATGGAGGTTTCCTCCCTTTAATTTAAATCTTGATGATTTATTTTTTATCAAAATGCCGTTGCAGTTAACCAAAAACAAACTTCTTCTATGACAATTATGTCTTTATCGCGCCTCGCGCGTTTACTATCTTGACTTAGTGTCTAATGTCACATTTGCTGCGTGTTTTATGCAGCGACTGTGCATCTTACTTTACACTTGAATATGCTATTCGAGTCTTAATTCAAATGCCCTTGCAATCATTTTCATGTAATGTGTGTTGTCACACATAATAATCTTTTAAATACTATATTGAGTTTTGCTATGTGTTCCTCTAATGTTAATGAACTCCTCTTCTGCTTATATAGCATTATAATGTTTATATTTTGCACTTGAAAGCGAGAAAAATGATGTCGTTTTTTCCTCTTGGCGGCAGAGCTTTGGTCGAGATCCAAGGAAGTTCTTGGGGATCTCTCCTGCCGTTACCTCTGTAAAAATTTGGGGATGAATCTGCACTCCTCACGAGCGTGCTCGCTTCGAATGAGAAGTACAGATTGTTATAGTACTAAATTCAAATGGCGCGACTGGTCGCTGCCGAGATGAAATGGTATGGGAGCACAGGGAGAAAGAATAAACTCACTTTTTCACCTTAAAACTTAATCTACTTTACTCTACTCAATTAAATCAATTAACAATAATTAACACAACGTATAACATATAAAAATCAAATGAAAAGCGGCTCCTGCCTTAATTTTTATGGCTCTTGCCGTTTACTAAAAAACACTTCTTAGTGCTGTTGGTCTCTTGACCACGCGAATTGTCTTAAGAATGCAAATGTTGCAGTTACTGCATCACCCAGTGTTTTGGGCTTCTATGCACGGCCCAAAGGCTCTTTCTCTGCACAAATGCGAAAGACGACTGACTGATTTTTCTGTCGCCTTTCATTATATGACAAATTTGTTTACGCTTCTCCTGAGGGAAGAAGCGTAAACGGCGGGAGTGGGAGAACTCCCCGCCCTTAATGCTGGATCAGCGGAACTGATCACAGCGTGGCTCGCTCCCGCTGCTCGAGTTAATGCTAGCAAAAATAACCCTGTTCATTTCTCATGAACACGGCGTTAATCAAATCATTCTTAATTGTAACATCATGTTTTTTATGTCATTCTCTTATATATTCTAATGGTATGTAATTTTCATCATTTTCTGAAAAGAATTTGGTGCTTTCAAAAGTTTTGGCCATGTTTTGGACTGTTACTTTTTCTCAAGATGCTCTGGCGCAGCGCGCCACTCGACACAGAGGGTGCTGAGTGGCGGGGTTTTCTGCTGCGCCAGAAGATTAAGTGCGATTGTGGCGCAGGGCCGCACTCGCACTACAAAAATGAAACATTCGTCAGTTGAGTTAAAGCTCAAATTCTAGGAGCTAACTAACTCATTTATTTGACTAGTCTTGTACAATTGTTGAAAAATGTCGACGTGCAGAATCTAAATAATAATAATAATTCACTAAGATGATTGAGGGGGTGGGGGGAGTGTGGGGAATTAAGTTGTGTTGGATTGAACTGGATTGCAGCGACAGACACAGCAAGATGGGAAGAGGAACCAATCCATGAAGATTCCTTTGCAATCGTTGTCTGGATCATAAGCCAGAAGTCTGTACCATTTGTACTTTTGTTCGCATCCACAATCACCAGCACAGCGTGTTGTTTGTGGCTTTGAGCAGACTTCCTGGTGGATGGCTTGCTCAAAATGCTGTGTATTTACAATAGCACGAATTTTTCCAGCTGAATTTGATGCCCAAAAAGGCGTCACAATTTCCACTTTTGATTCACAAATATCAAAACGTCCACTGCTATCGTTGGCATTTGTGGGTCCGGGATTGTTGAGTCTTTGGTAATCCGGATTTGCTGTGGTGGTGTGATTTCCCCTCATGTTGAAATCCTGGTGTTGAGAAGTTTGTCTTTTGCTGCGCCACTTTGTGAAGTGCGAATCGACAACTGGATCTGAACCAGACTCTGGAATTCCTATCATATCCGGCACACCAGGCATTTCACCCCACTCCCAATCATCATTTGCGGATGTTGTGCTGCGTTTCTTCTTCCGCAGTCGCTGCAATGGCGGCCCGTAGACGGAAGACATCTGGAAATCGCCATACATCCGTCGCATTAGCGCCCTGTTCTCGTCCACGAACGTCTCAATGCGATCCAGCGGATATGCATTGCCAGACGAGGGGCAGACCAGTTGGTGATTCCTCTTGATGCACGGAATGCCTCTGAGAATCTCCCCGCGGATGTTGACGCCGAGTATCACGGGCAGCGCAATCCATAGAATGAGTGATGTTGGAAAGATGAATTTCCACATTTCTTCAACTTGTATTCTCACTGCACGAGCACATTTTCACAATTTTTTCACCGAAAATTTATGAGTTCATTTGATTTGAATGTTTTTTTTATGTTTAGAGATCAACGGCAGAAGTTGCTATGAAGTCAGTGAAACATTGTCGCCATGGTCTTTATATTGTTGTGCAGGAAATTTCCACCAAGAAGTTGAAGAGTTATTTGCAGACATATATATATATAAGACTGGTTTGCATTCCCTCCTCAATCCACAAAAATATATTTGGGAGTGCAAGAGTGAAGAAGCAGTGTTTCTCAATCAGTGGCTCGTGTTTGATTTATTGGGGTCACTGCGCAAGAAGGTGGTCAGACGGAAGGGCACGAAGTGGGATTTTCCTTGAACGTCCAGGGGTAAATGCACAACTGGTTTGTTGTGAAGTGTTGTGGATTCAATGGAACACGCCGAAGACACGTTTATATACCGTGATTTAACAGTTACGAATGGTATCAAGACTTCTGCACGCACTCGATTGCGCACATTGCTTGGAGTGTCAACGTAATTGCGCGTGGATGTGTCTTTTTTATGCTTAATTCCCGGTTTGGGTTACTGAAGAGTTCCTTCTTTTAATTTGATAAAAATTGAAAAATAAGTTTTGAGTGACTTGAATGTCGTCCCAATGAATTAAGATAGCATTTGCGCTATTATTATTATTATTGTTTGTATTGTTGCGTTTTTTCACCCTTAAATTAATGATTACCTTTAACTCCCGGTTCGGGTTTACTGGAGGTTTCCTCCTTTGTTTGATTATCAGTCAAACATTAACTTTGATGACTTCTTAGTTATTCAAATGCCATTGCAATCAACAACATTATTATGTGTTAATTTAATTCCTCGAAGCTGTCGAGTTACTGGAGATTTTTCATTTAATCTCCACTGTTTTTAATGAAAAGACGCCCTTTTAGGGTCGCGTGTTTATATTTAAATGCCCTTGCAATCAAAATCATTTAATATGAGTAGAAGTAAATTTCAGGAAGTGAACTTTGATAATAATAAGGATATTTTAAGAATTCTTTGAATTTAATCGGCATTCTTCATGGCTTACTCAAGTATTTTAGCTTAAACTAGTAAGATTAAGAGAAATTTTTGCATTGTAATCTACTTTTGAATAGGTTTTCATAATCTGGGATCGAAATATGAAAGTGATTTAAGACGCAGTGTGATTAGATTTAAATCTTGTAAAATAGTCATTGTAATAATAAATATATATTTAAAATATTTCTGCTTATCTTTGAAGTTGTCTGCATTCAAGGAAAAGAAAATTTTGTGGAAAAGAATGTGTATTTCATAAAATAGAGAGCTTTCTGACAATTTCTATTTGTTGGCCTTCAATTGGCGAAGGACTTTCCGCTCGTGAGCCTCGTGATCATGTCCAGCGCCCACTTGGGCTGGTCCGCGGGCACCATGTGGCCGGCATTGCGCACCATCACCTCCACCAGATTGCCAGCCTCCTTGGCGTATCCGGCGATGTCCTTGTCCACGCGCCAAACGTAGCGCGGCGCCTTGAGATACGCGTCGCGATCCTTGAACTTGAGCTGCGCCAGGTAGTTGACGGTGAGCGGATAGGCCACGATCACGTCCAGCTGGCCGTTGTAGATGCACACGCGGTAGTCGGCGAGGATTTCGCTCACCCACGGCGCCACAGTGTCCATCACGTCGCGCTTCAGGTGCTCCTCCACGTGATTCTCGCCGCTGGTGTCGTGGAACGTGAGATTTCCCACGTGAATGGCGCGTCGCACGTCAGGACGCTGCAGGAAGTCGCCCATGTGCTTGTCATCGATGCCACTGTCGGAGGTTTTCAGGTAGTTGAAGTACGTCTCGAAGCCCGTGAGATTCTTGAACAGACTGCCCGACGGCAGTTCATCCATGTTGATGAGCTCGTCGAAGATCTCAAAGGCCGCGTTGAAGTCTCCCTTGTGAATTGCATCCACGCCGCGCTTCTCGTACTCATGGAATTGATCTCGGCCGTGAGCGTCGATGAGGCCGAGCTGGAAGAGATAATCGCCGTACTTCAGCTGATGCTGAGGATCGCTGAGTCCATTCCCAATGGCCATTCCTGCAAGACAGATAGACAAACAGACAGAGATTATCGGTAACTGTCTAAATACACAAATGAGTCACCTTGGAAGTTGATCTTCTCATTCTCAGCCGCGTGCTGGTTCATCTTGTGGATCCTGTGCGACACGGCCGGCACGTACTTCCCGCCGTAGCTCTCGCCAGTGGCCCAGAAGGGCAGCGGCCGCAGGTCCGGGAAGAGCGTGAGGAATTGCTCCAGCGCCTCGTGCAGATTGATTCCCACCTCGTTCTCATTGGTGGAGTAGCCTTTGTCATCGTCCGTGAAGCTGAATCCTGTGCCCACGGGATTGTCGATGTAGATCAAGTGATGATTGAGATGCCACGAGAACTTCCTGGGCGCCACCTTGCCCGACTTGGTGAACTCATAGGGGCCATTCTCCGTGAACAGGCCAAAGAGAGATGACGCTCCCGGACCGCCTTGGAGCCAGAGAATCACCGAAGCGTCCGCAGGACTCACTTTGGCTGGGAAGTACCAGAAGAAGAGATTGGAATTCGTCTTTGGCTCCACTGTGAGATAACCCGAGTAGCTGGGAGCAAAGTTCATCTCGCTGTGTGTCACTTTGGCAAGATTTCGTGCCTCCTCGAGCTTCCCAGCACGGATAAGAGGCGTAAGAAACAGAGGTTCTCCAACATCGTCATCCCCGGAAATGGGCCGATATTTCAGTCTTGGATAGGGATTGATAAAACTCCCACAGCAGAAATTGATCAAGAGCAACACAATTGAGATTCTTGCGCACAACATTTTGCAAGTTTTGCCAGCAAAACAGAACAATTAACTGAGGAAAACAAAGCAAATTTGCACCAAAAAAGTGCTTTATCAGCTGTTGAGGATTTCCAAGGCAGCCAACGCGCGATATTTCGGGCTCTCTAGCGCCTCTAGCGTATTTTGTGGGAAACGCAGAACCACAACAAATATAATGTGAGGTTATGCGCGGCTTCACGCGTGGAAAAGTGAAAATACAAACATGGAACTTTCCTTCAATCAGAAACTCTTCAATTTCTTGCGAGATGAGGATTGCTGCCTCACTTGCTGTCTCAGGTATCTCAAGGGATTCGGAAGTGAGTTCACAGACGTCAAGGCATCGCTTAAGAAGGTAATTATTTGCCTAAAAAACAATCTTACATGATTTTCACAAGTTCTTGTTTTCCTTCTTCAGAAAGGAATTGTGCTGCCGGAGGAGAAAGAGGATGAGGACAGCCCACCCTGCTCATGCTGTCTGGGTCTCTTCTCTGAGATTAGCATCTGTAATGCAACAGCGGAGATTTACAAAGACATTCAGTTTGAGAAATTCTACTGTGACAAGTTTGTCTTGTCCATCTGTCTTCCGGTGGGATTGGACGTCCGGCAGTTGATAGTGTGGATCAAGCTGATAAGACACTTTGGGAATGCCATCAGCAAAGGTCTGACGATATATTTTGTGCACAAAAATGTTGAGAGAATCTTTACAATGTGATTTGTTTGGCAGAGGAACGACTGGACACTTCTCTTAAGGACACTTTGAGGGCAATCATGATTCCTGTGTTGTGTGAAAGACTGAACGCTAAGTACGACAGGGAAGGAGTCTTCATTTCCCTGCACTTTGACTATGGCTTTGCCGACAGAGAGGCGGAAATTCTGGCCAAGATAAAACCACAGTGTTTCCAGAGCATCAAAGGAAACAAGTAAGAATGGATTTATTGTCTAAAAGTGCCCCAATTGACTGTTTTCGCTGTCTTTTCGTGATGTTTTGCAGAAAAGCAAAGACGGACGTCAATCGAACTGCCGTGGAAAGGTACTTTGTGCCCTCGAGACTGACTGAGGAGGAGTGGGACAGGATTTTGCAGCTTCCCGCCAAGTCCGGATGGCTCTGTCACACGTGGTACAGCGGAGATGACAGGAATCTTCGCGTGCGCGAAGTGACCTACACAGGACCGACGATCTTCTTCGCCGGAAGATACTTGAAGCTGTCGCGAGAACTCAGCCAGACGCCGTGGATTCTTAATGATGAGCGAATGGTGCTGCACAGCGTCCAGGAGACGATCATGGCGAGTCTGAAGGGGAACTTCAAGGGTGGTCCGCTGCAGATGACTGAGATTCCGGTGCGCTTCTCCTCCAGCGGCAGAGAAGACGTCGACGTGCGGTGTCTGGGCAGAGGAAGACCCTTTGTGATCGAAGTCTCCGACTGTTGTCTCTCCGAACTGCTGCCCGCGTGGGCGCTGGAGATCCAGAGGAGCATCGCCAAGTCCCAGACAGTCGCCGTGACGAATCTGCAGATCGTGGATCGCAGCCAGTTGGTGCACATCAAGGAGGGCGAGGAGAGCAAGAGGAAGATGTACAGAGCGCTGTGCCAACTGGAAACGTCCGCGACTCTCGCCGTGCTGCAGAAGTTGAACATCTGCGAGGCGTTCACGGTGAAGCAATTCACGCCCATTCGCGTGCTGCACAGAAGACCGCTCATCGAGCGGCCGCGCGTGATCTTCAGCGTGAAGGCGCGGCTGTCCAGAGGTGAGAAGAGACTTCGTGGCCATCATAAATTTAATGTGGCACGATTTCTGGTCATTCAGCCGGCTGATAAGGTGTTTATGCTTGGGTTCTGCACGCCAAACTCGTGGAAGAATTAATACAATTGATGGTTTTTATGTGTAGCTATTTGCAGAGTGTGCCAATTGAACTGCACTATTCAATTCAATTGACACACTCTGTCACATTCCTTCATGATGATCTTCAATCGATCCCATTTTTCTCACTAATTTCCACGAAGTTGTCTGAAAGTTTGTCTTGCTGGCGACAAAGTGAGGCGCGAAGAATTGAGAGAGCAAATATTTTATTGAAATGCTAATGCCTGCTTCTGTTTCTCTCCGTCGTCTTCCAGGCCACGATCGTCTTCTGGTGATCGACATCCAGACGCAGGCCGGCACGTACGTGAAAGAGCTCGTGCACGGCGAATTCGGGCGCACTTCTCCCAGCTTTGCCTCGATCATTGGTCAGAACATTGATATTCTGGCGCTGGACGTGATGGACATCGACATCGACTGGCCGCCGCCGGTGATCGGCGATCTGGTGAAATGAGAGAAGGAAATAAAGTGACGAAATGAGAAACTTCCCGTCCAGGAAAAACACCCATTTTAGCACACAAGAAGAGAGCAGAGAAACAGTTGTTTTGCAGACGGAAAATGACTCGAGCCTAACGAACAAACTCATTTTTTGGTGGGGTTTTTTTTATTCAACTCGATAAAGTTTGCACGAAAGGCTAAAGTAATTCACAGTCTGGAATGCAAATGAATTTAAAGAGTTCTTTTCTTTCCCTTATCGCGTGGCCACTGGAAAAGGCAGCAAAAGTGAAACTGCCAAGATGTTTCGGGCGACTGACGTGAAGAATGGTATCGCGTCTGTTTTCCACCGTGTCATCTCTTATCACAAATGTAAAAATTTTTGTATACATGGTGTGGAAAAGTATGTTTTCTTGGACAAATTGTTGCTACACATCGAAACGATTGCTCGTATTGAGTGCAAACAGAAGCGTGACGGAGAGTGTTTTAACAGGTGGAGGCAGGTGACAATTGTGTGCTTTTATGTCTTTCGTGTGACACTATTAAAATCCATCCATTTTCCTCCAATTTCGCGTGAACTCGTGAGGGAAAACGTGGATATGAGTGTCGCCAACGGTCGGCATGTTTGAATATGCACTGGAATGCAGCGTTGGAAGGGGAATTTTGGCGGGATGAATGATTTCTTCAGTTTCCACAAGAGGTCGCAGATGTGTTTTCCGGCGGCCATTTCTCAAAGCATCTCCAAAATGTAGAAGATGTTTGTTTTTCTCTGCTTTCCCCTTTTGGAAAAGGCATTGAAGCACGGAAATATACCGGAAAATCGATGCAAAAGGCATACGATATTAAATAAAAGTGTAGTTTTACAGTGACACCGTGTGCATAATGAGGGATTTGATAAAAATGTTTAGGATTTCTAAAGCTGTTCCCAGGTGAGTTTTTCGCATTTGGAACATAAAAATGTCTTTATTTGTTATTTGTACAATTGTAGCTCAAGCAAGGTGTTAACCTGAGTGAATTTCATAGAGAAAGTTCATATTCTTCTACAGCTTCTTATGTAAAATGTGTAAAATGATAGTCGATCGATGAAGATGGACATCTTGGATATTTCTTTAAAAATCAGTAACAAAAAAATTAATTAATTTGCACATTTCTAAGATTTGAAAAAGAAAACAATTTTGAATCTTTATTATGTCGTAAGACACTTCTTACGAACACTCTTCTGTTCAGTCAAATCAAGCGGAGATTTTATCGGGCGCCCCGTTATTTGTCATCTGAAGGTGTTGTGTAAACTTTCCCGTGAATAATCAGCGAAAAGCCCTAGAAAATGGTGTTGTCATCGAATGGGGCTGCCCTGAGGAGAGTCTGCGTGGTCGGAGGAGGCACGGCGGGCTTCTATGTGACGCAGTATCTCGTGAAACATCTGGAAAATTGCCGTGTTGACATACTCGAGAAGTTGCCTGTGCCCTTTGGACTCGTGCGCTTTGGAGTGGCTCCTGACCATCCGGAGGTGAAGAATGTCATCAATACATTCACCAAAACTGCCTCCCATCCGGCTGTCCAGTTCCTGGGCAACGTGGCGCTGGGGAAAGACTTCAGTTTGAGGGATTTGAGGGAGAATTACAATGCAGTTGTGCTGAGTTATGGAGCGGAATCGGACAGGAGTTTGGGGATTCCTGTGCAGGAGGGCTTCACGAGGATGCTGTCGGCACGCCAATTCGTGGCCTGGTACAATGGCTATCCGGGAGCGGAGAATGTGGTGACGAGAGAACACTTGACTGGCAGAAATGCGGCGATAATTGGTCAGGGAAATGTTGCTGTGGACGTGGCAAGGATTCTTCTGGCTCCGGTGGATCAACTGAGGAAGACAGACATCACGGATTACGCCCTAGATGTTCTGGCATCCAGTAGGGTGGAGAATGTGGCGATGATCGGCCGAAGAGGACCACTTCAGGCTGCTTTCACGATCAAAGAACTGCGAGAGATGCTGAAATTGCCTGGTTGTGGAACAAAGTGGCGTCCGGAGGACTTTGTGGGCATTCCAGAGGCTGTCAAGACACTGGAGAGACCTCGGAAAAGACTGACTGAACTGATGCTGGACAGTTTGTCCAAGCAGAAGGATTTGGAAGCATCTGGAAAGACTTTTTCTCCTATCTTTTTCCGATCACCGCGTGAAATTCGCAGTGAGGGAGGAAATTACTTGCTGGATTTGACTGTAAATGAACTCCAGGGAGACAAAGCTGTGGCCACAGAGGATAAAGAGAGTCTGCAAACAGATCTTTTGCTTGCCAGCATTGGATATTCATCCCTGAAAGAGGATTCAAGTATCAATTTCGATGGGAAAAAGGGTGTTATTTGCAATGAGAATGGAAGAGTTCTTCGAGAAAATGCCCGGGAAGTTGATCCGGGATTGTATGTCTCCGGGTGGTTGGCCACAGGACCGACTGGAGTCATCCTGACCACGATGAATAATGCCTTCTCTGTCGGCCAGACGATTTGTGATGACTTCGGGGGAAAGAGGATTCCGGAAGAGACGAAGCCAGGGCTGAATTTGCAGCAGAAAAACGTGGTGTCTTGGAGTGGGTGGGAGAAAATTGACCAGGAAGAGGTGAAGAGAGGCTCAAAAGTGGGAAAACCCCGAGAGAAGATTGTGAACATTGAGGAGATGCTGAAAATAGGACTCAAATAGTGAATGCATTTATTGATTCTACCTCGATTTTTGTTACATTTTCACCTACGAAAACGACTTTTTCTAATTTGTCTACATTGTTTTTTTTAATAAATATAATCAAATAGCACGGCGATATTTTTTTGCTCTATGTGGACGCGCTCAGTGATTTATTGTTTTGTATTCAACAGAGAGAATTCAATGGCATTGTGCCAAGTTTATATAACGACTGCTTTCCAAGATTTTGAGTCATTTCTCACGATTTTCGGCACAATTAGACTGAAGAAACTTTCTATGCCTAAGATTAAAGTTAAAAAGTCTCGCATGATCAGCTCGTGTGCTTTAACTTTTCGGCATGTCTAAATTTTATTTTCCAACACATTTTTCTTGTCGCGAAGCAACGCAAGAACATTGACATATTTTATGTACCTTTTTTTGATGTGTGTCTCTCGATCTCGTTCGCGAATGAGGAGGGAAATGAGTAATGCGAATATTTTTATAATAAAATATTAATAATTAATATGATTGGGCTGAACATATATAAATAAGTCATAAATCATGAGGTGATTCAGGAGGCGAGATGATAGAAGTGCACGGAAACGTGTCGCATCTTTATTGGATTATTGGTCATCGTGATTTACGGTCAAGATCTTGGATTCTTGATCCCATTTGCGGCGCAGACGCTCGAGAATGGCGCGGGAGATGAAGATGAATTTGACGCAAGTGCTGAACTGGCGAGAGTTGTGGTGTTTGCGGAATAAATTGGATTCATTCATTCATGCTCTATTGTGGCAATGATCGCGCGTTGGATTTTGCCTTCAAGGCTCTGGAAACAGGCACATTCAGACGCTCATTGTGGACTTCTCTATATATGATTGGTTTTATCAAGGGGGAGATAATACAGTCAGAAGTGGTGTACAACTCAGCGGAAGTCTAAAAATACAATATTTCTTTCCCCAATGCTTCTTTTATTGACAAATTGTCCAGTTTCTTTCGATTACTTTTGATTTTAACACAGAGACAATAATAATTATCTTTTTTATAGGTTATGTAACAAATCAAGGATGAAATTAATGAACAATTTCCAATTCTAGCACATTAATCGCTTGTCATCTACAGAATTAGGCATTTGCATGCAAAAAACTTTGATATTGTGAGGTTTTGATGGTTAAAAAAGACTTTAAATTGTGTAAAGGTGCAACATAACCTCAAAAAGAGTCATTTTCACTTGGAAAATGTTGATTTTGGAATCTTTCTTCCCGATTTTGACTGATTCAGCAATTTTGAGTTCATAACGCATCATAAGATATGATTTTGTGATCTAGAAAGCTTCCAAATGGAATCTTTAAAGATATCTTAGTGCTATTTTTAGGTTATGGTCAGAAAAGACGCCAAAAAAGCGGTTTCTAAACGGATTCTTGCAGAAAAATCGAATGGAATGTTAAGAGATTCATTATAACTTGGGAATTAATGTGCAAATTTGGAAGTGTTCAGAAGTGGTGTACAGATTTGTGGCATATTATCTCTCCCTTGGGTTTTATGTAGTTTGCGGTGTTCCAAAATTCACTAGACATTCCTCTAACGCTATACTTGGCTTCTGTGGGTGTTTTACGGTCGTGTGCGCGATGAAATGTTTCTTCAAGGTGATATTCTAGTCCACGTTGGAGAATCGCATTCGAATTCCTCAAAATAATACTTCAATTCGGAATTTTGTTCCACTTTTTGGGATTGCGCGGGAAATTTCCACAATTCTCCCAGTCAAAATAGAGCTAAAACACGTGTTTTAACTCCAGACTTGACATTATTTATTCACTCATGCCTTCAATCAAGTCTGTGACATTTTAATTAGTCAAATGCATTTGAACAGACGATGAAAATTGATGATTAGAGTTTATAATGTCAGCATTTATGATGGAAAGTCAATTTATTTCACAACATTGAGTAGAAATGTTGTTCGTTGATCGACTCGGTTGGTTGTTGAACATCCAGAAATTCACATCAATTCCCAACTATAGCGAAAGTCCTAAATCTAAATTATCTCTGATAGTTTTTCGTGGAATTATCATCGCATTCCTATTGTGCCAATCATGCAATGACGCAATATCTTTCGGCATCATTCATGATGTTCGTGCTGCTCGTTTTTCTAGTAAATTAAGTGATACTGTAGAATTTTTCATTAATTCAGCTTGCTTTTGCAACAGAATTGGATTTATAGTTCTTCTGCTCTATAATATAACAAATAGTACAATTCATTTGCGGTTAATTAGACGTGTGATGAATTTTGAAGAGAACATTTCTGAATTTGTGCCTTTAAAGAATCTCGATAGAAGTGTTAAAATAAGGAATATCGTCACATTAGTCGTGTTGACACTTCTGTGGATAAATACTTTCTTTGTCGTCTCCTTGAAATCTGTTGATAGTGATTTTAGAACAATTTTATCGCAGCTATTTGTGACAATTATTCGATGTGTTGATCTTTCTTCCTTGTTCTATTGTCTGATTTTTATCGAGGAAATTAACATGTTTGCCACAAATCTATTGACTTTTGACACAAGTATTGAGAAACAATCAAGCTTCTTTTCGCTGTTGAGTGATTTCTTTGAACTCTTCCTAATCATGAGCAGAGTTCTTGGCGGAATGCTTTTTATAAGTGTGGCCAAAGATGTTCTGGTGGCTTGTTTTGACATCTACTTCTGCATTCATCTCCTGAAGAGTCCACATTTGGAGATAAGCGACATCAACACGGCTTTATTGTGTGCTTTCTATCGAATGCAGAGTGTTTGTTTTCTAGCATTAATTCCGCGCCAAGGAAGCAAACTTGCAGAGATTGAAGTCAATCTTCTGAGGAAGGTTAATAATTTAATTCACGAGGGAAAGCATAGTGGGATAGTTGGTTGTCATCGTTTTAATAAACTACAATTGCAACTGTGGCGATTTCACTGCGACACAGCAATTAGAGCTGGATCAATTGTTATAGATTATTCAGGAATATTTTCGGTAAATCAATCTGTATTTGAATGATTTCTTAGAATAACCAATGTTGATTCTTTTTCAGACACTTTCATACATAACAACGTGCGTTCTTGTAATGATTCAGTTTAAGGAGATGGAGAATTCAAAGACACAAATGCTGTATTGATGTTTTTCAATAACACTCTTAATAAATAACCTCTTAATTAGGCAAATGCATCCATTTCAACAGTTGGATAATAATTTATGACGGTTTGTAGTGTGAATGTTCATTGAGATACACTTAATTCGTGTCCTAAAATCGAATAGAAATGTCGTTCGTTGATCGGTTTGGCTGGTTGTTTTACATACAAAAATTCACAATAATTCCTGGATATCAAGATGGCTCGGAAACTAAAATATCAGTGATAATAATTCGTGGAATTATAATAGCATTTCTATTATTTCAAGCTTCCAATGATGCTCTGTCTTTTAGCATTATTCATGACATTCGACCTCTAAATTCCTCCACAAAATTAAGTGAAACGCTAGAATTTCTACTCACTTCTGCTTGCATTTGCAACAGAATTGGATTTATAGCATTTCTTCTCTACAATATTGCAAATATTAGAGCGCACTTGAGATTAATAGAATGTGTGGTGAATTTTGAGAAGAAAATCACTGAAAATAAGGCTTTAATGAATGTTAGAAGCAGTGTGAAGAGAAGAAATATTGCATTATTTATTGCACTGTCTCTTGTTTGGATTAATACATTTTCTCTCCTTTCATCAGGATCGATTGATGGTGATTTTAGAACAGTCTTATCACAATTGTGTCTCACAATTATACGAACTGTCGATATTGCTTCTCTCCTTTATTGCACGAACTTTATCAAAGAAATCAACATGTTTGCCACAAATCTTTCAAGTTTAGATATAACTGTTGAGAATCAATTGTATTTCTTTCCACTTTTGTCTGATTTCTTTGACCTTTTTCCACTTATGAGTAAAATTCTTGGGGGAATTCTTTTTATATGTGTTGAGAAAGATGTTCTGGTTTCGTGCTTTGATATCTACTTTTGCATTTACCTTCTTCAAAGTTCACATCTGAAGATCAATGATATTAACGTTGCCTTAATGTGTGGCGCATATCGTATTGAATATGCGATTACTCTTGCATTGACTTTCGCTGAAGGAAGCAAATTGGCAAGAAGTGTAAGGATTCTTTGGTGTGAATTTATTGTGCATATTTCATACTGATAATTTTCTGTTTTTAGGGTGATAATCTGCTGAGAAAAGTCAATAATTTAGCTGTTTTGGTTGAGGATAACAAGAAAGACGAGTCAGTTTGTTGTTTTCGTTTTAATAAGAAACAATTGCAGCTCTGGCGTTTTCATTGTGACACAACAATTAGAGCTGGATCTGTTAAGATGGATTATTCGGGAATTTTTTCAGTAATTTCGTAAATCATAGTATTTTTATCCTTGTCTAATCCTTGATCTTTTTGCAGACATTGTCTTATGTAACAACGTGTATTGTCGTGATGGTTCAATTTAAGGAAATGGAGAATTCAGTGACTTCATTATTAAAATAACTTTTGTAGGTTTTAATAGAATTCTGTCTTCTTCTGCACTGCAACTAGTGATAAAGGAATTTTTCCCACGTGCGATCAAAAGAAAACACCCACTTTTGTGCTCCAAAATATTCATTAACTCACATCCTTTATTTCAGCTCAATGAACTCCAATTTAATTAGATAAATTGCATCTAAGCAGATGATAAATAATGTATTTGATGAGTATTTATAATGGTTAGGCTAAAGACTGGAGTTTAATTCTCACCATTGAATTGAGTGAAAATGTTGCTTGTCGCTAGACTTGGTTGGTCATTTGACATCCAGAAATTTGTATCAATTCCAAGTTATTCAGACTCTTCTAAAGTTGACTTTTCGGTGTTTATTTTCCGTGGAATTATAATATCATTATTGATTTGTCAATCGTGCAATGACGCTGTTTCCTTTGGCTTAATGCACGATGTTCGTCCTTTGCGTTTCTCTACGGAATTGAGTGAATGGATTGAGTTTCTCGCCAATTTTACATCATTTTGCAATAGAATTGGATTTATTGCAATTCTCCTTAGCAACTTATTCAAGTGCGCAGTTCATTTGCGTCTAATTGAACGTTTAAAGAGTTTTGAGGAGAAACTTTCAAATTTTACATCTTACAGAAATGGCAGTGAAAGTGTTAAGTTAAGAAATATATTTGTATTTTTCGTGATATTTCTTATTTGGATAAATTCGTCT